CAATCCATGGGAAACAAGTGCTTGTTACTGCGTCCGTCATGGCTCTTACTGGAGATATGCCACAGCAAGCTAAAAATAGTGGTATGCTCAGCTATAGTGCTGATATCGGATGTCGGACATGCTACTGTCCACGCAGCAAACAGTATCAGTGGTCATATGATACTGTTTCCCATGGCCGATATCATTTCCAGCATCAGTATTACCGAACTGAGGGTGATCACAAGGCCACTGTTCCAGAACAGCAAAGATATTTTAATGCTGTAGGGATACAGTCCGTGCCTTCGCCAATCGAACGGATCATGCCAACTCTTGACATTGTTTTAGGCCGTCCGTATGATGTACCGCACTCTGATTGGAAGGGGATCGGCTATCGTCTGCTGGAGTATATCCAGAAAATTCTTGTGCCTTCAGGGGTTTCCAACTTCGCTACAGCCTTGCAAAAAGTTGTTCGGCCGGCTCAATGGCCTCACTTTCCTCCTCTGAAACACCTAAAAACCTGGACATTGTCAGACCTTGGTCGAGGGATCATTCTCTTACCTATTATTCTTCGAGTATGTGCCCGCCCCGACTGGTTTCACCCGAGATTCCTGCTGCGGATTAAAAATATTATACCACATCTCTTTCCAAATACCGAAAATGTGTCCTCGCCACAGATGTGGCTGGTCCGTGCTTGTGCAGAGATCGCATTGACAACCACCCTTATCTCAACCAGCCGCGCGTTGCCTCCTGCACTGGTAAATGCAAGGATTACTCACAGCCGCCGAATCTTTCAGCATTTGGTGGTTACAGCTTCAGCCATGACTGATTCAGAGCTACAGGCATTCAGCATCCATGGTCTGTATCTGTGGTATTCGCTGGCCAGTTACCTAGCTAACATGAAGCAGGAAAACTGCCACATGATTATAATAAGAAGCATAATAAAGATAAATGGTTTAAGTATCTTGGGGTGCCAGTTGTTCATGCTGGCTTTCATTTTCATACATTTGCTGCTGAGTATGGCCCGCTCATGAACTGTAATGTTCTAGCCGGTGAGTTGAAGCATAGGTAAGTACCTATTCTAAATTATAGCCAGCTGCTGATAGTATCACACTATATAAGAATATTCAAGAGATGGATAGATCGCGCCTCGCCGCCTCAGCTGATGACTTATCTCTTCCGGCTAGATCGGCTCCACCACTCTTTACGCCTGGGTCTTGCGGGTTCCTGGCGGGATGATCATCCAATTCTACTAGAGATTGTCCAGGATCTGTATATGTCCTGCCCACGTCTGATCCAGAAACATATTCTTGCAGATGAATTTATTACTGACCTGCAAGTTACAATGACACATCCGATTGAATGGCCTCATTCTTCGCTTTCTGAGCAGGATATACTGGACATGTTACCTTCAGCGTACCGGCAAGAATATTCAATCTCACTTCCTCGCCAGTATGATAAAACACAATTATCTTACTATTGTCAGATCAAATTCTGTTCCCGGTATGATTTCTTTATTTTTAAGGAGACAGCTGTGAAAGGCTTTCGCAGCTGATTTCTATATATCTTCTATTCCAAGATACTAACTGTGTTCTGTTCTCCAGTCATTCACAGACAATTACCACTGGAAATTTTATTAAATACCAGTCTTCAATAGCATATGTGAGTTGTGGTATAAAGCATTATACACAATCAGAATGCTTCTTCTTTCTTTTATTACAGCCTTGGGTACGGAACGGAAATACAGATAAGGCAACAACTCTTCCTTTCTATTGTTCTTCTAAGAGATGGGTATTGTCAGGATTACAAAGTAAAGTTGAGCCGGCATTTATGATCGATATAGATAATGTTTACAGACAGGTATCAGTTGATATTAATACTAGACAAGATCTAGTATACTGTTCATGGAATATTGATTTTATGTAAATAACAAATTATTATATTCTGGTCTTTTACTACTTTCGTATGATTATATATTACTTCTGAGAATATTTTGTATAAGAATCTTACTATTATTTAAGGAGTGTAACCAGATAATCTCTAGAAATTATGATTAATATTTGTTATATATCTATAAAATACCAGATAATGTCTAGAAATTATGATTAATATTTGTTATATATCTATAAAATACCAGATAATGTCTAGAAATTATGATTAATATTTGTTATATATCTATAAAATACAGTTTCTGTTCATAAGTAATAGATATCTTCCGTATCTAATCTATTTTATTACAGAACTATTCTTGTTAAATTATAATTACATAATAGTTTCTGAATCGTATTCAACTTTAACAACGTTTGTATGTAATTACCCGGTTTGGGTGAGGTTGTATCGTTAGTAATTATTATTATATGTAAATAATAATAAATAACTGTTTTGCAACTGTAAGCAACTGTAACACAACCTAGCTACAACCTAACTGTTACTGTAGGTAACAGTTTGACAACTATTATGAAATGGTCAGTGAGTGTGGCAAACTATTAAATATATATAAATAATAGTAAGCTACCATCTTTGACTTTTACTGAACTATGCTGTGACCCTCTCTACGCACGCCTCCGGGCCCCTATGTCATTTCAGAAATCGACCACAGAAATTTATTACTTACGAACTACCTAAAATACACCTATACACCTATACACCAGATCCAACAGACCAACGAATCAGTTCTTCGCCGCAAGAGCCCGACGGACGCGCACGGCCTCCGCCAGCGAAGTCAGCGACGCCTCGGTGGTCTCCCAGTCGATGCAGGCATCGGTGATGCTGACGCCCTTCTCGCACCCCTCCAGCCGCTTGGACGGCTTCTGGTTGCCCTCGCGGATGTTTGACTCGACCATGACCCCGATGATGCCGTCCTCACACTGACGCAGCTGGTTCTCGATCACATTGAGCACCTTGGGCTGGTTGCGGTGGTCTTTCTGGGAGTTGCCTGGGATGCGTCAGCGATCATCAACCTCTCCCCCAGGGATCGGGATCAAGCGTGGCACTGACGACGGGCCGAAAAGCCAGCCACGAGCCACGGAACAACAACAACACCACTAACGTACCATGCGAACAGTCGATCATCATCACCTCTCTCTCGCCCTTCGCATGCAGCAGCTCCTTGGTAGCCCTGACACTCTCGGCGTCATAGTTGGTCCCACGGCTACCACCTCTCAGGATGACATACCCGTCCTCGTTCCCCTTGGTGGTGGTAATCGCAATGAGGCCCTGCTTGGTCGTGCCCATAAAATGGTGACGCCCGCGCATCGACTTCAGCGAGTCGACAGCCGTGCCGACCGAGCCATCAGTGGCATTCTTGAAACCCACCGGGAAGGACAACCCGGACGCCAGCTCGCGATGAAGCTGCGACTCGGTCGTCCGCGCCCCGATTGCCCCCACGGTGATCAGATCCGCCGTGTACTGCGGCGAGATGGTATCCAGCATCTCGCAGGCGACGGGGACCCCGCGGCCGGTGATATCGCAGAGCAGCTTGCGGGCGACCTTGACGCCCTTGTTGATGTTGTACGAGTCATCCACATCGGGGTCGTTGATCAGCCCTTTCCAGCCCACCGTCGTGCGCGGCTTCTCCAGGTACGCGCGCATCACGATGCACAGGTCGTCGCGGAGATTGTCTGCCAGCTCTTGCAGCCGCGTCGCGTATTCCAGCGCGTTCTCGGGGTCGTGGATGCTGCAGGGCCCGACTAGGACGAGCAGTCGGTCGGATTCCTGGCGGATGATTTGCCGCGCTTCGATGCGGCTGTTCAGCACCGTGAGGAGGGATTGTGCCGACAGACCGATGTCGTATTGGATTAGTTCCGGGGGGGCGAGGGGGGTGTATTTCTCCACTAGGTCGGACTGTTAGGAGGCGACATGACACGGAGGGGGATGGAGAGAGACAGAAAAGACTCGAGTGAGACAGGGGGGACAAGGGGACCATACCGCGGACATCCTCAGCCAGCTTCTGACGCAGCAGATCGATGTTGCTGGCGTCGAGGAGGGAGGCAGAGGTAACGCTAGGCATTTTGATTAGGCGTATAGGTACAGACAACAAGACAGATTATGATTAGAGTGGTAAGTGTATAGCAGCAGAAAAAAAAGGACTTTTGATTATGAACGGACCAGTTTCTGCCGGCAGCTGGATGCCACTATATATCTATATCAGCTACTCGAACGATTGAATTCTTACACAGGCACATGCACATGTTCCAGCCGTCTCACCCTCCATCTTTCCCCCCTGTCTCTCTCTCTCTTGCTCTCTCCTGCTCTCTCTCTCTCTGTGTGTGTGTGTGTGTCTCACCGAGCCTGAAGCAGTCTCTCCCCCGACGCTACCTGCCCGTCGATTCCGAGAGCGATCGAAAGTTTCGGTCCACCGGCCTTACGCACTGGAGTCGTCACCAAAGATGAGCCGACATCGTGATACCTAGCGCCTCAGCTAGCCACCTGCCCCGGCTGCGCAGTCGTATTGGCCAGGACCAGCTGGGAGCAGAATCTTCTGTTGTTTGCTGAGCCCGTCGAGCACCGACGGCAGACAGATGATCTTCGTGCGTGTGGCTGGACGAGGCAGGGATTGACCATCGCGATTGACAAACCGGACTTGATGGTGGACACAGACTGAGTCGATGCTCGATGCGGTGGAGACGATGGAGACCGTGGGGGGGTGAGCTCAGGGCTACTCGATCGGAGGGACTGGAATGTGTATGTATGGATGTATGTATGTATGGGTATGTATGGCTGGGACAGCGTTACTTACCATACATACCACCGAATCGGACACGGATACCGCCAGGCTAACCGGGTTGGGACGATCGGCGGCTAAGCGGGGCCTGCGTCGGTTCGTCCGCCTCTCTCGCTTCGTCCCCATGAACCGCCCTCGCGGTGAGATCCCGCCATCGGACCACGGGTTCCCTCCCGTTTCATCTCCCGAGCTCTCCCACCCACACTAGAGCCGACTCGGCAGGTGAGCTCCATCTTTGGGTCAGGAACACATCTGAAGCTCAGAATTTGCGAGCCCCCATCTGATTCCCAATCCCAAGCCCTGGCCGACTGCCGCACAGCTGGGCTCCACGGCCCCCGTCAGGATGATCACACCCCAATCCGTGCCCTGACCAGCACGTCCGGACTGGGCCCTGGCTCGTCGGCATCACGATGGTGTCAGGACGCACCCACAGAACTGCCCCCGTTCAGCCATCTCTGCGATTGCCTTCCTTCCTGCTCGGGATCAGATCGAGTTTCGGGCTCCCCCGCGGGATTTCCACATTTGGAGAGTCCCCATCAGATAGGAACCCCATGCGAAAAGAAAACGATCCCACCATAGTAATCAATGCTAGGGCTGACTTGAAAACCTCCCGCTGGCTTGCTTCCTTCCGAGTTCTTCTTCCTCCTCCTCCTCCTCCTCCTCCTCCCAGTCCAGACTCGTCTACTCCTCTGGCTCTGGACACTGTCACTCTTTTGAACCATGCCGTCCACCATTATCGACGATGCTGAGCGGCTGCGTCAGCGCTGGGCCGGGCTGGTCACCGATGTGACGCCCTCCCAGCTGCCCTCCGGGCTCTTCTCCAAGCGGCAAACCCACTCTCCCATAGGCACGCTGGACGTGGATCTGGATGTCCCGTCCATGCACGCCTGCTGCCAGCAGTGGGATGTCTCTCCCATACAGCTCGTGCAGGCGGCCTGGGCTGCGGTGCTGCGCTCATACTCTGGATCCGACGATGTCACCTTCGGTGGCATTGGCCTGGATTCCCCCAGCCGCACGGCGAAGCAGCGGTGGACGAATACCACCCTCTGCCGGACGCGGCTGGACCAGGACAGCTCGGTCCTCTCGGTCCCCGAGCAGATGCTGCAGGAGGGCCTGCCCGAGGCTGACTCGCTGGTCTCGGTGTCGGAGGCCCTACAGGTCTTTTCCACCCTGGAGCCCAAGCCGTGCAACTCCGCCATCTGGCTGAAGGACCCGTCCTCGAAGACGGAGACGTCCGAGACGGAGATCGTGTCCGAGAAAACCGTGAGTCTACCATCCCATTCCAGACCCTCACGCCAGACGCTAATGCATGTGGATGCTTAGTTCAACTACGTGCTACGAATCGATCCCTCCCTATCCACCCTAGCTTTAATATACCACAAACCCTCCGTCTCCCAAGCCCAGGCCGAATACATCGCCGCGACCTTCTCCGAGACGCTACATAATGTCTTCATCGACCCCGACCAGCCCGTCTCGGGCCTCTGCCACCCGAGTGAGCTGGACGCGCAGCAGATCGAGGCCTGGAACCGCATCCTGCCGAGGGCTAGCCGTCTCTGCGTTGACCGCATGATTGAAGAGACGGCCCGGCGGACCCCAAACTCCCCTGCCCTGTCGTCGTGGGACGGACATCTGACATACGCCCAGTGCGACGAGGCAGCCTGCCGTGTCGCTCGGCACCTGTCTTCGGCCGGCGTGCAGCGCGGCCAGCTGATCCCGATCTGCTTCGAAAAGTCCCTGTGGACGATCATCACCATGATTGCCCTGTGGAAGGTCGGCGCCGCCTGGGTGCCCCTCGACCCGCGGCATCCTCGCCGGCGTCTGGAGACCATCACCGCCAGCGTGGACGCGACCATCGTGATCGCCTCCGAAGGCAACCGGGACTTGCTCGCGGGCATCACCCCGCAGGTGATCGTCGTGGACGCCGCGCTCATCCGTCACATCCAGTCCCTGGACGCAGCCTTCGAGTCGCGATCCCAGCCCCACGACGTCTCATTCGTCATGTTCACCTCCGGCAGCACAGGGAAGCCCAAGGGCGTCGTGCACGAGCACGCGTCCGTCGCCTCGAGTGCCGTGCACCATGCCCCGGCCATGAACATGAACGAGGGCACCCGCGCGCTGCAATTCGGCGCGTACACCTTCATCATCAGCACATTCGAGATCTTCACGACGCTGATCGTGGGCGGCTGTCTCTGCATCCCCTCGGATCACGACCGCCATACAGACATCCGCCCATTCCTGCGGTCGATGGACGTCAACTGGGCCATCTTCACCCCCAGTTTCGCCCGCTCCGTCAAGACAGAAGACGCGCCCACGCTGAAGACCCTCCTGCTCGCCGGCGAGGCTGTGGCGCAGGACATCATCGACCGGTGGGCGTCCGCCGCGCAACTAATCAACATCTACGGCGCCAGCGAGTGCTCCGTCTGCATGATCGGGCCCATGGCCAGCGACACCCCGCGCAGCTGCATCGGACGGGCAACCGGCGTCCTCTCCTGGCTGGTCGATCCCAACGACCACGACCGCCTCGTCCCCATCGGGTCCATCGGCGAGCTGATCGTCGAAGGCCCGACGCTTGCGCGCGGCTATCTCGCCGACCCGGAGAAGACCGAAGCCGTGTACATCGAAAACCCCGTGTGGGCACAGCAACCGGACCAGACGCGGCGGTTCTACAAGACGGGCGATCTGGCGCGCTATGGCGACGACGGCCGCGTGCACCTGATCGGCCGCAAGGACTTGCAGGTCAAGATCCGCGGCCAGCGCGTGGAGTTGACGGAGATCGAGGCGCACATGCGCGCGATCAACAACGCCGTCAAGACCGCCGTCGCGATGGTGCATCCGCAGGGCAAGGCGATGCTGGTGGCGTTTATCTCGAGCCAGAGTGGCTTCGGGCCTGAGTTTCCGCACGCCTTCCATGCGCCGCCGGAGGATAAGGCCAGCGTGGCGGCCGTGGCGGCGCAGATGAGCCAGGAGTTGACGCTGCGGCTGCCGCCGTATATGGTTCCGTCGGCGTTTCTGCCGCTGGCGTTCATGCCGTTGACGGCGTCGGGGAAGACAGACCGTCGTCTCATCTCGACGTTTGCCACGGGGGTGTCGTTGTCTGAGCTGGCCGCGCTGGTGGGCGGCGCTGCGACGACGGCCCGGACGAGGCCATCCACGCCGGCGGAGAGGAGTCTGCAGCAGATGTGGTCGGAGGTTCTGCACTGCCCGCCCGATGAGATCGGGGTGGAAGACAATTTCTTTCATCTGGGCGGGGACTCCATCGAGGCGATGAACCTGACCAGGCGATGCCGTGCCGAGGGCTTCCAGCTCCAGGTCAGCGATATCCTTGAGAATCTGGTGCTGGGCGACATGGCCAAGGCGATGGTGCCGGTTGGGACGACGGAGGCGGCGCCTGCGCGTCCGTTCGAGCTGCTGGGCGAGGACGAGGATGCAGTCCGTGCCCAGATCCAGGAAGCCAGTGGGTTCGATGCAGAGCTCATCCAGGACGCGTACCCGTGCACCCCTCTGCAGGCCGGCATGATGGCTCTGTCTACCCGGATTGCCGGGTCCTACATCGCCCGCCATACGATGGAGCTGCCTGGATCCCTCAGTGTCGGCCGCTTCCAGGAGCTGTGGGAGCTGGTGGTCGTGAACAGCGACGTGCTGCGCACGCGGATGGTCGAGACAGATCTGTATGGCACGGTGCAGATGGTCAGCCGGGGCCGCATCGAGTGGGCGCATGGCACTGACCTGGAAGGCTACATCGAGTCGGACGAGAAGGTGCCCATGCAGGTGGGCGATGCATTGTCGCGGCATGCCATCGTCACCGCGGACAAGACCTACTTCGTCCTGACCATCCACCACGCCATCTACGACGGGCTGTCCCTGGAGATGCTGTTCGACGACCTCGTGCAAGCCCTGCAGGGCAACGTGCCTCCCGCGCGCACGCAGCTGCGCGACTTCGTCCAGCACGTCATGGAGAAGAACAGCGACAGGGCCACCGAGGACTACTGGCGGCGTGAGCTCGCCGAGGGCGATGTCCCAGCCTTCCCTACCCTGCCCTCTGCCACGCATCAGCCGGTAGCCAACGAGTCCCTGGTGCATACCCTCCGGCTGCGTCGCCGCGGGCCGTCCGATTTCACCACCGCGACGCTCATCCGCGCCGCATGGCAGATGCTGCAGGCCCGCTACCGCGACGCCCCGGACACCGTCTTCGGATGCACCGTCAGCGGGCGGAACGCGTCCGTGCCGGGCGTCGAAGACGTCGTCGGGCCCGTGATAGCCACCGTCCCCATCAAGGCGCACCTGGACCCGGAGCAGCCGGTGTCCGAGTACCTGCAGGCGGTGCACTCGCACTCCGTCGGCATGACCACGTACCAGAACTATGGCATCCAGAACATCGCGCGCGTGTCCGACGCCGCCGCCGCCGCGTGCAACTTCCAGACCCTGCTGGTGATCCAGCCCGCCAGCTCGGGGCCCGGGGACAGCATCATCGCGCCGTTCTCGGCGCCCCGGGCGCGGTTCAGCACCGTGGCCCTGACCCTCGAGTGCAGTCTGTCTGCGGACGGGGGCGTGGTGGTGCATGTGCACTTCGACAACGCGGTCCTATCGCGGGCACAGGTCGTGCGCGTCGTGCAGCAGTTCGAGCATGTCCTGCAGCAGCTGGCCGCCGAGCCGTCCGGGACCCTCGCCGGCATCGAGATGGTCAGTCCGCAGGACATGGCCGACATCCGGCAGTGGAACGCAACCGTCCCCGAGGCGACCCACGACTGCATCCACAGCCTGATCGCCCAGCAGACCATCACGGACCCGAACGCGCCCGCCATCGACTCGTGGGACGGCAGCCTCACGTACGGCGAGCTGGAGAGCCTGTCCTCGAAGCTCGCCGCGCATCTGATCAACGCCGGCGTTGGCCCGGAGGTCTTCGTGCCGCTGTGCTTCGAGAAGTCCATGTGGACGATCGTCGCTATGCTCGCGACAATGAAGGCCGGCGGCGCATTCGTCCCGATGGACGCCTCGCAGCCCTCCAGCCGCATGCAGCTGGTGATCCAGGAGGTCCAGGCGCACGTCCTGCTGTGCTCGGAAGCGCAACTGGGGCGGTGCCCGGGTCTAGTCGAGAAGGCCATCGCCGTGGGGCCCGGGATGCGGGAGGCCGCGACGCCCCAAACCCTAACGACGCCGGTGTCTCCCACCAACGCGGCGTACGTGATCTTCACGTCCGGCAGCACCGGCACGCCCAAGGGGTCTGTCGTCGAGCACCGCGCCTTCTGCACGGGCGCCGTCTCGCACCGGGAGGGGCTGCAGATGGGCCGCCGCGTGCTGCAGTTCGCGTCGTACACGTTCGACGCCAGCATCCTGGAGATCCTGTCGACCCTCGTCCAGGGCGGCTGCGTGTGCGTGCCATCCGAGGCCGAACGCCGCGGCAACATCGCCGAGGCCATCGCCCGCATGAACGTCGACTGGGCCGTGCTGACGCCCTCCTTCGTCAACACCATCGACCCGGCCACCGTCCCGACGCTGGAGGTCCTCTGTCTGGCGGGCGAGGCCATGACCGCCGCGCATGTGTCCGCGTGGACGCCCTATGTCCGGCTCGTGAACGGCTACGGACCCAGCGAATGCTGCGTGTGCAGCTCGTCCAACCGCAAGGTCGTCCCGGGGACACCCCCCAACGACATCGGGACGTCCGTCGGCGGCGCCTGCTGGGTCGCAGACCGAGACAACCACGACCGGCTCGCCCCCGTCGGATGCATCGGCGAGCTGCTCGTCGAGGGCCACACGCTGGCGCGCCACTACCTCAAGAACGAGGCGAAGACCGCCGCGGCATTCATCCCACGGCCGGCCTGGCTGCCCTGGGCGCGGTGCGACCGGCTCTACAAAACGGGCGATCTGGTGCGCTACTCCCCGGACGGGTCCCTCCTGTTCATCGGCCGCAAGGACACGCAGGTGAAGATCCGCGGCCAGCGCGTCGAACTCGGCGAGGTCGAATACCACCTGGCCCTGCCCGAGCAGGTCTCGCAGTCGGTCGTCGCGTATCCCCAGACAGGCGTGTACGCGAACAAGCTCGTCGCGGTGCTGGAGCTGGCGGCCGTCAGCGGGGCCGATCTCGTCCCCGTGTCTACCAACCAGCTCGACCGCACCGGGTTTGATATGGACTCCCTCTCGCGCGCCCTGGGCGACACCCTCCCCGTGCACATGGTGCCGGTGATCTGGATCGTGGTGGAACGGATCCCCAGCTCGTCGTCGACCAAGATCGACCGCAAGGCCGTGGACACCTGGCTTGCGCAGCTGCCCTCCGACTTCCAGCCGGCGATGGGGATCAAGCGCGACGCACCGGCCGTGTCGACCCTGCGGCCAGACGAGGGCAAGGCGATGGCAATCAGCAACAAGATCGCGACGCTGGTCCACCACTCCGACAGCCCTCTCCGGGGGCGCGACTTCAACATCTCGTCCATGGGCATCGACTCCGTGCAGGTGATCAGCCTGGCCAGCTTCATCAGGCAGACGTACGGGGTGACAGTCGACGTGTCGCGGATCCTCGACGGACAGATGACCGTCCGCTCGCTGGCAGCCCTCATCGCGGGCGAACTCACCGGCAGTCCGCAGGCAGTCCACCCCTCGTTCGACGCGATGAAAGAAGCCCGCGCGCTGGCGCAAGACATCATCCAACGCGCGCCGGTCCGCAAGACCGTCTTCGTGACGGGGGTGACCGGCTTCCTGGGCACGCAGATCCTGCGCCAGCTGTGCGACCGCTCGGACGTCGGGCGAGTCATCGCACACGTCCGCGCCTCGACCGCATCCGAGGCCTTCCTCCGCGTCAAGCAGGCGGCCATCCGCGCGCAATGGTGGTCGGACTACTCCCTGACCAAGCTGGACGTGTGGGCGGGCAACCTGGCGAAGCCGCGCCTGGGCCTGCAAGCCAAACAATGGGCGTCGCTGACGGGCGACAGCCCCAACGACGGGCTCGTGCACGCGATCGTCCACGCCGGGGCGGCCGTGAACTGGAACGCAGGCACGGAGATCCTCCGCGCGGCCAACGTCGACTCGACGGCCGAGCTGATCCGAGCGGCCGTCGCGTCCCCGGCACGGCCCAGGCTGGTGTACGTCTCCGGCGGACACCGATGGCACATGGGCGAGAACGACGCGGAGATATCCGCCGAAGTCGCGCAGGCGAACGGCTACGCGCAAACCAAGTACCTCTCCGAGCTCCTCGTCAAGCAGTTCGCGGCGCGGTACAGCGACCAGTTCGCCATCATCAAGCCCGGTCTCATCCTGGGCACCCCGGACGAAGGCGTCGCCAACACCGACGACTTCGTCTGGCGACTCGCGTCTGGCACCGTCGACGCTCACTGCTACCCCACCACGCACAGCAACGCCTGGATCTTCGTCACCAGCAGCACGCGCGTGGCGGAGGAAACCATCCACCAGGCGTTCTGCGCGCCCTGCGATCTGAAAACGGTCACGTACATGACGGACGGCACGACGGAGCGCGAGTTCTGGGAGATCTTCCACCGCGAGCTCAAGTACCCTCTCCAGCCGGTGGACCAGGAGACGTACATGGCGACGATGCATGCGATGATCCAGGCGCAGGGTCAGGGACATCCGCTGTGGCCGGTGGCGCAGGTGTTTGATGCCATTGGGGGACGACTCGGGGGCGATGTGTTGGAGGATGCGGGGAGCGTGGTGAGTCCGAGTCAGAGACAGCATGTCAAGGCGACGATTCGGCGCAATGTGCAGTTTTTGGTCGAGGCCGGGTTTATTGCCAGTCCCACGGGGAAGAAAGTGCGGTATGTCGCGGAGAAGGTGTTTAGACGGAGTGGGAATGTTTGGGAGGGGGTGAAGGGGATGGTGGGGGTTAATTAGGGTTTCGGAATAGGCAGTACGATATGGGTGTGGATGTACGAGGAGTAATGAGGATGTAATCGGATTAGCTATGGGTTTTGTATAGTTATAATATCAGCAGTCTGGCTTCAAGAGCTTCGTGTATACAGTGGGGACTCCCTCGGCAAGGGTGATATCACGATGAGCTTCATGCGAGCCACCACAATCATCACGGCATGCAATGCAGAAAGCATAGTTATCGATCTCCCTTTCGAAACAGTCCACTTGATACCTACCACGGTTGGGATGTCCTAGGGGCTGATAGTCGCGCTGATCATTCAGAGCATATATAAGTCCCCTCCCTCCCATCACCTGTTCCTCTTTCTTCTCTTTTTATCCCGCATCCCGCCCAAGCCCTAACTTGTACCTCCTCACCACTACCACCACCACCACCACCACCAACACTCATTACCTCCCACTTCACACCTCCCCACCTCATCACCTCTACTTTATCCCCACCACCAAACAGACAAAAAATGGACGCCTTCGCCCCCGCCCCACCCCCACCGACCCCCCTGGGCCGGTACCGAATCCTCTCCTCCACCGCAGGCATCCGAGTCTCGCCCCTCCAACTCGGCGCAATGTCGATCGGCAGCGCATGGTCGAGCGCGCTCGGCACCATGAGCAAAGAATCGTCCTTCTCGCTGCTGGACGCGTACACCAGCATGGGCGGCAACTTCATCGACACATGCAACAACTACCAGAACGGCGAATCGGAGAGCTGGCTCGGCGAATGGATGTCCCTGCGAGGCAACCGGGACCAACTAGTGCTATCAACGAAATACACCGGCGAATACGCGGCGCACTCGATCGCGGACGGAAAAGGGAAAACGATCAACCACTCCGGGAACCATCGACGGAGCCTGCACATGAGCGTGCGCGATTCGTTGCGGAAACTGGGCACGGAGTATATTGACATTCTGTATGTGCATTGGTGGGATTACACCACGTCGGTGGAGGAGGTCATGGACAGTCTGCACTATCTGGTGGAACGCGGCCAGGTGCTGTATCTGGGGATCTGCAACGCGCCGGCGTGGGTGGTGAGTGAGGCGAACGTGTATGCGCGGATGAGCGGGAAGACGCAGTTTAGTATCTACCAGGGACGGTGGAATGTGATGGTGAGGGATTTGGAGAGGGAGGTGATTCCGATGGCGAGACGGTTTGGGATGGCGATTGCGCCGTGGGATGCGGTCGGTGGGGGCCGGCTGCAGAGTAAGGGGGCGATGGAGGAGAGGAGGAGGAAGGGCGAGGGCGTCAGGGATATGATGGGGTCGGGGGCCTGGCAGACGGAGCAGGAGGTGAAGATGAGTGAGGCCTTGGAGCAGGTTGCAGGCCAGATTGGGGACGTGTCGGTCACGGCGGTGGCGTTGGCGTATTTGATGGCCAAGACGACGAATGTGTTTCCGCTCGTCGGGGGAAGGAAGGTGGAGCATTTGAGGGATAATATCAAGGCGTTGGAGGTGAGGTTGTCTGAGGATCAGGTGAGGTTCTTGGAGGGTGTCAATGGTGGGTTGGTCAAGGGGTTTCCCTATGATATGCTGGGCGAGGAGCCCGGCGTGTCGGGCGGGACGGGCCCGTCGTTGGCGAATGCAGGGACCGTGGATTGTGTGCGGTACTCGAGGGCGATTGGGTATGAGTGATGGTTTTGGGGTGTTGTTGTTGAGTCTGTTTGGGTTGTGTTTAGGGTATAGGAGCAGCTTGGTTAGTGGCGGTGGCTGCCGAAGCAGAAGACTGCTGTATTTCTGTGATTTGACATGGTAGGGTGGTCCCTTCCGCAGCTATATCCGTGAGAATTCGGGGTTAAGCAAAATTAAGATCATACTATTGTTTTTCTGTCTTGTTTGGTTAGTTGTATCGAGCCCCGTTTGGCGTTGTCGTTGGAGGATCGTGGAGATTACACCATATATACATATAAGGACCACGTGTGGTGGTGGGTTGATTCTAAAAAGCTTGAAGAGAATGGTCAAGGTTTTGAAAGGCCACGGAGTAGGTCTACGATTTGTTCCAGATAATTCGTACCTCCAATTGCACTCCTGGCACAAGGATGAGAAAGCGAACAGGAAGTATATCATGCCGATGAGGAATCAGGCAGTCATCTGAGGCAACAAGGCAGCCAGGCAATCAATCACGCCATTCCTGGACCAAACATCTGCCAGCAGATAAGCACATCTCTGACAGGGGTAAATGCCAAATCCGATTCTAACTTTCATCAGAGAGATAGACAGATACGAGGCCAAGCCTGATAACTACACCCTTTCCCGAAGATCGCCTCGGAAAAGACCGTCCATCGATGCCTTACCCCCCAGGCACCCACCCCAACGCAGAGATTTGCAGCCTAACCCAAAGCGGCCACCACAGCCTCAGGCCAGCACGCACACCCAATCTTACTTTTCTTTTCTGTTTTCGCCGTCCGTTCCAGAAGCTTTTTGCCTGCCCTGCCGTTGAATTGAATTGAATCCCAATCAATGCCAAGTTGCCACTCACGCGGAGAAACCTCCCCCTCCTCCCACACTTACAAACCACCATCCATCCATCCCACGTCCCCGGCGTCACCATGCCGGCCCCCGGATCCTAGCCACCAGCCAGTGAGTCAAAATGACCACACACAAGCCCTAAAAAGGCCACCTCATCCCAGCTTCCGCGACACTTTTTCCCTGCATCACATCATTCCGTGACTAATTAGTGCGGTTGAAGGATTCAATCGCAGGGGCGCATATCCAGCAGCCCCCCGCCCGGGTGGAGTCCGTCCTGGTCCCGTCCCACCAAAGAAAACCTCGTTGGCCGGTGGAGTTGTACCCAGGGACACTGTGAACCGTGATTTCCGCTGGATTCGCTCTGCTGGGATGCACCAATGGTGCAAAGGCGGTTCCCGATGTCGCGATGCAGGTACCGGGGGGCGGAGGGGGGCGAATAACTGTTAACTAAAAGCTTTTTCTCCGCGTGGCGAGTTACCTGGCTGTTGTTCCCTCCCTCCAGTGACTTACTTGATTGACTACCAGTCCCCAGTCAAGTCAACCTAGGTCCCAAGTCTGGTTCTTCCCCCAGGACTAATAAGAACTGAACGCGACTCCGGGGCTGACTTCCCGTCTCTTGTCTCTCTGACTTTGACTTTGACTCTGTCCTGACTCTGAGCTGCTGTTGTCGGTTGGCATTGGCACCACCTGTGAGTGTTTCGTCTCTCGCTTCGCCTCGCCTCGCCTCTCTTTTGCACTGCATTGCTCTGCACACCGTTGCAGCACAGGCGAGCAAGCAAGAAGCAAGATGCACCACACCACCGCCACCCCCGAGGACGAGAAGATCCAGCAATACGGCTATGGCGGACCGCAGGTGGTCAGCTGTGACGACGAGGCCCCCGCCAAGGGGGAGATGGAGCTGAACGTGGGCGGACGGGGAGGCACACAGCGACGCCTGAAGAACTACCAGGTCAGCATGATCGGGTTCTGCGGCGGCATAGGCACCGGTCTCTTCGTGGGGACGGGGTCCGCGTACGCTGACGCCGGCCCAGCCGGACTGCTGCTGGCCTACATCGTGATCGGATTTATCCTGTGGTGCGTCATGCAGAGCATCGCCGAGCTGGCGACGCTGCTGCCCACGGCCGGGTCGTTCCCGCACTGGGCGACGCGGTTCATCGATCCGGCGGTTGGTTTCTCGCTGGCGATCACTTACGGATACTGCTATACGATTGCCATCGCGTCGGAGGTGTCCGCGTCGGCGGTCATCGTGGCTTACTGGACGGATATATCCCCTGCGGTGGTGATCACCGTCGGGCTGGTGCTGATCCTCGGGATCAATCTGATGAGTGTGCGGTTCTACGGCGAGAGCGAGGTGATAGCCGGCATGATCAAGGTGATTTGCTTTGTTGGGCTGGTGTTCGTCGCCATTGTGATCACGGCGGGCGGAGGCCCGAATCATCAGAGTATCGGGTTCAGGTACTGGCATCATCCCGGCGCGTGGACGAACTACAATGGTATCACTGGGCCGACGGGTCACTTCCTCGGCTTCCTGTCGGCTTTCGTCAACGCCTCGTTCAGTTTTGTCGGTGTCGAGACCGTCGTCATTACCGCTGCTGAGTCCGTCGACCCCCACTACGCTATCCCCAAGGCTGCTCGTCGCGTCACCTACCGCATCGCCTTCTTCTACATCCTCGGTGCCCTGCTCATCGGAATGATCGTCAGCCCGACCAATGCCGCCCTGGTCTCGGGATCCGGTAACGCCAACAGCTCCCCCTGGGTTATTGCCATCAAGCAGGCCGGGATCACGGCCCTGCCGTCCATCGTCAACGCCTGCGTGCTCATCTCCGCCTGGTCCGCCGGTAACTCCTACTGCTGGGTCGGGTCGCGCATGATCGTGGCGATGACCACTGATCACCAGCTGCCGCAGCTGTTCGGCCGCGTGAACAGGATGGGCGTGCCATACTACGCGGTGCTGGCCTCGTGGCTGTTCGGTCCCCTGGCGTATCTGAGTGAGTGCCCACGGATCGTTCCAAGTGTGTAACGTGTGTGCTAATGATAATCTAGGTCTCGGCTCCGGCGGCCCCTCGCAGGCCTTCACCTGGCTGCTGAACCTGAGCACCATCGCCGGTCTGATCGCGTGGGCGACGCTTTCGTTCTGCTACATCCGGTTCCACGCCGCGATGAAGGCGCAGGGCGTCAGCCGCGATACCATTCCCTGGAAGGGGCCCTTCCAGCCGTACACGGCGTGGGTGGGCTTCATCGGCTCGACCATCATCACCCTGGTGGCCGGCTTCCCCGTCTTCCTCAAGGGCAACTGGTCCACGTCGAACTTCTTCGCCTCGTACGTGGGTATTCCGATCTTCGTCGTGCCCATTATCCTGTGGAAGGTCTTCAAGCGCACCAAGGTTCGTTCTTCCCTTTCCCGTATATATTATCCTGCTTGAGCACCATCTGACGACCCCAGTTCCTGAGCACCACCGAGATCGACCTCTGGTCCGGCCGTCTGCAGGAAGGAGAGATTATCGTCAAGGAGGGAGGGCCCAAGACGCGGCTGAGACGCTTCGTGGAGTGGTTCTTCTAGTTCAATTCGTTCTTGGTTCTTCGTTCGTTCGTTTGTACATAGATGTGCGCCTAGATGGTGATACCCAACATCGCTTTAATTACATTTTCCCCTGGCCATCGTATGTTTTTTTTTTTTTTTTTATAATGTTGCTCACGCGGACTGGAACTGCTCGCCCAGTCGCTTGATATCGTTGTATGAAGCCTTGCAGCAGCCGCCGACCAGCACGGCGCTGAACTGGCCGGTCGCGACCGTGTCGTTGACCACCTGCGCGAGTTGGACTTCCCAGGGTCGCTGAGCAGTTAGCATCCGCATCACAAACCACTCAAACGCGCCACAACAAGAAGAATGAGAAAAAAAGAAAACTCACTGAATACGCCTTCTCGCCCAGATCCAGCTTCTTCTCCCACGTCTGTGTCGTAGTATTATACACCTCGCCCTGGGTACCATCAGGATACAGCACCAAAGCCGGCCTGTCCGCAATCCTGCCCTCGGCTCTCAACCTCTCGACAGCCTGCGCAAACAACCCCACCAACCGGGGCAACTTATGCACCTTGGTACAATTGATCCCGATGCCCCAGGGCGTGGCCGCGCCGTCTTCCGGCAGCAACGCCGCCTCAACCACCTGCTCGACGCTACTCCCATCGGGAAGCGCATCCTCATCCTCCTTCGGGAAAACACAGGCAACCCAGAACGGAATCCCTTGTGTCTGCTCCCCAGCCGAGGTGACAGCCCTGCGCACCGCCCTCACCTCATCGAGTCTGGGCAGCGTCTCCAGCGCAATATACTGCACCCTGTCCCTCAGCTCCTGCCCCTGTCCCTGAAACGCCTCCGTAAAAAGTCCCAACCGCTCCGTATGCCACGCCGCCAACGCCTCCTCCCCTGCGTGCCCCTCATCATAATCGCCACTATACTCCTGTCCCGGAATCATGGTCGCGCCGTACGGCCCCAGACTGAGCGCGATCTTGGCCTTGGTGCCCTGCACCGCCTGGTCGGCGACCGACAGTGCAGTGCGCAGGTAGGGCGCGATCTCCGGGCGGGCGATACCGGCGGGGTGGGCGGGGGTTTTTGTGCGCTGGAACCCGGCAACAGAGACTTGGTAGGTGGCGGTGAGGAGGACGTCGACGGAGGCGGTGGTGGTGAAGTCGCGTTGGCAGGAGAGGAGGGTGTCCGGGGAGGAGATCATCAGGTGGGAGGACCAGAGGGGGGTGGCGCTGCTGCTGAAGGTTTGGGAGTAGTGGTCTTGCAGGGAGGTGCCGAGGCCGCCGTCGAGGATCAGGATGGGGGTTGGGGTTGTCATTTTGGTGGTGGTGTGGGAGATTGGGTGTTTTGGATGGATGGAGGTGGGATGGGTGTGGAATGGGATGGTGGGAAAGGGAGGGAGGTGAGGAAATATTTGTCGGTGTTGCGTGCGGATTTGCCCCGCAATGTGTGTGGGGGGGGGTGCGTTGCGGGCGTTGTGACTTGCGTGCTTGGTGGGATTGCGGGATTGCGGGATTGCGGGATTATCGGGTTATGGGATTGTCGGGTTGCTTGGGATGTTGGAGGTTGAATGGATGTTCAAAAGAAGATGGTTTCATGGCTGTCGAAGATGTTGCTTTCAGAGTACTGCGTAGATCACTTACTTATGCAAAGCTGCTGCAGAAGCGGCGGGGGGGGGGGGGGGGGGGGTGGCGGTCACGAGTCTCGGGGAATCGGGTTGCCTCGGAAGATCTCACTGATGAATTGGAGTTCCTGGAGATATTCATTAGGATCTAGTAATATGTATAATTGAAGAAGAGGTACCTGCCTAGGGGATGAAAATAACCCTGGAATTAACTGCAGATAAGCGTCTGACCGTCCCTGGACTAGAAAGTAAGCTTAGTCTCGTGACATTGTTAGGCCGTGGGCACGTCGCGCCAGTTGATGATTTTGCCCCCATCGGAATTGAATTCTACAGGTGTATATTTTCACTGTAGAAATGACTCTGTACTGACCCCTCGAAGTTTTCCGTCGGTTATTCTACGCTCCGAGAGAGTTCCGTCGTGAAGACTCAATACAGATCCTCGCTCCAGGGTCAGATTAGTCCACTTTAGACCGATGCTGTGGTCGACCATTAGCCATCGTCTCGTGCCGCTCTCTATTAATATTCCCATGCGGATCGTCCTCGCAACATGACACCAGCACATGAGACCGATCGTCATTGGAAGGATTCGAGAACCCCCCATTGGAGGGCATCAAACGACACCCCCCCACAGTGATAGGCAGGGCCGTTTTCTCTAGATTAGCCAGGACAGTGGCAGTGTCACCGTCCGATCCCAGTTAATTCCGCGACAGTGTGACAGTCAAGGCTGTGGCTGTTACTGGGTGGTAATTACTACTAGTACTCCAGTACTACTTACCAGCCAATGCATCTGCATCATGCACACAGCCTCAGCCACAGCAGCGTTCCAATTCATGAAGTCCGATTTATCTATCCATCTATCTAGTCTAGCTGCAGGGTTGGTATGGAGCTAGGAAGCAGGCAACTAGCAATAGTAGCACCGAGTTAGCGCCCTTACCCCGGTGCGATTCCGATCTAATCACATCGCCTCCTTTCAAAGAGGCGCGACCAGGTAGTTTCTATCTCAGTCCCTGAATCCACCCCCACAGCTGTAAACATGAAAAAATAAAAAAATAAAAAATAAAAAAAAGCGACCAATTATGCTTGAACCCGACCTCCCCATCACGAGAACACCAGGACAATCTCTCACTGGCCCAGCACGCTACAATCAGACTTTCACTCATATATACTTTTTTTTTGCCTCACAAGTCCATGCAAGGGACATGTCCCAGGGCCAGTCTTGGTGGTAATTGCAGACACTACCTAACTACTACCAAAAACTGCCGCAGTTTCTTTATCCCGCCCGCCTCGGTCCTGCGTACGGTACGGAGTACTGTGCGGATGGCATCTACGGTACAGAATGAGGCTGCCTAGCACGATTGGGGCGATACTGCGGAGTATTGCTAAGAATAGCGCGCACCGCCCCAGCCCTATTGGCCAAGCAGCCACAGAAGCTTGGGTAAAGCTTGGAGCAGCAGATATTTCCGTTTCTACTCCGTACTGTCTAGGGTGCTGATTGAATTACATGGATGGCGTTGAGGGGAATACTACAGTACTACAGTTTGAGAGATGCCGAAAAATGAGTCTGCCTATTTTACTGCCGCGGTGGCTGGTGGCTGGGGGCCGATCGTCGGCTGTTTGGGATCGCTGTCGTACGGTATCTGTACGGTACTGGGCTTGAGACGGGGCATATCTTCCGAGCCTTCGTCTCTTGCCGGGGATAGTCGGTAGAATAGGTAGACCGGAAAGTAGATAGATAGAGAGATAATGGAAGTGATGAAGACGAGAGTGATGTAGTCCTCCTGACCTACCCTCCGCGCATGATGCTCGTCTATCCCCCAGTTATACAGGGAGATAGACAGGTAAACAATATTCAGAATCCGGCCTCCTCCACGAATCCCCCCCCGCCAAGCCCCGCCAAGCTGCTAGTCGGCAGGGCTGAGCGAGTTGACGTGGACGGGCTCGTGGTTATGAGTGGTTGTCTGTATTGATCGATGCGTACGCGCTGGTACCGGCCGTCCCGCTGGACCCCTGATCCAAACAATCTTTCCCTTTGCCTTTCACCCTACCCTGGGAGTCCGTGGCATAAATAGCGCCCGCCCGGCCCTGCTTCTCCATCATCATCATCTCCATCATCCACAGACAGAAAGACAGACAGACAGATAGATAAACCTACCTTCCCCACCTATCTACCTACCCACCTACCTTTCCACAACAACCAACCACTTCAATCAAAATGTTCAGCTGGTTCAAGTCCACCAAGCAGCAGGAGGAGTCCGCCCAGCCCACCTGGGACCCCAACACCATGACCATGACCAGCCAGCAGCCCTCTAGCCCGGAGGCGCCTTCCACCGAGCGCGTCATCACTGAGCAGCCCGTATGCTTTTCCCTCCCCCATAACCTCACCTCCCCACTCTCGTCTCCATCCATGAAGTCAAGCTAATATGATCATCTCCAGAACACCGACGAAGCCATGAAGATGAACCTGCGTGGTGGCGGTGCCGGTGATGTTTGCTGCGGAGTGTATGTTCCCGCCCCGCCCTGTCTCCCTCTCCTTCAACATCCACCCATCCACCCTACCCCACAATGGAAATGGATAAATGACTAACTAACTGTCCACAGTTGCGCCGGTCTCCTCTGCTTCGAATGCTGCGAGGATTGCTGCTAGACAAGACAATCAATACCCTAACTACCACCCTACCACCCTTATGAAAGGAGAAACGAACACGAAAACGAAAGAAAAGAAAGGAAAAGAAAGAAACGTGCTACCTACCTACCTACCTACCTACCTACCTACCGCTCACCATCTATGACCTACCTTACCTTCACGATGAACCCGAACGATGAATCGCGAGGACGAGGAGAAGGGAGAAGAAGAATGGGAAGGGCAAGGAGCAATTACTAAATTTCGATGATGTCTGGTCGCTACCTATGATCGCTTATACCCGGTGTACTTATCTACCCACCTACCTACTTATTCTGTTGCCTCTTGGGTTTATGTTATGTTATTGGAATAAATGGATAAATGACATGACTTTTGTTCGGTATTCGGTGTTCAGTATTAGTGTTCAGGACTAGTGTTCAGGACTGGTTCAGTGTCTATCGTTTGCGCGTTCGGTGCGGTACGCTGGATGGGTGGATGGATGGGCGGGCGGTTCGGTTCGTCGGCTTGATTTGCTTTCGCTACCTAGTAGGCAGAAAGCAGAGTACCTCACCTAGACGGCAGAGTCGCGAAATGACTATTTGTTGGATTTTTATTGTTCTTGTTGACTAACTATGAGACATTGCTAGAAACATGACGCGCCTCAATATTTCCTCCGTTCTTGCCAGTCTGACTAAGAGATACACTGTGAATTAACTATGGGAGTCTGATATTGAGTCAATATCCTCCCCCGGCGCAATTGCAAATTGCAAATTATTGAATGACCAATCCCATGAAACAAAACCAAGTCAATGAATCCGTCGAGAACAATCCCTGGATGCGCAAAGAGGCGACTTTTTCTACCTCTTTCGATCGTTCTCCTACCACATTCGTCTCTCTCGCATATCCTGTCCGATGGTCGTGGAACGGTTCACATCAATCTTGCCCGCCTCGTACTTGACCGTCCCGTCGGTGTGGAGGCCCACGGCCTTGACGAAACCCCCGCTCACCTCGTCGATGATATCTCCGAACTTCGGGCCGTCGTTGAGGTTGCAGCGGATAGTGCCGGATTCGCAGTGTGCCACGAGGGCGGCGGTGGATTTGAACATGCGGAGACAGCCGGGGCATCTGGGGAGAGGGTAAGTTGGCGTGTATCCTGGCTTGTGAAGCACAAGAGAGGGAAGAAGGGAAGGGGGGCAGGAGACCAGTCTACTTACTGCATGCTACGACGGGCGTTGCTCTTCGCCAGCATATGGTGCTCGAAGACCCTCATGTCCTTGAAGTTCTTTCCACAGGGACACTCATACAGACCACTCAAGGAGCTGAAAAACCTGGTTGGATCCCAGTTACGATCGATAAGACGAAGGGTATATCCCGCGTCGATCTGCTTGCCGAACGGGGCATTCTCGTCGCCAGGGAAAGCAGCAGGGGGAGCCTGTGCCTTCTCCTTGCCCTTTCCAGCGGTATCGGCATGGCTTTTGGGGTTGGCTGCGCAAGCACCGCCCTTCTCCTCGTCTTCAAACGCCAGCATGGCCGACGAAAAGGCACCCTTGGGCGCGTTGATCAGCGAGGGGTGCGACAATCCGATGCCGTCATCGGCCTCGAGGGGACCGGTGAGCTTGACGCCGCCCTCGGACTCATCGACGCCCTCGGGGTCCGGCAGAGTCGGCAGCCCGGTTCCCTCGCCAGTTCGAAGGGCCTCCTTGATGATGAACTTCTTGGACTGCTCGTGCAGGAGCCGCGTCATCGGAATCTCGGGGCAGTCGTCTTCCTCGATGTGGCGGACCAGGGCGCTGGCTTGGTTAAATTTCTGCTTGCAGCCGACGCAGGTCACTCTCTGATGGGCGCGGTGGAGCTACAGAGATACGATGGTTAGATGAAGTTGGCGAGGGGATAGGGGGGGGGTGAGGCTGCTCACGTTGCGGATGTGGGTGTCCCGGCCGCCCTCGCAGCGGAACTCGCTCGCGCACATCGGACAAACGATGTGCTTCTCGCTCTGGATGCGGTGGATCAGGTATCGCTCGTCGTCCTCGAAGTCCTCGTCGCAGCGGATGCAGTACTCGTGCTCGATGACCTTGTGCTTCTTCATGGCCACGTCGGAGGCGAAGTAGAGTCTGCATTTGGGGATGGTGCAGCGCACCCGGGTGGGGGCTGCCTGGGAGGCCATGTTTGCTAAAGAGGAGGATGTTCGTGGTGGGATAAACAAAGAAGTGGGGGCACGCAGGACGCGAAGTGATGTTGGTGTCGTGGGAGTCGTGGCTCAATTCACTATGGAGTGGATCAGGGAACGGGGGAGGAAACGGTGGAGCTTTCTTCCCTTTCCCTGGTGGGGTGGAGGTGAACGAAGGTGAGACGACAGTGCCGGCGAGGGATGGTGTGGGGATCTGTCTCAGTAGATTTGAAAGATGATTGCAGAGGATCTCGGAAGAGGAGTTGGGGAGCTGGCTCTCTTAGGTGTTGGCCACTTTTCAGTGGGGGGAGACTGGCGATTAGACGATAGAGACTGCGGGAGGTTTTATGTTCCTCAGTTGTACTGGGTTTGAAAGATAGTCGTGCAGGATATGGGGAGGGTCTCTCAGATGCTGATCACTTTGCAGTGGGAGGAGACTGGAGGGGTGAGGCGAAGTCGAGGACGTTTCGGTCAGGCGCTACGTTCCAGCAGCTTCCATCCTTCCTGATTCAACCATGACCCAAGGATGAGGAAATTACACCAAGTCAATTCCATTCATCGCGTCATATATGGGTAACGATAACTACACCATCCAGTCCACCTCTCCAACCCCACCATCCAACTTAGAACCTCGAGAACGGCAGCCTGTCCACGTCAGTATACCCATCCTGCACCACCAGAACCAGGAACATCAACTCACCACTTCCCCCTCAGGGTAATCACCGCCCAGTTGTTCCCATCCTGATCCGTCTCCTTCTCCACCTTCGTCGAGAACGAGATCGCGCTCATGATGCCATCCCCGAACTTCTCATTCAGCACCGCCTTGTACGCGTACCCGTAGTTCTGCACGATCTCGTACAGCCGGTAGATCAGCGGCTCCTTGGGGGGCATCTCGACGGTGCGACCGCGGTCGGGGAAGCCGCTGAGCAGCTCTTCGAGCTTGGAGTGGGGGATCCCCAGCAGCGAGGCGAGCTTCTCGATGTCCTCGGGCGAGGCCTTGGCCTGGCCGTAGAAGATGGCGGCGGCGGCGACTTCATTGCGGCCGATGTGCTGGGCGATCTGCTCGAAGCTCAGCTGCTTGGCGGCTTTGGCGCTGAAGAGGGTGTCCGAGGCGGAGGGGAGGTAGGGGCGTTGGGAGCCCTGCGGTCGGAGGGGGGGGGGGGGAGTTAGTTTGTAATTTGATTTATTTGGTTGGTGGGATTCAGAGGATCATTTGGAAGACTCACGTCGAGGGTTACGAGAGACATGGTGGAATTGGAATTGATGTTGGGGTCAATGTTGGCGAGGAATCGAGAATCGAGAGGCAGGGAGGATGTCGGATGGACGATGTCATTCTTAAATAAGTGGCCGGCATCGGCTTCTCCAACTGCGTGCGGGGTTGACTGACTACTAACTAGTTACTAGCAGTACTAAGTACTACTACTACTAGTGTCCACTGCTGCGGGGTCTGCCGAGGATCTCCAAATCAGCCCATTCTTCCCAACATCAACATTCATGTTGCTCTGCTGTGGGATACGCAGTATTTATACCAAACTACTCAGGGGGGTATTGTTTTGAGAGACCAATCTGAAAATGATCATAGGTGCGTACTATCCCAGAGAGAATGTTACCCCCAACCCACGATATCATTCTGGAAGATGACTATCCTCGGCGGACTGTGGACAATTGATAACCTGGCAGATAAATAGAAAATATGGTACTCCGTAGTAGGATACTACTACTAGTACTAAGTAGTAAGTAGTACTACTATCCACCCTGCAGCTGTCCCAACCGGATCGCCATCAACGCGCATCACGTGCCCCCCCCCTCATTTCTTTCTCCGCAACTCCGCCACCGTCAACAACTATGGAATCACCACACCCCATGCACCACACCCCGGGAACCAAACGCCCCGCGTCGGAGCAGGAAATCAGCGGCTCGCGCACTCGTCCATGCCATGCCTGCAACAAGACCTTCTCCAAAGCCGAGCACCTCACCAGGCACCTCCGCAGCCACACCCAGGAAAAGCCGTACGCGTGTGCGACCTGTGGGAGGGTCTACTCTCGAAGGTTGAAAGGTGCGGAGGCCGAAACACCTGTGCTACCACTGACTGCTGCAGCGATGTGTTACGCCGACACGAGAAGAGCCACCAGAACCCTTCCCCGCATTCCCGACTGTCGATGTCGGCAACCCCGTTCCCATCTACGGCCGACGACTCGATGATGCCCACGCCTCCGTCTCCCGTACGACCAAAGCGACAGAGGGTCCTGCCGGTTTCTTCCCTGCTCATGCCAACGACTTCTCAGCTGGAGGAGACAATCGATCCTCCCGAGGCTATTCCGGCGGGGATGAGTTTACATGACACCGTATTACAGGCGGATTCCAGCACGTGGTTCTTGGACGCGGACTTTGATGTGAATGCCTTGGACTTTTCAATCTCCTCTGCCATATCCGAATGGGCGCAACTGCCTTCCGCCCCAGGTTTCTGTGATTCGACTGGCCCAGAAGAGCCCCCGCTGCCTATACCAACACCGTCGGGGACCAAGGATGAGGACCCGCCATCGGCAGACACTGTCAGGAAGAAGTGGTTTACCTGCTTGTCTCCACCAGACCAGACCGGATCTGTCTACCCAAGCGGTATCTCCGGGGATTATTTCCTCCAAGGGAGGGATGCTGATGATAGCTACAGGGCTGGTCTGTCCCAGAGACTAAAGCCTCGTATGCAGGATGAAGCACTGCCCTCGGTTGAACAGCTCAATCTATTCGCGAAGCTGTTCTTTAGCCGGTTTCACTCCCTGTTTCCCGTCATACATGCCCCAACCTTCCGACCGGTGGCAGAAAATTCGTTGCTGTTTTTGTCGATCTGCTCCATAGGAAGCCTTTTTGTTGGGTCATCGCATGCCGTGGCGCAGGGCTTGAGAATATTTGAAAGACTAAACAAAGCTGTTCTGGCCTCGTGGGAGAACATATTGGCCCACAGTCGGTCCGATGCACTATCAATGGTCCAGACCGCTATTCTGGGCCAGACATATGGCATGCTATCCGGACGGCCCAGAGATTTAATTCTCGCCGATGTTCTCCATGGCGCCGCCCTGGGCTGGACGCGCGAGTCCAACAAGTACTGCGGCCCCAACCATACCGAACCCATTAATCCAGACTTAGATGGACATGAACTGGACGAGCAATGGCACCGTTGGGTTGAAGTGGAGCAAAGAAGGCGGGTCGAGATCGCGTTGAACATCCATGATGCAGAGCTCGCAAGGCTGATGCACCATGAGCCGATTCGCAAACATCGATTCGCCCAGTATCCTCGGTTAGGATCCGAGGCCATGTTTATGGCACCCACAGCGGCCCGATGGGCTGACCTCTACCGACAGTCGTTGTATGGAGGGTCTGATCTCAATATTGATATCCATTTTCACAAAGCCGGACACAACTCTAGATTTGCTGTCTATAGTGTCCTGGAAAGTATTAGCGCATACGTCATTGAAGCTCGCCTATCGGAAGGCTTGGACGAAGGGAGATCTGAAGAACTGTCAGGTCTGTTAATGCACTGGTGGATAGAGTACGGTCCGCATTTCAAGGATGAGGAAGACGCATTTGGCCTTCCGGTTCTGTGGCACTCAATATACATGTCCCTCTACGCGGACATGGACTTACTCGAGCGGGCAGTTGGTCGCGATGGCCATGCATCTGCTATCGACTCCCGCGATGCCGTTCGTACATGGACCGGCTCATTGAATGCCAGCAAGTGCTTGGTTCACGCGCTATTAATACAACGCCATCTGGAGAGGATGCGGATCTCTTCGGAGCCTGCGATCCATGTCCCTGGTGCTCTGTACTCGGCTGCCCTTGCATGGCTCTGCTTCACGAGGATCGGGTCGCAACGATCGGTCGATCTCAGGGCGTTTGACGCTCCGGAGATTCGGCTCCTAGGCAGTGAGGCCGCCCTTCAAGAAGCGCAAGGGCAGGCATTCGGGGACTCGGTGTTTGCAGACGTCAACCACCTGCATAGACTGATTGATCTGTTGCATCGCTTTGGGCGCTGGGCTATCTCGAAAACCTTTGCAACTGTATTATGTGCAGCTTTGGAGGAGGCTGGGAAGAATGAGTATTAGGACCGCCTTCCAGCACGCAAGGGGCCTGCCGGTAGTAATAGCTCATGCATACTCCGTACTCTTTAACACTCATCCAGAATGCGGCCTGGGTCGGTCTCCCCGCAGCCTGGCGGGGTTGGCGGGGTTGCGGGATGGTGGGATGGTGGGATGGTGGGATGCGGATGCGGGGTGGCGGGGTGATCTGCGCAGCCGGAATATGGAGGTATCCTTCGCTCATCCCTTGTTGACAACCTTGCATGATCTGACCTGTGGGGGCTACAGTTGCACGGAAACGTTATCTGCTCTTCGTCGACGATGAACAATATAAGTGCCCCTCTGGTCCACATCTGGGCAGTCAAGCAATCCAGCAAGTTTCACATTCAGAATCGCGACTCTACCAAGACTAATCACTTACCATGCCGGTCTTCACCGAATTCGCCTCCAAGTCTCGAGACCTCCGAGTCCTTCCATCCTTCGCCCCTCCGCTGCCTCGTTTCTCACCACCCTTCCAGCCTAAAGGAGATGGGACCGAGCGGTATGAAGTGGTTATCGTAGGGGTATGTCCTGTCAAACCTACATCACGCGAAAATAATCTATGACAAGCAGACTAATGTACCTAGGCCGGGCCCGCGGGACTCATGCTGCAGCTTCTTCTGGCCAGATATGGACTGAGCGACGAGTCTCTGCTATGCATCGATTCCAAGTCAAGCACGTTGAAGTCCGGCCAGGCCGATGGTATCCAGCCCCGGACATTGGAGGTGTTGAAAACATTGGGCATTTCGGACGAGATCGAGAACGAGGCGTGCCAGATCTGGGATTTTGCCTTCTGGAACACAGCTACCGACGCCTCCAAAATCATCGAGCGCAAGTCCATTCTCCCCGACGTGATACCCGAGGCGCGCTTTCCCTATGAAGCTACCATCCACCAGGGGCGGGTGGAACGCATAATGGAAACCGACCTCCTGCGATACTCCAAGAGAGGAGTGCAAAGAGACACCAAGCTGCTCAACGTTCAGATCGATGAAACAGATGCCGAGTTTCCCGTTGTGGCCGAGATCGAGACGCACGGTGTTAGACGAGTTATTCGGTCCAAACACTTGGTTGGTGCAGATGGTGCACACTCCATGGTTCGTCAATCTATGGGACTGAAGCTGGAGGGCCAGTCGTTGGACCATATCTGGGGCGTTGTGGACATGGTGGCGGACACCAACTTCCCTGACATTCGCAAACGGTGTGCGATCCACTCCCCGGCTGGCTCGGTGATGGTGATTCCCCGGGAGCAGATCGTGACGGGTGAGTATCTCACTCGACTCTACGTACAGGTGCCAGGGATTGTGAACCCAGACAGCGACGTTGCCGGGGAATCTGCAGACCCGTGCGTCGAGGATGCCAGAGTACGCCGCAGCAAAGTGACGCTCGACGAGATCCTGAAGCAAGCCACGGACGCGTTCAAGCCGTACTGCCTGCGACCCAAGAGCGACGAGTCCATCGACTGGTGGGCCGCTTACCAGATTGGTCAGCGGGTCTCACCTGAATTTACTGTCAAGGACTCTGCTGGTATTGACCGGGTGTTCATAGCGGGAGACGGTATGTCCACCTACTATTCAGAAATGAACGTCGCTAATGACCATAGCCTGCCACACACACAGCCCGAAGGTATTGTCCATGACCTATCCACAGACCAGGCTAGCGGCTAACCGTGTTCAGGCCGGCCAAGGAATGAACGTATCCATGATGGACTCTTACAATCTGGCCTGGAAACTGGCCTACCACATCCACGGGCTCAGTCCCGCCTCCGCCCAGCAGGGGCATCCGGATCCTCTGCTCCACACCTACCAGCTGGAACGGCATGCCAACGCACAGCAGTTGATTGACTTCGACCGCAAGTTCTCGACCATCTTCTCCGGTCAGCTCGACAGCGAGTCGGGCCTGTCGCACGCCGAGTTTGTGGAGACGTTCAACACGGGCAACGGCTTCACCAGCGGATGTGGGGTGGAGTATGCCGATAACATGATCGTGGCGAAGACGCCTGACGGATCCATCCATCCTGTGCGAGGGGACGACTACCTGTCGGGGATCCTTCGCGCGGGCAGGCGGTTGCTGAACGTGAAGGTGAAGCGACACGCGGACGGCAGACACCGGGATATCCACGATGGTCAGTAGTAACAGCCCCCTGCTGTTTCTTGCCCCGGCTGACCACACATGCCTTGCAGATCTGGCGTCCACGGGCCGGTTCCGGATCGTGACGCTCACCTCGGATGATCTTCTGGAGACCGAAGGGGTTTCCGCCCGGGCACTGACCTCGGTGTTTCGTCTGTTGGAATGTTTCCCGGCGGGGGTGATCGAGGCGATCGTGTTGCACCCGCGGCTGGGAAGGGGGGTCGAGTGGGAGGATGTCCCGGGGTGCGTGAAGGGGCAGGCGGAGATGCGGTTCTACGACGGGCAGGCGCTGGAGGATGCATACCAGCGGTACGGGGTGGATGCGGGGCAGGGGGCGGTTGTCGCAGTGCGGCCCGACGGGTATGTTGGGGTGGTTGCGCGGCTGGAGGATGTGGAGCGCGTCGAGGAGTACCTGCGTGGCTGCATCCGAAGGGTAGGGATATAGCTGTTTCAATCTCGATATGATGGATGGATGTATATACCTGCCAGTGAGGACGCGTCAGTGATAGTATAGTGGAGTACGGAGTAGCACATGAAGTAATACACCATGGATCTCTTTTCTTGGGGGGGAAATGGCCGTCTTTCCCCGAGATCCCGTGTGACCACCAATGATAACCCTCCCCAGGGATTCACCAGCTGTGAAATGGCAGCCGGAGCATCCGCCTGAACCTTTGCATTCCCACCGTGGCAGCGTCACGTCATGAGGTGGCCGTTACACAACCAGCCAGCCAGCCTCGTGTCGGTCAATGGCGGTAAATGGCGGTATTCGATACTCCGTACCACTCACTAAACCTCTGGGCGCTCTTGACCGCGACTTCGACTTCCGGGCGGGACAGTGATACCGGTACTACCGGTACGGGTGTGGTAAATACGGCTAGCGGGGATCCGCTCAGCCCGGCACAGCCACACCGCCGCATCCTGGAGGAGTGCAGTCAGTAGAGTGCAGGACAGTACAGGACAGTACAGGACAGTGCAGGACAGTGCAGGACAGTGCAGGACAGTGCAGGACAGTGCAGGTCTGCTGCTGTCAACAAGAATGGTCTCTTCCAGTAAAGATTCTGGAAGACAGTGTCAGATTCATCGGCGAGGAGGATTGTCGCCTGAAAGTGGATGTGGAGTGGACTGGTCTGGCTGTGTCTGTCTTAGGAGGGCGGGGCACGGCCTCAGGCCCTCTTGTCTCCCGCCGAGCTGAGCTGACCAGACCATAACTATCCCTCTTCCCCCCCTCTGTTGTTCTCTTCTCTTCTCTTCTCATCCTCATCCTCCGCGACGATTTCTCTCTCCGATCCTTTCGTCGCTCTACTTCTCCACTTCTCCATCGTCCCTTCCCCTTCTTGACTCTCCTATCCCCTACTCCGTCTCCATGACCCGCCAAGAGGAGGACCTGGCCTATGGCCAGTACCACCAGAACTCCGCGACGCCTTCCTCCACTGACACCGCCCGGGGCTTCGTCAGTGACACCTTCGGCAAGCTGAAGCAGACCTACAAGGCCCAGTCGTCGTCCCAACAGGCATCCTCCCAGCAGTCCCAACCCGCACGTCCATCTCCTCTGTTTACGCGGCCCCCCCCCGTTTCAACCCCCGGTACTAACCGACCCGTTACCCAGAACCAAACCTACCAGTCCCAGGGTTCCCCGCACCAGGCCCAGAAGCCCCAGAAGCAGGACAAATTCTCCGGTCTGTTTGGTAAGCTCGAGGAACTCGGCAATGAGGTGGCCCAGAAGCTGGGCACCGCCCTCGACCCCCAGGCCTATGCGCAGTATGGGCCGGTCAAGCCGCAGTCGGAGAACCGCTTCGGCAGCTTTGCGCCCCCGCGTCAGGGCAATGAGGTGAAGTGGCATGTGGATGGCTGCGCCTACTTCTATGCTGTGTCGAAGGCGCTGGAGACTGCGAAGGATTATATCTGGATTCTGGACTGTAGGGCCCCGAGAGCAAACAAGCAGCGTTGAGGATGGGAATGAACCAGCGAGGCTAACGATCACCAGGGTGGCTGACGCCAGAACTCTACCTCAGACGCCCCCCCGCGAAGCATGAGCAGTACCGGCTGGATCGGATGCTGCAGGCTGCCGCGCAGCGCGGCGTCCGCGTCAACATCATCGTGTACAAGGAGGTCACCCAGGCATTGACCCGTAAGTCCCGAAGACCTTGAATGCGGGTAGGAAGCTCACAGCGCCAGTCTCATCCCACCACACAAAGCACTATCTGGAGGAGCTCCACCCCAACATCTCGGTGTTCCGTCACCCCGACCATCTGCCCGATCGCCAGGCGGTGGAGGCCTCCATCGCCACCTCCATCGAGAACCTGTCCCTGGACGGCGGAAACCTCGCCAAGATGTCTGAGGACGCGATCAAGGGCCTCTACGGCATGCGCGAAGACGTGATCCTCTACTGGGCCCACCACGAGAAGCTGTGCATTATCGACGGACGGGTCGCGTTCATGGGCGGCCTGGACATGTGTTTCGGTCGCTGGGACACCAACCAGCACGCGCTGGCCGACGTGCACGGCCAGGACCTGAACGAAATCGTCTTCCCGGGCCAGGACTACAACAACGCCCGTGTGAGCGACTTCCACGACGTCGCCCACTGGGAGCAGAACCAGCTGGACCGGAAGAAGACCTCCCGCATGGGTTGGTCGGATATCTCGGTGAGTCTGCACGGTCAGGTCGTCGAGGATCTAAGGCAGCACTTTGTCCAGCGCTGGAACTTCATCTACGACCTGAAGTACCAGTCCCGCGAGAACTCGAGATATAGCAGACTGGCCTTGTACGGTCGCCCGACCTCGTCCAGCAACCAGAAACCCCAACAGGGATCCCAGCAGGCGCCCCAGCAGGGCAGCCAGGCCCAGGCACCGGCCATCGCTCCCCAGCCTGGCGCGAACCCCGGTCCTCCCACCCCCAGCTGGCAGCATGCGGCGTCTCCTCAGACTACGGGCAACACCCAGTCCGCACCGGCTCCCAGCTGGCAGCAACAGGCCGCCCCGCAGTCGAGTAACACCCAGCCTAACACGGCCAGTGCACCCAGCTGGCAGCCGCAGCAGCAGCAGCAGCAGCAGCCCCCGGCTGGCCCGGCCACTCCCACCTGGCAGCAGCAGGCCCCCACCCAGCCCGGTGGCTCCACGCAGTCTCCCCAGACTAGCAGTCCCAGCTGGCAGCAGCATGTGGCCTCCTCCCAGCCCGCCGGCTACGCAGCCCACTCTCCCCAGGGTGCGAGTCAGGAAGCCCCCAGTCTTTCAAAGCCTGCACCATACTCTCCCCAAGCTGGCCAGGAATACACGTACACCGGCAACTCATTCCCGCCCCCGCCTGCTGGCCCCCCGCCCCAGGGATCCGCGCAAGCCTATCCGGCTCAGACTCCGGCTCAGACCGGCCAAGGCCAAGCGCCCTACTACCCGCCTCCGCCGAACCAGGCGACAAAGCCGTTGCAGCACTCTCAGACACGTGGGGTGGAGTCGTCCCACAGCGGGTTCGACGCGGAGAGAGGGCTTGGCCGTCTGCGTGAGAACTTCACGGACTACAGCAATGTCATCCGGGGTGGACTGGCAGGCCAGATCCACCAGTACCAGGACCGGTTTTCTGCCGGCTTGAGTGGCCGTCCGACCAGCCAGCCTCGGGGTAACATGCACTGCCAGATTGTGCGCAGTTGCTCACAGTGGAGCAACGGCACCCCGACCGAGCATTCCGTTATGGATGCGTACATCGCGGTGATCCGGAACAGCCAACACTTCATCTACATCGAGAACCAGTTCTTCATCACGGCGACTAGCGACGCCCAGAAGCCCGTCCAGAATAAGATCGGGGCTGCCATCGTGGAGCGCATTCTCCGTGCCGCCCGTGCCGGTGAGAAGTTCAAGATTGTTGTCGTGATGCCGTCCGTGCCTTGCTTCGCGGGCGACCTGGAGGACGAGTCCACCCTGGGCACCCGTGCGATCATGGAGTTCCAGTACAACTGCATCAACCGCGGCGGCCACAGCATCATGGAGCTGATTGCCAAGGAAGGGTTCAACCCGATGGACTACATCCGGTTCTACAACCTGCGCAACTACGACCGGATCAATGTCAGCGGGCCCTTGGCGGCGGCTGAGCAGAGATCCGGCGTCGACTACGAGGATGCTCGCAAGCAGCAGGACGTGGCCACCGGAGGCGCTGGCGGGTATGGCCCCAACGCTCCTCGGGCGGCCTTCGACACCACCGCGCCTTTCCAGCAGTACCAGCAAGCGGCGCAGCAGGTGGGCGGCGGCAAATCGGCACCAGGCAAGTGGGACAGCGTGAGCTCCTGCTACATGCTGAACGGCGAGGACATCCGCAATGTGCCGTGGGAGGGAGCTCCCGAGGCGGAGATCGACGCGTTTGTCACGGAGGAGCTTTACATCCACTCCAAGGTAACCGGACCAATCAGACTGTACATGCATCAGCTAACAGACGCAGGTTATGGTTGCCGACGACCGTATCGCGGTTATTGGGTCTGCCAACCTGAACGACCGGTCCCAGCTGGGCACGCACGACTCGGAGATCGCCATCATCGTGGAGGATTACACGCCGGTGCACTCACGCATGAACGGACACCCATGGACAGCCAGCCGGTTCGCCTCGTCGCTCCGACGACAGCTGTTCCGCAAGCACCTGGGTCTGCTGGCCCCGCAGGACCCGGAGCGGCCAGACGGCAACTTCGAGCCGGTCGGGGTTCCGAACGCGTTCGACTTCGAGGCACCAGAGAGCCAGCTGGTGGCGGACCCGCTGGCGGACACGGTGCAGAGCCTGTGGAACACGCGGGCGCACACCAACACCGAGGTCTTCCGCAAGGTGTTCCACTCAGTGCCGGACGACACGGTGCGCGACTGGGCCACGTACAAGGAGTTCTACGGATACTACTTCCACAACGCGGACAAGCAGGCGTACGGGCAGGACGAGTCCAAGCCGGCGGCGCGGTACGAGTACGGGCACGTGGTGCGGGACGACTTCCCTCCGGGCCCGGAAGGTGTGCGGCAGGTCAAAGAGCTGCTCAGCCAGGTCAAGGGCACGCTGGTCGAGATGCCGCTGATGTTCCTCATCGACGAGGACGTGGCGAAGGAGGGGCTGAAGCTAAACGAGATCACCGAGCCGATCTACACCTGATGGGTGGTCTGGATGCTTTGTGTCGTACGAGTTTCTTTGAGTTGAAATTGACTTTTGGCTTGGGTGGTTGTGCACGGACATATTTGTGAACCTGATATTGTTCTCGAGAACAATACTAAGCTTGGACCAGGCCCTTATCGAAGTCCCTGTCCTGAACTCCTGACCTGGGAAGTCTGCATCCTGCATCTTGTATCTTGCCTCCACTCCCGAGGGAGCTGTAGCCAGCTCCAGACTGTTGCCACGCGGTGTATCCCTCGAACCATCACACAGCTGTGCATGTACAGCCAGCCAGCCCCTCGACTCTCACTCCTCTGATGAACCGTCCTTCTCCCCAAACCGGAACTAGTCCCACAGGAATCTCCCTCAACGCCTCACAGATGAATGAACCATTCTTTATCCCATGTAGAACTCCCCTCCCCCCCAACCCTCACACAGATTGCCCTTCGACGCCTCCAGAGATGAACCATCTTTATCCATACCAAAACCAACCCTCTCACAGACTGCCCCAGAAATAGTTCTGGGATGTCTCCGAGCTGTTCGTCTCTTTATCGTATACTAGACTAGTTTATCCCATGCGATGCAGAGCCGACTCTCGAGGAGGAATCTCCCCGACGCCTCGGAGAGATATCTGAATGGATTGGATGTTCTTTATTTTATCCGGAACTATCCCTAGAGCACGTACACAGATAGCCCCTTCGATAGCCCTTGGACGTCCCCCACCCCCAAAGAAGTCAACCTCTCTTTATCGTAGACTAGACGTGACCCTCGCTCACATGGACCTCTTGACGCCTGTGGTTGAACCTCTCTTTATCCATGCTATAAATGACACTTACACAGCCAGCCAGCCCTTCGACGCCTCAGAGATGAACCATCTTTACCCATCCTAGGCATACTGACCAACAAACGAGGAGCCTGCCCCCGCCCACCATTCCCATTCCATCCGCTTCCCCACAATCACAAACCCTACCCACCCATCCCATTAAACCCGACCCTCCGAGCCAGAACAATATCAAGCGAAGCGGTCCACTTGGGCCCTGGCTGCGCTACCCTACCCTTCCACAAGCGTTCTCGAACTATCCTTCAATGTCGGTCTGCTCGGTTAGCCCCTCCCACCCCTCTTTCCAAATACTTCCGCGGCTATTCATAGGCTGAGTGATGTGTTTCATGAATGGGTTGAAGTTAATCCCACGCGATAGGGGTGAGGGTCGGGACTCAGGTCTCAGGAACTCTCCCTCTTGTGTATCCACACCCTACCCCGGACTGATTACCTACTTACTGGATTCATGGATTGATCGAGGATGGGTGGATGGATGGATGGATGTGTGTGACTGTCCCGATCAAAGAAACCCATATTAATCTATCCATCCATCCATCCATTCATCCATTCACCCATCCTCGACTGAATGAATGAATGATAGCGAGGAAGTAACCACTCACCCGCCTCCATACCACCCATCCTCATAGAAATCTAGCAAGAAAAGTAGAGAAAGAAAACCTATAAAAAGCCCCTCAAGATCCCCCCCAATTCACTTCTTTTTTTTTCTCCTCCGCAAGCTCTCGAATACATTTCACTTACAAACTATCAATCTACTGCTTTTTTTTGCTTCTGCAAAATCAAAACTTCAATCAACATGTCTCCCTCCGATATCGTTAAGGTTTCCAACGGTAAGCTTGTCCCCTTTCTTTTTTTCTTCCTCTTCCTCTTACTTTGACTTCTTTCCTCTCTGTTCTTTCTCTCGTCCTCACCTCACACATATAGCCCCTTCCCCATGAACATGAACATGAACATGATCATGACCATGAAGAAACACAAAGCTAACAAATAATACCTACGAACAGCTGTCTCCCCCGGCGGTGGCTGCGTCGTCATGTAAATGGCCTCCGGCACCACGAGATAACCCTTGCCCTGCACCACCACCACATCATCATCATCATCATCCCACCATCACCAACACCATCCCCATCACATCACCGCGCTTCCTTCTGATGAGATGAGATAAGATGAGATGAGATGATGATATGACAACAACTCAACCAACAAACCAACCCTCATTCAACATAACAAATAACCCTCAAACAAGACCCCATGACCACGTTATCTCATCCACAACACAGTCACACCACCAACACCACCTCAACCCACCAACGAAAAAAAAAAAAGCCTACAAAACCCACAAACAATCAGTCACTGCGTTCTCACTCAATCCATATCGAATATGCTACAACCTTTACAAATTCCCATCCTGTCCTATTCTATCCTATCCTATCCTATTTTCGCTCCTTTTATTATCGACATAACCGGTCTTGGTTGAGAGGGGTTGAGATTCTGCCTAGTTCTTTGTTGGTTGAAGTGCAGGGTTTGGCGATGGTCATGTTTTTTTTTTTTTTTTGCCCTCTGGTTTTGTTTACATTCAATGGGATGGGGTGGGGTTGCTGGGGGAGGGGGGGGAGTTTCGTATAGGGGTTAAGTAAGATTAAATTAAAATCAATATTGGATATTGGATACTGGATGTTGCTTTCTCTGGGAGAGGAATTGGGGGGGAGGGTGAAGGGGAGGGGAGTAAAGTAGAGTGGAGTGGAGTAGAGTTTAGTAGAGTATAGTAGGGTGAAGTATAGTGGTGTCATAATGGAGATTAAAGGGAAGTACAGCGGCGAAAGATAGAGTCGAATGTACTGAGTAAGTAGATAAAGTAAGGCAAGTACAGAAGAAGAATAATGTAAAACTGAGAAAAGTAAAGTAGACCCAGTGGAATAAAGTAAGGTAAAGTGAAGTAAAGTACAATGGAAGGAAATAATGTTATTCATTTTGCACCCTATACAGATTTACAGGATATGCTATAAATAAAAAGAACATGAAATTGGGCTCGGCTTCTAGAGTTTTAAAAGTAATCAGGCTAGTAAGTGCAGTTGATCATACATGAGGATGTGGTACATGGTGTGATACATGAGGGACATGGTAAGGGACGTGGTGAAGTACATGGTGGTACAGTGACAAGACTAACACATAAGTCCCTCCCGCAAGCGGGACAGAACCATGCGCATAACCGGGTTGCACTCGCCAGAGCACTTCTCGATCTGCATGATCTCCTTCTCGATCTTATCCTCCAGCTCGCGAAGGAACTCGCGCGTGGCGCCGAGCGCACCCGACTGTGTCAGCAGCAGCATCAGACAGCTGGAGTTGACGTTGACATTGTAGCCGCAGCAGTCGCCCTTGCGGTCGTTGTCGCAGGCGCAGTTGTCGGGCTTGCCGCTTTGCAGTTCCTTCTTCTCGAAGATCATCTTCGAGACCTGGGCGCGGGTCTCCGGGCGGGAGGCGACCAGGCGGACGATGGGGTAGGAGAGGGAGAGGGTGAAGTTCGCGCTCGCGCTGGGGGACGCGCATTCGCGGATCTCCCGGTTGCGGAGGGTGATGTATTCCTCCTTGACACGGGCGAACCGCGCAAGAAGGGTGGCGAGGGGGATCAGATCGGGTTGGCAGTGACGGGGGGTGCAGCTCTCAGCCTGGAGCAGGTTGGCCGTGATGGTGTAGATGGATCCAGTGGTGTCGTCGATGGCAGACAGATACTCGGGCTCAGAGGGGATGCAGGCCGTGTGGGACCAGCTCAGCTCGCGGCTCTGTCCGGTGTAGAAGCGGCGGAGGCCGCCGAGGAGGATTTCAGTCGCAACGGCCGGGTTGCTCATCTTCTGCGCGTCCGAAATCGCCTGGATGAAGGTGTAGTGGGCACTGTTGGCGGCCTGGGGGGCGCCGAACACGGTGTGGGCGGCGGGCTGGCTGTAGCGCTGGGTGGCCTTGGTGTTGATGTCGTCGAGGATGGTGGTGCCGTTGTACAGCGCGGTGATGATGGAGGAGACGCACCCGACGGCGCCGGCCGGGGCGCGCACCCAGGTGTTGATGGCGGAGGGGACCATGCTGAGGGCCTGGGAGGGCGAGAAGGAGCTGACGTAGCTGGTCGGGGCCGTGAGGATAGAGCATTCGTCTTTCTTGTAGCAGCTGGGGTAGGCGGGAGGCTGGGAGCTGCACGAGCTCGAGGACCGAGTAACGCAGGTCCAGCTCTCAGTGGAGCAGGGACGAGAGGATGAGGTGGACGCGCGCCAGTAGTTGTAGCTGGCCATGGCGGCTCCGGCAGCCTCAATCCAGCGGCGCAGACGGATGGATTCGGCCGGGTACTTCCAGTAGAACTCGGCTCTGAGAGCGAGGTAGCGCGACTCAAGAGCAATGATTCTCCGTCTCAAGTCCTCCCCGGCATCGACAGAGAGTCCGTTCATGCGGCCGCAGAAGTCCGTCTGGCCCAGACCGCCGATCTTGTCCCGGCCGTTCCAGTACTCGTCGTTGAGGATGAGACACTCGTCCACGACGCACTTGATGTTGTGAAGAATACTGCGATCGCAGTCGCTGAGCTTGAGGGCGATGGCGAACTCAAGGATGGGCCAGAAGGTTCTGCCGCGTGTCAGAGAGGGGGGCGATGAGGTGTTGGGATGTCATCATACCTGAAGGGAGAAGAGGTCCTGCACCCGAAGGACGATTCCGACATGACGGCCTGCCGGTAGAGGTTCAGGATATGCATGCCATGCTCGCGGTCGGTCTGGATGAGCTCAAGAATGACCTCCGACACGAGAGCCTTGATCTGGGCATGCTTGCCCCCGGAGCTCTTGCCGCAGCCACCCGAAGAGCAGGAGCAGGAGAAGGAGGAGGAAGAGCACAGGTCGAAACACTTGTTCAACATCTCATAACCTTCCCGTCTGCAGTGGGAGTCAAGTTGGTTGCAGAACGCTGATTCGTTAGCATCGACCATCAATTGCCAGGGCCGGAGGGAAGGGCTCACCATCGCACAGCCGGCTCAGTTCCGCCAGCCTGACGGCGGTGGAGACTCTCTCGGGCAGCACCTCCGGGATGGTCAAGGCAAGCAGATCGCCCCAGGACCTCGTGGGAAGCATCGGGCTACCCGAGTGCCTGACCCAGCTGGCCTCCCAGTCGCAAGTGAGCTTGCGTGCGGCCGAGCTGGCGACATCGTTGTATTTGCTGATGCGCACGGGGAGGGTGGTGAAGGCGCCGAAGCGGCGGACGTCGAAGTCCTCGACGGCGACGGAGTGGATCCAGGTGGTAGCGAATTCCATGGCGGACGAGTGTCTCAAACGCTGGAGGGAATGGAAGGTGAAGACTGAGAGGTTCAGGATGCGCGACCACGGGGGTTTATATACCCAGGAAAGCGGAGCCGGATGGTGCAGCTGCTGGATCAATAAATGACGACTCATCTGCGGGACTCAACATCGCCGAGGAGCATCGCCTTCTCGGCGCAGCTGAGCCTGCATGTTGCTGAGATTTAAGCATGCTGGGTCGGGAGGCTCAACCATTCTTTCGTGTTGATGGGGAGGTGGAACTGAACTCTATCGCAGCTAGCTGCAGACTAGCCGGCCAGGTAGCTCTAGCTGGGCTCTAGCTGGGCTCTAGCTAGCTGGAGCTGCTCTCGGCCTGCAAGCAGGACAAATTACGCGACGCGATCGACTCCACCGGCTGGGCGTGAGAAGTCTAATCGCTAGTGCGATGCGAGGCCATCCGGGGTCAAAATAGCCGAGCAGAAGCGAACAAGGTGGCCAGTCTTGCCGTTTCCCGCCTTGTGTTTTGTTTCATCGAGATGGACTCAATTTTGATTTTGGGGCATGACGGGCGATGGGCGGACTTTGCTGGACGGGACCTCCGTGGACAGATCAGATCCTATACGGAAGGGGTGCCTTGCGTCGTTGCGCCGGCGAGATCTTGCATATGATATCGAGGATGAAGGACCGGGCAGACCGCCAGACCAGACGGTTCATCGCCCCACTAGCAGCAGCAGCGAGCGAAACGAACGGGTGAAGGGCCCAATCCTGTGGCTGAGCTGAGAGGTGTGGCAAAGCCAGCTGATACATGGGAGTGGGGAAGACGGAAGAATCGATTGAGGTTTTGGAGGGAGAAGAAAGAGACGAGGGAGGGAGGATGGAGATGAGAGAGAGAGAGGAAGAGAGAGAAGAAGAGAGAAGAGAGGAGGAGGAAGAGGGAGAAGAGGACAAGAGGGAGTGTAGCCTCAGGCTGTCTTCCCCGTCCTTCTCTGCCTCTTTCTCTTCCTCTCCCTCTTCTTCTCTCTCTCTCTCTCTCTCTCTCTCTCTCTCTCTTCTCCTCAACACCAACGCTCTCTCTCCGAAACAGCTGCTCGCCTCAACATGCCGCTTTTTTATTTTTAGACCGCCTGAACCATCCACGCGTTACGCGCAGAGTTTTCAATCCAACCGAGTTACGGAGCATCAACGGCAGCAACTGCAGCAATCTGGGCCCCGCTAGGAGTCCGGGCGCATGGAACTAACAGGAGACGAGGAGGTGAGGAGACGAGGAAGCGCTAGAACAATGCAAGTCCCCGATCCCCACATGAAAGATGCGCCCGGTAGATCGCAGGCTTATTGTTGTTGCAGCACAGATGAACTCCACGCACAGGCAACTGCCTGCCTGCCCAATGCCTGTCTGGCCCATGCTCCGCTGCATGCCCGTTCCAATAGCCCGACTCAGGTTCGATTGCAATGGGAGGGCTGCCACAGAACGCAAAGCTCCGATGGATACGGATTGTGTGTCAATAACATTCATTGTTCACAGTGTTCTGTCCCTCGCCGCCAGGTCATATTGTCCGCCCGAACCCTCGATATATGCAGTCCGCTCGTTCTGATTCTTTCCTTTGAACCCTGTCTGCCCGCCCCGGCATGCGAAAAGCGACAGCCACACCTTTTTGTTGGCTGACTGCTCTATCAACGCCCCTCAGTCAGGTATCCTGCCGACGCTGACTCATTGCTTATCGCCCCCGTATCCACTAACGGGGGTATGCATATATCTCCAGCATGGCTCAATGAACACACTCTCGAATCAAGAGGACACGTGAATCGCTGTTTCTCTACATGGTCTTGTCCAGCTTCCGGCCGTCATCCGGCTCCTCCGCCGGTGTTACCTTTGACCACCACAACACCGATGCAGTGCCAGACATGGATTTCTACCATCGGAGGAGGCCCGGGACAAGCCCACAAATAGAACAATGCACAACTACAGAGCCGGACCCCCGCCAATTGCCTGCGGACTCCGCATTTAGGGCTACCTCGGTGGCTTCCTGGGATGGGGAAGATCGCCAGGCCGACAAGCCTGCGTCACATTCCCGCGGAGCTGCCAATCAACGCTGCCGCAATGTGCCCCTGCATGCCTGGGTGGTCCGGATGTATGCGCCGTCTCAATAGCGGCGGGTCTAGCGTCCAAGGTACTCCCCGCGGCTGCCACGGACATAAAGGAGCCCCGTGCCCGTCTCCTGTCAATCTCCCATCTTCAGCCTTCCGTCCACCCCGCCCAGAATGACGGTCACCATGCATTGGATGGGCCTGTCTCTGCTGGCCGCTTCGTGCGTTGCGGCCAGGGAGCAGTACGTGATGGGGATGGCGCCCACACCGACCACCGACGAGCCCGATTGGTTCCAAACACGGCCCCAGAGCTATCAGGGTAGGAGTGCCATATTCTCTTTCTCTCAACAGCCCGACTAACGCACACAATACACAGGCTACACGGCCACGGGGGCTCCCCCGTTCCTGGCACAGTACAACCCGGCCCCTTTTGGCGATGCGGCCACCTACACGGTGAACTCGCCGTTGGAAACCTCGCAGCCCATCCGCGGAGCGAAGGACCGCAACATCTTCCACCACATGGGGAATCTGAGGTAACAAGCACAACCTCCCCCATTCCAATATCCTATATCTGATATCTCAGCCCCTACTATCCCCGTGCCGACGGCTTCGGCGTGGACGAATACTCGCACCCCCACGGCTCCAACATCACGCAAATGCACCTCCTCCACCGGCACGGGTCGCGATATCCGACCAAAGACGAAAGCCAAGGGCTGGCCGACTGGGCCGACAAGATCGCCAACGCAACCCGTCACGGCGCCGTCTTCACTGACTCGCTCGCCTTCCTCAACACCTGGACCTACCTCCTGGGCGCGGAAGTGCTCACCACGCGGGGCCGCCAGGACCTCTTCGACAGCGGGGTGCTCAACCAGTTCAACTACGGCCACCTGGCCGCCAACGACGGCACCAAGATCGTCGCGCGCACCACCACGCAAGACCGCATGCTCAAGAGCGCCGAGAACTTCCTCTCGGGCTTCTTCGGCCTCGACTGGCCCGACCGCGCCAACCTGCTCGCCATGATCGAGGCCCCCTCCTTCAACACCTCGCTCATGTCCATCTACGCCTGCCCCAACGCCATCACCAAGCCCTTCGGCGACTTCGTTGGCGCCCCCATGACCGCCTGGAAGGAACAGTATCTCGCCCACCGCACCCACAAGCTCGATAGTCTCGTCCGCAACTACAACTGGACCACAGCCGACAGCTTCAACGCGCAGTCGCTTTGCGCCTACGAGACCGTCGCGCTGGGCTACAGCCCCTTCTGCGCGCTCTTCAGCTACGACGAATGGGAGGCCTTCAGCTATACCTATGACATCGCGTTCGCCGGCTACGCGGGCTTCCAGTGTCCACTCGGTCGCGCCTCGGGCATCACTTGGGTCGAGGAGTTCCTCGCCCGCGTCCAGCACCGCGACTTCTCCACCCCCGGATCCTCCTCCGCCGCGAACCTCACCCTAAACGAGAATCCGGTGACCTTCCCCACGAATCAATCCCTGTATCTTGATTTCGCGCACGACAATATCCTCATCTCTGTGATAACAGCGTTTGGGCTCCGCCAGTTCGCTGACCTTACTCTTCCTCCTTCCTCTTCATCGCCCCCCTCCTCCGAGGAAGACGAAGAAAACGAAGCAGAATCCACCAAAACGAAAAAACACCACTTCCCCCCCAAAGACCGCAACTTCCAAACCTCCAAACTCGTCCCCTTCGGCGCGCGCCTCAACATCGAAATCATCCGGTCGCCACACGCCGTCCACCCTGCCCGGAAACACGGCGACACGCACCCCTACATCCCCGGCACGGGGGAGACAGAATACGTTCATTTCCTGATGAACCAGCGGACAGTGCCCCTGCACTCCAGCTTTGCGGAGTGTGAGGAGCGGCGCGATGGGTGGTGCGAGCTGGGGACGTTTTTGAAGGTGCAGAAGAGGAGCTTGGAGCGGGCGAAGTATGATTTTTCGTGTGTGGGGGAATGGGAACTGGGGAGGTTTGGGGATGTTAACGATGGGGTGCCTTTGGGGTCTTAATTGGGTTGGGCTGGGTTGGGTTGGGGTTTGTGTTGGAAGTTGGCGTATACCCTCCTACACTAAAAAGGGGTGTCTCGACATTCTTCTAGTCATAGAGGTGCACTAGGTTCAACAGTTTGTGATATCTGGCCGGCTAGCTGGCTGGTTATCTATTTATCTATCTATGCGTCTAGTCATCCAGTCATCTAACCCCCTAGCCACCTAGTAATCTATCTATTTGTCTATCTGTCTATCCATATATTTGCCTGTCTATTTACCTACCTATTACCTCCTACCTACTACCTCCTACCTACTACCTATTCATCTCCCTTCTACCTATTCTCTATGTATCCCCTATTCAGTCTCTATCTGTTCTTCACCTACTTTTATATATCTACCTTTTCTTCATCCCTCGTTCCTTTCCGCATACAGCTGAGAACTAGAGCATTCCACCGTCTAGATTTTCGTCATCAAATCATATATCTATCTATCTATATATCTATCTATCTCCCCCACCTTCTCTAGACCAAGACAAGAACATAAACACAAACACAAACACAGTATCCATATTCCAGTCAAAGATCAAGATAAAAGAATATCCCAATCTCATGATTCCCATTGCACGAATTAATGATATATCGTATCACTACCGATATAATTCAATTTATTGTATTTAAATCAATTCAATTCTATTCAATTCGATCAGTCAAATCAGTCACTGCAGTCCATAACCCCAACCTCAGCCCAAACCCATACAGCAGAACTAGAACTAGAACTAGAACTAGAACGAGCACTACTATGGTGACATGTAGTAGGTAGTAGGTAAAAGGTAGTAGGTAAAAGGTAAATAATAATAAGTGATATACGATAGTGGTAATCCAACGCCAAACTCCATTCGCATGTATATTCGCATTTGCAATGCTTTTAATCACTCGACTCGACTCGACTCGACTCGGTTACTCGGTCTCGTCCCGGGCGAGCCGGCGCAGGATCATCACCGCCAGCGCGATCAACACGCCGATGATGGCTCGGTCCAGCCAGGGGCCGTCGTGGGAGACTGCTGCTGCTGCTGCTGCTGCGGGGGCGGTGGGTTGGGGGTGGAGTTGTGGTTGTTGAAGCTGAACTTGGGGTTGTGGTTGTGGTTGTGGTTGTTGTGATTGAGGCTGAGATTGGGGTTGAGGATGGGATTGAGCTTGGGGATAGGGGTGTGGGCGTGTCGTTGGGGTGGGAGTCGGTGTGGATGATGCTGGCGCTGCAGGCGCGGCAGCTGTAGACGCATCCGCAGACAGACTCGACGTGTCCGGCACGTCTTCCTTCTCTGTCTCCGTCTCTTGCATCATCATCATCTTCTTCTCCTGCCGCCCGTCCTTAACAACCGGTATATCATCCACACGCTCACGCTCACCCTTCCCCTTCCCCTCCCCGCCAACCCCATCCCCTCCTCCTCATCAACCCCCACCCCCCTCTCAGCACAATACCCCCTCCACCCCCCCAACACCTCCTCATTACTCCTCCCCCTTCCCCCTGCCCCTCCCCGTCTCCCTCCCCCCCTCAGACGCACACCCACAAACCTCACACCTCCACCCCCTACTCTCCTCAGCATACCTCCTCCTCACGCCCTCGCCAACATCCAACCCACCAACCTGGCCCTTCGCGTCGCCATCCATAAAACTCCTCAGGGCAATCAAGGCCGTCCGGATCCCCCACGCCGGCTGCCACGTCTCCTCATGATGGCCCGAAATACTCAGACAGATCTCGCGGTTGACCTCGAAGCGGCCGGACGGGGTCAGGAAGCGGAAGCTGGGCGGACGCAGCGGGTACGTCGAGGGCAGGACGATGCGGCCGTGGTAGATGCCGCGCGCGTACGGCGACGGCGCCGGCGGGCCTTGTAGCGTGAAGTGCCAGTCGTACAGGTTGTCGTCGGAGATCGGCGCCGCGTGGAAGTGCGGGGATGGGTGCGTGTTGAGTTCGGCGGCTTCTTTGAGGAGGCGGCGCGTGGAGGGGGACATTTTCTTTTTCTTTTCTGTTCTTTTCTTTTCTTTTCTTTTCTTTTCTCTTCTCTTCTCTTCTCTCGGTGGTTTTGGTTTGGTTTGGGGGTTGTGTTGGCGGGTTGTGGTGGTGATGTGTTTGGAGAGAAGTGGTTTGGGGAGGAGAGAAGTGGAGGCGGAGATGAGGAGGTGCCAGTTGGCCTGACGCCATGGATGCCCGGGGTTTCAGGCACCCGCGAGATGATTACTTACTCTCGCCGTTCACATACAAACCTACTGGTTCAGGTTCAGACACTCGATAGACAAGTGCTAGATCTGACGGTTCCTCATTATCATAATTATCAACACCCGTACTCCGTGCTAAGTATACAACTATATACCTCTATCGTATCAGTCCCAGTTCCGCCATTCGTCGTCCCCCCGACCTCGTCTCTCCACGGCATCCTCCTCGTCACTCAGGCTCTCCCCCGGCCGTGGCCGCGGCGACATCGGAGGCAGCGTCTTCATCGACACCCCCGTGTCCGGCCGCTCCGGCTCGCGCACCACATCCAGCGGCTGGCTGGGCGTCCATGACGCCGCGTGGTCCGGCCCAAGCCAGCTCTGGCTGTTGTTCATGTTCCGCTGGTACAAGTCCCGCTGGAACTGCTGCTGCTCCGCCGCCTCGCGCTCCCGCCGCACCCGCACCCGGTCGCGCGCCTCCATGAACTTCATGCTCGGCTCCCAGTGCCAGCCGTCTCCCGTCGTCGTGGACACCGGCACCGGCCAGAGCAGCGGTCGGTCTCCGAACAGATGTCGCAGGTTGCGGCGCCATCCCAGGTCAAACGCGTGGGGCATCTTCTCGCTGTCCTCCTCGTCCAGGTAGTTCTGGTACCGGTCGTGCTCGCGCTGCCGCTCGATCTCTGCGTAGGACCGTGACAGCGCCTGCTGGGCGGGCGTGAGGTGCTCCTGGCCGGGTCCACGCGACAGGGCTTCCCTGGGTGGCGGGATCTGTTCCTCCCCTTCTTCCGGACGAGTCACGCCTGGAATGGCATTCGCATGTGCATCGAGTATCTGACCTCCGTAGTCCTGAAGCCGGTGGCTCAGCCCGTCCCTCGCATCGCCGCTCTCACTCCCCAGCAGATGCTCGTAGCGGTGGCGATCCAGCGCTTTCCGCAACGGCGACACATAACGCGTCTTCTCCAGGCACTCGATCGTGGTGATGCCGCGCAGAGCCAGGCTGATATGCCAGACGGTGAACCCCGACAGGACCAGTCCGATTATGCCACCCAGGACCGCCAGCAGGACCACATTGATCGGCAGCATGCGGTCCACATCAATATATTTGCTGTCGTCCAGCATCTCGTTCCAGATCCAGATGGACGACACGATGAAATCCACCCAGCAGAAGATCGACGTATAGATCAGGAACAGCAGAAACGCTTTGTAGTTGTGCAGCCCCACACAGGTCGCCAGCCACGGACAGTGGTGGTCCATCTTGAGCACACATCGCTTGCAGGTCGAGCAGTGGTGCGCCCGGTCCGGTTTCGGGCACTGGCATTTCTTGCAGAACCGGGACCCGCCCGTCGAGGTCACCGTGTAGGCGGTATATTGTGGGAGCTCGGTGACCGGCAGAGCGCTGTACTCATGTCGACCGCGGCCGCTGGGGGCTAGAGGGGATCCGGGGTCGGTGAATACGGCGATGGTGTAGCATGTATTTAGGCAGACGTAGAGGAAAATACCGAGGAAGGAACTGGGCAGGCCTGGTAGTGCAAAGCAATGTCAGTAGACGCATGGATGGTGACCGGGAGAAGACCCACCGATCCAAGAGCTTTCTGCAGGCTTGAAGCCCACGCTAGCCTCGACGTAGACCGCCCAGGTGGTCAGGCTGTAGACGAAGGCCAGGGGAAAGTAAGAGGCCGCCGTGCAGCAGTAGCGTTCAATGCGGAGGGCCCACGCCCGGGGGCGCCGCTTCGGCCAGGAGGGCGAGGAGGGCGGAGATGTCGCCAGCGTTGCCATGGTCAGGTGCTGGTCTTGTATCTGGGGTCGATGCTAAGACATCCACGGTTGTGAAGCGATCGATTTCAAATCATGGCGATAAGCACGGGGTGGAGGGGTGGATGAAAGTGAGACTCGACGAGATGGGAAGGGGCGTAGAGCGTAGAGCGTAGAGACAACGTGATAGATTGATGGAAATGGGTGTCTAGTAAGGTCGAACGAAAAACGAAGACAGGCAGCAACGAGGCCGATGCACGGGACAAAGGAGGGTGGCAGTGATGGAGTGACGATGAATCTCGGGGCGGATCTGACGCCCTCCGTCGCCCGGAGCCCCCATTAGGCCCCATTAGGCCCCGTTGGGCTTAGCGTGTACCAGTGTCCTGTGTATTTCTGTATTGATTTGGCAGTGTATCTTACCACCGATCCGATGCTGTGGCTTGACGCCGTGGCTTGACCGCCGGCGCCTATTTTTGGAGCCGTCGGATTTAACGCTTCCGATTACTTAACGCCAGCGCGTTTGGATTCACACAAATGACGGAGTACACCTCCCGCTGCTGCAGGCCTGTCACTTTCTCTCGCTCTCTATCTCCCACGCGACCACGACAAGGCCGGCTCTGCTCTCACTCCGTCGTGTCATCTCGACTACCGACCGGGTGGATGCAGTCGCGTTGCGCCATCCAGACCCCGTACAGCCTGATCGTCCAGCTTACGCCTGCAGCCAACAAGCACTCAGATCCATCTTCAACGCTTCGTATTGACATTATGCATTACTCGACATCTAACATAACAATACCCATTGGCTAACCCGTATGGTTCGTCTGTACATGTTTTCGCATGCGACCCCGACTCGAGGCGCGTTGCGCTGATCCTGCTGCCCGCTAGGGAAGGATGAATAGCCAAGAAGCCGTATCCAGGCGCTGGGAGGAGTGGTCTCTCCATCCCATCGACTCGAGCGCCACGCGAAGCGCCACCCGACACGTCTAGCACATGCTCGCATTCAGATCGATGTCTTCGGTTCATTTCATTAAGTCTGCGCGCGATCGCACGCCGCCGTCCATTGTATATCGTATAGTCACCGAAACGCCAGATTGAACGCCAGGAAGCCAGGAAATGAATCGAAGATACGGGATCTGCAGACGCTCTGCCGTTAGCTCCACCAGGTACGTGCTGATCCGCTCGTCAGCTGTCGCTTACCGTAAACCGACCCGGTTGGGTTATACCAAAAAGCAACAAAAGAGATATAAGTCAATACGGTCATAAGTTGGTTGCGCAAACCGCTCGATCCTTGTCTAGACGCCGCTCAGCTGGAGGGCGTGGATATCGAGTTGGCGTGCGAGTCGAGTATACCCAAGGCCGCCCCCATCTCCTCATGGCTGTGCCCCGTCAACAGCCATACGAGACGGCTGAGCTTCTGGTAGAGTAGCGCGGGGAAATAGACGAGCAGGGCCCAGCACAGGAGCGATAACGCGATAATCACAAAGACGTTCGCCACTAGCTTCTCCACCGGCGTCATGACATACAGCCCGAACGTCACCTCGTAGCGATAGTACTCCAGGGAGACGCGATCGGCAAACCGCTGCACGATGTTGCGACGGGCGTCCTTCCTGGGGAGACGGCTGATCCCGGAGGTGGAGCTCGACATGGTGGACGAGTACTTGCTGATCAGTTCATCCACCGCAGCCGGAGCGTGAGACGAGATGTGCGTCGAGGTGGAGGGGGTGTAGAACGACTGCATTTCGGTGGCCATGGTCGAGATGGCCGAGATGGTCGAGCGTCGCACTTGCGGTCGTGGCTTCCTTGCGCTACGCCTTGTCTGGGGTCCTCGGCTCCTTCCTCTGCTGGTCCTGGATACCGAACGTGCTCCCTTGGTGATTCACTCGGGGAGTCACCGCGACCGCTCGTCCCTTGTTTCGTACGAGTGATATCTTGAGATGTAGGTAGTCGTGCCAACAACACCCCTTCTGATACGGAGTGATGTAATGACGAGCCTCCCCGGACTGGGGCCGTTAAATTAGCTCTGGCTCTCGAGGGGACTCGAAATGCGACACGAGGACTACTCTGAAGAAGCGAGTCCAACCACTAGATTGACTGCCGGGGTAGGACAGGGACTCGTGTGGGAGAATGCGAGAGGGTTTACGGGACGGCGTAGATGGAGGGGAGCAGCAGAAGGGGAAGAAGCAGAGGCATGCGAAAGCAAGGAAGGGCGAAGGGGGAGGAGAATGGGATGAGAAGGAAGGAAGTAAGTAATAAGTTCAAGGTCGAGGCTGGGAGCTGAGGAGAAAATCGGTACGGCACGGTAGGGCGCGGATGAGGGAACGCCGCCTCGGAGATTGATTGGAAGGATGAGCATCAGCTCAGGCAATAGTCGCGGTGTTAGGCCGATTGAAGGACGTCGTGGCCAAGGATGCCGACGAGCTAGGAGGCACGCCAATGACTCAAGCGCGTGATGAAGGCATCGTGCCGACAGCGACAGCTCGTTAGTTGGATCGTCGGCGCGAAATTAACTGGAAATGCGACATGTCGAGGCTACTACCGAGCCCATTGGCCGCAAACGGCGCCCGGAAGTCAATGAACGAGTGGTTTGCTGCTCGTCGGCTGGATCGGCATCACCCGGTTGGTGGGTTGGTGGGTTGGTGTACGGAATCAATGTAAGATTTTTTTTTTCTTTTCCGTTTCCTTGATTCTCCCCCTTCCTTGATTCATGATTTGCGGGAAAGACCTCATCCAGGGCGAGGATCAGACTGTGCCTGTCCATCTTGCCCCGGATTCTCCAGTACTAGTCCGTAAGCTAGCCCTCACGATTTGAGGGAGGCCTGTGTGTGTGTGTGTGTGTGTGTGTACTCTGTCTATGTCCTTGGGGTTCAAGCAGATGGGGATGATCAATCCCCAGGATGCCCAATTCCTTGCATTGCCTTCATAATGCCTGAATAGCGACCCGTGCACGGCCCCTTGGTTGAGGTAAGCGGGTATGATCCCCGTTAACTATGGTGGGGCGACCCCATCGCAAGCATTGCCTGCCATTCTTGTAGGGACTCAGCGAGATGCCTGCCCATACATAGAGTTGGTATTAGAGAAAATCCATGGTAGTGAAGTGCTGTGTCTTCTGGGAGCTGGCACAGCATGCCTATTGTATCCCGACCGCCATGCGGTGAGTGAGACTGAAGCTTGGATGGCTGTAGATAATACTGTGTAAGCTGCAGGAAATGCTAGGGCTGGGGCTCGGAAGGCTCGGAAGGGGTCCCGCCAATCAAAGCGGTTCAAACTCTCCTCGGATGGTCGGATCAGGCCAATCCCTACCGGCGGCGATATCTCGGAGTACCTACGAAGGGGAAAGGTACCAAGGACTGAGGTGAGTGGTAGCCTTATATGAGGGAGTGTCCCGCGTCGAGGAAATAAGCATAACCATCTATGCCCACGGGCAAAGGATCTAGTGGTGGTGGTGGTTGGCAATGACCCTTGGCCGCTTGGCGGCATTTGGCACGCTTGCCCTGACAAAACCTGGATCGGGCGCGGCCGGATCAGGCGCCCCCACCGGTGCGGTTTTCGGCGCTATCGATGATTGTATTTCTCACGGAGGTCGAATCTTTGGCCAGAATTATAAACAATGACGATTTCACCTGACCCTGAGGGAGACATTCTGGATTGCAACGGCGTCTTCTGCCGAAGCCACGACTCATGTGGAGCTCAATGTTAACTCTAACACCTGACAACAGGGACCGCAATTATCGGAATTCAGGTGGAGCGCAAGACAAAGTTGACGGCTGGAAGCGATGGTGAGCATCAGAGTGTCACACTTAGTTGAGATCGACAGGGCACCCAGTAAATGGAAGAACCCGCCTGCATATCATGGCGAATGCAGCCAAAGGCTCCTGCGCCCATATTATGGCGTGAATTGCACCTCAAGAGCACGTATGTCTGTTCCTGATATCGAACGCTGCAGCCATGAAAATTAGCTATGACGCAAGGCATATTGGCCAGTGCACGCCCTTATATCGTACGATCGAGTGGATTGTTTGTTGCCAATATTTTTAATGACGCCATGAGAGAGCTCTATCATCATTTCGGATTAGTCCCGACGGCAGCGGCCTCGGCAAGGGACCAGCCCAATTGGGCCACATGGAACTACGGTAGTCTCTGTCTGACGTCTGAAGACATGGGGGACTGAAAAGGCGTGCCTCTCCCATTGGCTGCAACACGGGTATACACAGTACTGTGTAGCACGCGACTGTGTACAACCCACCACGGCCAGGTTACGCGGCGTGGATTGCCCGGTGACAGCCTTGGGGGAGGGGAGGGGAGTGCCGGGTTGACACCAACGGGATAGATCCCAGCCACCTGTTGCAGTCGGCATGCCACTACCCTTATATATGCCCATGTCTTCATGGAGTGGCGATATGGTCAGTGCTAGGTATGCTCATGACCAAGGCAGAAGTCATTGGGGCACTCGCATGGCTCTCACTGGCAGCAGGGAAGATTGCCCGCGCAAGTGGTTGGAAACACATCCGAACATCGCCGTCCGAGGGGGGGTGACGGCGGGGGTCCGGAGATATGTCTGATCAACAGACCCAATAGAGCGTCTATCTGTTGGGATCGATGGATAGAACCCGCCAGTTCGATAGGTAGGTTGTACAACTGGGACCAGGATCTCAGTGGACGTCTTCCCTGCGACAGTTGGAGTGTGAGGTCCAGCCACCTTTGTTTCGGATGCGTGTTATCTCGCGCGGTACTCCGTAGAGAGCATGCAACTACCCGAAGTGACGAGATTTCCTTGACCCCAGACTAGGTATTATTGTGAAAGCCCTTCTGAAGAGAAGAGTAGATAGAGGATTGGGATAATTTCTGGCGAGAAAGTCGAGACGGTGGAGGCGGTCCCGGCCCCCCAGGTTTTTTTCCTCCTTTGTTCGCGATCGCCCATGCAGGCCGAAGACAGTTGCATCGCGACCGTTAGACGGGACCAGTCTGGACCTCGGGGGGACTGTACCACGTTGCTAGTCCGGTCTATCCTGGTTGTGAGTACTCCGTACACATGAATCGGTGAGTAGTATATGAGTATTGTGGCATTTCTCTCTGCTGCTCTCCGTACTGTGGTGACAGTAGAGTACTGTGTAGAGTAGTGTGTGGAGTACTGTGTAAAGTACTGTAACTAACTAACTAACTAGTTACTGTTCCTGAGATGATGTCATCCCCACCGGGCTGTGCATCCCCATCCCCCCGTCGTCCACTCATCGTCTGTTGATCGCGTCCCGCCTTCTGTGCCTCACCATTCTGGCACACCCGCCGCCTCCTCAACTCTTCACTCAAGCTTGTCCTTCTCCTTTTCCTCTCCCTTTCTCCACCCCCATCTCCCTCCATCATTCCATCCACCTGCGTTCCTCCCCGTCATCTCACCATGGCCGAGGAAGATCCCCTCGTCGTGGCCCTGCCACCCGCCACCGACTATCTGACCTACCTCACCCTCCTCGAATACCAGCTCACCCCCGCCCGCCTGCCCCTCCTCCACTCCCTCCTCCAGGATGAGACCCTCACCACCAACATCGGCTGGGACCTCGTCAAGCTCCTGCTTCCCATGCTCCCCGCATCCCTCGACTGCCTCCACGATATCGCCCGACTCGGCAATCCCCGCGAAGTCATCCTGCGCGTGTCCGATGCGCTCCTGCAGTTACAACCCGTCGACGAGGACGACGAGAGTGTGGCCGACCCTGTGGAGCCCCCTGAGGCTGGGAGCGCCTCGCAGGATGTCGCAGGGGGTGAGGATGGCACAACAGACACAAAGGACACCGAGAAGATAGTCCTGCCACGCCACGTCTTGCAATTCAACACCCTGGTGGCCATGCTGTCCACTCTGCACTCCCGCATCCAAACCAAGTCCCCCAGTCGCTTTCTGGCCACTTCACTGCAGGCCGTCCTGGAGGCGTATACCCTCATGCCCACGAACGAGACAACCATTGCCTTGCTGGAGTTCTTCCGCGACGTGTCGCCGTCCAAGAGGCCCGCGCCCCCTCCAAGAGCCGCCAGCGAGTCCAGCCTACAGCGTCTATCGGAGGCGTCCGCGCCCGACCCGGAGGCGGAGGTCCAGTCTCCTTCCCCGGCCAGTGACGGGGAATCCGTGCTGGTGAAGCGGTTCTTGCAATTTGGTCTAATTGAGGTCCTCAAGTCGTACCTGCTGAGCTTCTCCGGTCCGTCGGATCCGGGAATGTCCTGGACCATCCGGCTGCAGGAGAAGCTGCAGCCCGCCATGCGGATGATCAAGGAGCAAACGCAGACAGATCTGTTCGCCAACCACAAGGAGCTGAAAGAAAGAGACATGATCATTGCGAAGATAACGGTGAGGCACTCGAATCCCTTGCCGCTCATGACATACTGACAGTTCCAGGCCTTATCCCGAGACTTCGGTCTTGACGATAAACAGCTCCTCGAAATCGTCCTGCAGTCTCCCGGGGACCACCCCCTGCCGCTGGACTTCGAAGACCCTCCCAGGAAGGCGGAAGAAATCCCCCTGGAGAGACACGGTTCCCTGCTACTACTGGCGGCGCGGGCGGCCATGGCGGAGGTGTTCTCGTCCGGCCAGGTGACGCCCATCACCATCTTCCCGGACTTGACGAGGATCTTCCAGAACTTCGTCGGCGACTACAACTCCCCGGATGAGGTGGCGTTTGGGCAACCGCAGGTGCTGCTGGACTCGCTGCTCACGCTCACCGTCTTCTCCCTACTGCAGACCAGCGAGCCTCCTCCGAGCGAGACGGACTTCATTGCCTTCGTGCTCACGTTGACGGCGTGTACCGCGCGCCAGAACTACAGCACCGTGCGACGGATCCCCGGGACAGTCATCCAGAACCACCCGTCGGAAGCCACGCGCTTCAAGATCATCCGGACCGTCCTGGAAGACGAGCGCTTCCAGCCGGTGAAAGACAGCGCGATCGGATGGCTGAAGAACGGCATCCTCGATGCAGCCAAGCCCCTCCAGGCCGGCGGTGCGCCATCCGACTCCATCTTCCTCAACCCCCACTACTTCTCCGTGCTCTTTCCCTCCCTCTTCAACTCCTCTGAACTGTTCATGAACGTCTCCTCCGACCTGGCCACCTCGTGGATCAAATTCTCCCAGACCCTCACCCCCGCCATCCACTCCGCCCTCAGCCTGTACTACATCCTGGTCTCGACGCCCCTGCTCCGGCAGCAGCTGCAGCTCGAAAAGACCTACGTCTACTTCCGCAACCGGTTCCTCGAGCCGCTCAAGTCGCTCTGCCACGCCTTCGAGGCGGACCTCGCGCAGAACGGCGGCGAGGGCAAGATCGAAGCGGCCGTCGGCGAGAGCCTGTGTCAGGTGGGGATGGCGCGGTCGGTGGGCCTCGTGTCGCACATGCTGGAGCAGGTCGAGGAGGCCGTCGGCGAAGCGTTCGTCCTGACGGACTCGGAGCTGCCCGAGCCGAGCGCCGATGACATCGCGCGCGTGGATATGATTCGGAAGGAGACGTCGCCTTGACTGTAGATACATGACCTTCTTCTTCTTCTTCTGGCGTTTCAATGTGCGGGTCTATTGATTCTTGATTCTTGATACTTGATACTTGATACCTCTGTGCTGTATCTTCGTAAGATGGCGGTTACTACCTACCTGTAACCTATGTGATGCAGTTGTTGATACACGCGGACAGCTGTGTACCTAGATGGTCAGATACACGATTTGCTTATATGAAATGAATATGGAGGGACCATCGCAAATCAAGTGGTTAACAGGTGTAGCGAGTATTTGCAACAAACATCAAATCAGGTACACCGCCGCTTCAACTTGACATGTTCTCTGAATTGGCGAAGTGACCCATTTAAATAGTAGGATGGAGGCTATCAAAGCTGATTGTATTTAGTCGAATGGTTGTAGCATCTATTTTATTACATTGAATTGAATGGAGGTGAGCTGCATCGGTGATGCTTCGCGATTACTATATTACTTTTCGCCGTGTTCAGTGTGGGATTATGCTTTCAGGGTTATGAAGGAGATTGCAGAATAAATTGGAGTAGGAGAGTAGGAGTATTCCATGCATTTCTAAATTCGTTGATCCGTGTATTCGGAATCCATGAATGGGGAATCCAGATCCCGTTTGTCTTTTCCGGACACCTTTTCTAGCGGAATGCTCCTATTCCACACCGTTTATTGCGGCGGCTTGGTTGCTCTACAAATTCCATCACTAACAACATCGGAAGAAACGGTGACCCAGGCGCAGTTATTGTTGGTTGGACCTGTGGTTATTTCACATGTCAGCTTTCTTGTTGGCTAGCTGCAAGCGAATATCTTCCATTTAGCCACACTATACTCTGTATACTATCTAGCAGAATATCTTCACTTTGCCGAGGGGAACTCTTATACTCTGTGGATGGGGAATATAAGAGCTTTACTTTATAATTGAAAAAACAAACAATAAAACCTAGCAGGGAGCCTGGGGGGCGGCAGCTTTCCAGTATAAAACAATATCCAAAAATCACAGGGCTATTGAAAAGCAGAGTACTAAGTACACGGTATATAGATTTGCTCTGTATGCTCCTAGGCGACCCTGGTGGCCTAGTCTCCTAGTAACTAAAAATGCCGAGTCAGTCCATCGATATCAGAATGAACAAAGGGGGGGGGGGTTCTTGTTCAAAACCGTACTCTTTGTTCAAGGTTACTCATACATTGGGCTTGCTCAATGGATTTTACGCTTCTGACCGCCCGGGCCCGCTAAACTTACCATTGGCGGCCCCGGGCAACGGACTGCCACCCTCGCTTCTACAACCAACCTAGCTCATTTTCAGACGCTGCATCATCATCATCATCATCACGCACTTATTTAGTCGAGTGTCCTTGTCTCGAGCTCCTGTATACTAACTACGTCTTGTAACAACGCCACGATGATATCGGCTTTCTATTTTCGATTTGATCCCCCCCCCCCGGGGCGGCCGGCGGTAGTATGTCGGTCACGATTCGCTCCGAGATTGTGGATCTTGAGCTGTTGGTTCCAAGGACTGTGGAGTCCGAACGCGAAGGTACGGATTGGCCGCTCCTTCAACGCATCTGTGTGCTGACGGACTACTGAAGACGCCGATGTAGCACGACTAGTCCCATGGGTATTCTGCCAAACCACTATTGCAGAGGAAGGTTGCACACTGGACTGGCCGGCCTCGGAGCCGCGCTTCGAATATCTCCTTCACAAACTCAGCACCTACCGCACCGAGGTACCGGAATCTGAAAGAGGGATATCGGGGGCCATCCAGCCAAGTGCGACAATCACATTACCCAGGAAAAGCTGGAAGCTACCACGGCGAGAATACTTCAAGGGCTTCATCGGATCCCAGAGGTCAATCCTATACACACTTCTGAATGACGTTTACTCTGGACTTGACGGGGTCCGTGAGCAGGGTCCCCGGGTCAGGTCAGCGACGAAGCTAACCTTTGTACCTCGGCAGAGCATTCTACTGACAATTCTGAAAGGTTAGAACTTGGCTGGACAAAAAAGTATATCATCGGTGGTAACCGATTTGCCGCCCGATCCGAGGGTGCTGCCGTCGTGAAAGTGCGAGAAATGTCCGTGCCGATTGTTTCCTTCACAGGGGTAAGCTGCACACCCTCACCTACTTTCTCCGTAGACGTCATTCTCACATCCGCAGTGGTTCGAGGGCCAAACATGGGACCAATTCCTCAGTGAAACCCTGAGCATAATGCTCGGACAGTTGGCCAAAAACACCTCTATATTGCAAAGAGAGGGTCGGGGGCCCCAGGACCAGGAAACGTTTGTGATCGGCTTTCACGTGCCTTGTTTTCATGTCGCCTATGGGCTTTTTCCGGCTGCTACTGTTGCTAGGGTGCATCTGCAGGGTTTTTCGCTGGCTGAGGTGTTTGATCTGAAATTTAGTCGGGGGTATGACTTGTGCTTGAAAGATGACTGGATGCAAGCTATGCGGGTCTTGGCGCGGCTTTTTCGATACCTTGTGAGTGGGAAGGCGAAGGTTGGTGCTCTACAGGCGTTGAGAGGGGGGTCTGAGACTGGGGGTAATGGTTCTTTTTGAAAGTTTCATGTACTGGAACTGGGAGCTGCCTCCTTTTGCTTTCGTGTTTTTGATGAATCGCTTGGGTTTTGGCGGATTGCAAGCCGATGACACCATGCGGTTTGCTAGAGGTCGGTATGGCTCATATATTTGGAATCATCAAGCTACGCACAACCACCCTGTGCTGGATCTTGAAGTTGGGACGTTGCCATCTCTGTCAGGGTCAAAGGTGAATATCATTCAAATGCAACTTGATACGTCAGCTCATACATATACAGGACCCAACCCACTGCTAACTCCCATCAAGTAATTAGCCCGACACCATATGTTGTGCTCAATCTCCAGCCAGGACATTAATTCATCTGCTGTAACAATTGAAGGCGAATATCATGCAAGTACAGCTCAGCATGCGACATCATACACATACAGCCTGACACCAACACACCATCAACTCCAAAAAAGCACACTTACACCAACAAGTTAAACACCTCATACAGAACATTCCTCTTCACCTTCGGAGGCGTCAGCTGCAACCCCAACAGCTGATAAACCGCCATCTGCGCCGTCCTCACACTATACTCCATACTGAGCGTAGTATCCTCCGGGACCTCGGCAAACTGGCCCAAACAGGCAATGTTCGTCGTATCGGGAGGAACCACATGCGGACGGTCCTTTTCCGTGCGCGTGAGCAGCGGCGCAGTACCCAGTGGCAATCCACAAGGGATGGTGATCGAGTGAGGAAGAATCGACCTAACCGGGAACTCCAGATGCGACAGCACCTCACTGAAGATCTCCTCGCCGGAGCACTGGAACATGGGCTTTTTGACGAAGTTGCCCTCGCTCGCGGGACTCAACGCGTAGCCGCAGATCACGCTGACTTCCTCGGGCTGCGTGGAGAAGAGCGGCTGGCGCGGGATGCTGATGGTGAGGGACCAGTTACTGTCTGTCAGGGAGAGCATGGCACCTGTTCCCGGAGGGTCGCGAGTGACTTTCTCGTACAGCGACATGAATTCCGTTCCGCGGAGGGTGGTCGTGAATGTCTCGACCCCGGATTGCACGGCGCGGGAGAGGTAATTCTCTGGGTTTCCGAACTTCATCGACTTGGACAGCTTCTGCCATAGCTTCCACTCGGTGATCAGGAGGTCTTGCCAGTCGGATGAGAGATACGGCGGCGCGGAGTCGTTCGTGCCGAAGACGGCCCCGCTGCGCGAGTATCCCAGATCGACGAGACAGATATCCTCCGGGTCGAGGGTGACGAGGCATTCATCTCCGTCCTGGATCATCTTGATCTCCGACACCGTCGTCGGGTCACTTTCGGGATACAGTTCGATGTCGGTGACTTCGACCTGGAAGCGGAAATCCACCCCCTCGCTCTTGAGATACGTGGTCATCGGGAGCACCACAGATTCGAACAGGTTGTACTTCGTCTGGTACGCCCGCTTGACGTTATTGATCGTCTGGATATATTCCAGGTACTTGCAGAGATACCTCTGGAACTCGACCGCACTGTGCCACGGCTGGAACGCAAACCTACACACACACACACACACACATACACATCAGCCCAACCCAACCATCAAGATTCAAGATTCAAGATTCAAGAAAGACTCACGTAGTAGACCAAAGCATCCAAAACCCCGTCCTAAAAAAAGACTGATCAAACACCTCCTGGATAGACTTCTTCCCCAACGCCCTCTCCCTCTCCAGGGCCAAAACAATCAATTCCATCCGATGCTTCAACCCAACATGCATATTCTTCGTATAGACCTCCACCGCCTCCGGCCTCATCTTCCCCAGCCTCATCGCGCGCGTCAGCGCCACCTCTTTCGGGGGGGTCCGCTCCGCCGTCGCAAACTCGCGTATGTCGTCCATCAGCGACCAGTAGCTCGATCTGGCGCTGGGAACCAGAGACAGGAGGTTCTCGGTGCATTCGCCGTGGAAGTGCGGGTGGCATTCGAAGGGGAGGAAATACCCCCGTTCTGGGTCGCCGAAGGAAGTCATCTCGCCTCCCGAGTCGGGGCGGAGATCGAAGATGTGGATGTTGGGCCCCGGCACGTTGCCTTCGCGGATGAGGTGGACGGCCGCGGCGAGGGACGAGACGCCGCTCCCGACCAGCCAGGCTTGGATTGTTTGGGGGTCTCGGCGGAGGGAGCTTTGGGTGGTCATTTTGGTGGATTGCTGATTGATGTTAATGGGTGTTGAGAGGCTTAGAGCATGACTGGATCATGGTATTGATGGGGTAGAATGTCTGGATGTGGTGTGGTATGCATCCTAGATATAGAAGCCCTGGATCAGCCCGTCCGGTCTAGATCTCCAGCGGGGTAGACGATCCATGCGATGCGATGGTCGAACCAGGGAACCATGTTGGGAGGGGAAATGGGGATGTGGTCGGATATCATGCCACTCGTTACGAGTACTTAAGTAAAGGTAAGACTAGGGGAACTAACTAACTGGCAGCTGATCGAAGCCACCGTCGCCAGGATGCCGTCAGATCGCAGCCGGGTGAAGCAGCCAAATATATACATACCCACCTACCAATGGCCACAGAGCTGATTCATGGGGAATTAGCTCATAAACACGAGGAATCGGTTACGCAAGAAAGAGCAGTACATATTTGAGACTGCATATAATCATGGACGGTAGGTAGGTAGGTAGTATCGTTTTGACTCGGTGCGATGGATGTTGGTTCAATTAGGGTAGGCAGACACCCATGACTACATGACGTCGTCACCATGCACACCCCAGACAGAAACCGGATCTAGCATGCTACAGTTGCAAACTCCATCACCAGCTCGCATGGCTCAGTTGGTAGAGCGCATGACTAGTAATCATGAGGTCCTCGGTTCGAATCCGAGTGTGAGCATTTGATTCTTCTTTTTGTCCTTTGTCTTCATTCGCGAGGGGGATGAAGGGTAGGTAGGAAAGCTATTTTTTTTATCATTTTTAATGAAAAATGAAAGAAATAAATAATGTTGGTTGGATGGTCGTGTTGTGTGAGACAGATTTGATTCTCACAGCATCAATTAATAATAATATGATACTGCCAAAGACAATGAAGAGAGGGCGGATCAAATCTGCTATAGCGGGCAGTTGCTACTTATAATTACTAATAGTCTATCTAGATAATCTTATTTATAAGTTCGTACTATCTAGCTAGTTATAATAATATTATTTTTTATTAGTATCTTATTATTGGCCAATAGCTTTCTCTAATATTATTATTATACAACAAGAACTGCCTATCTGCAGCACACTATAGCATCTCCAATCATCCTTACCGCCTGGCACCACAACAATACCGAATCTCGCAACGATAGCCGATCGATAGATAGATAAAGGAAGACATAAATAGACACGACACAATGAGCACATCGTGAGGACATGCTGACGCTGCCTGCGAAAGCGGGAAGGAAGAAGGGTTGGTTAACTCTCTCTCTGTCTCTCTTTTGATCGAGGCTAGCTAGCTACCTAGATTAGACATCTAGCCATGGTTGGAACCTCCGTAGTGGGCGGTAGATAGGTGGGGTCATGTTTAATTTAGAAGTTGGTAGGTGATTTAAGTCTGACACAGTGACCCTAACTAGCACTAGGACTGTGCTAGCATGATCATGATCATGATCCTTGGTTGAGTACTCGGCTATCTGACAATCTCAGTGGGGTGTAAGGTTGAGATTAAGGTGAGGAAGAATACAAGTATGTCACGAAGACTATCTACCAGGGAAGAAAGAATAAATATCAATGGCTTGCGTGGGAGCTATGCCTATCTATCTGTCTGTGTCGGGAGTTTACAGACAGGTCCGAGCAAGTACAAGAAACCCAATAGATCAAGCAGAGCCAGAGAGAGAGAGAGAGAGAGAGAGAGTGTGTGTGTGTGTGTGTGTGCTTTTAGCCAAACCAACGAACAATGATAACTATATCAATACCTCATCGTCGCCAAAACAATGATAGATCACGAAATCACCATCCACCACCACTCCTGCACCACCCAACCCGGCTGGTCTTCTCCAGCCCCAGCCCCAGCCCCCTTACCCTCCATGCGAACGACACCCACGCCCTCCATCCACTGCAACAGCAACTGGACCTCCCAGCCGCCCATGGTCGGCTTAATCATTCCCGCGATATCGCACGAACTAATACCCGGACGGGTAGCCACGCAGCCGACCACCGCCGCCACAGCCAGATTCCACAACAAGGGGACAAAGTCCCCATGGATATCGTACCATAACGGTATCTTAGCCGGGAAAAACGTGACCGGATCGAGGGCCTGCGGGGGCCGCGGCGGGGCCAGACTGTTTATTTTCTCCTGGATCGGGTTCCCGTAGACGTAGGACTTGGCGGGGCGCACCTCAACAGGAAACCGCAGCTTGTCCTTGTCGATCTGGCGGGTGAGGTATCCGCCGTCTGTCAGGCCGTATTTGTCGCGCGGGGCGTCTCGGGGTTGCAGGATGACACGGCCAGCGGCGAAGAGGTTGATCACCACGAGCATGTCGCCGTCTTCGGCGTTGTAGTCGATGTCGAACTGGCCTTGTTTGCGGAGGGCCGGGTCGAGGATCTCGGTCTTGAAGCGCTGCGATCGTCGTAGTTCGGTGCTTTCGATTGCGCGTCGTCGGCCGAGTGTCATGAGGAAGTGGTCGGTTACGTCGTAGTTCCGGCCTGGGGTGATGCGGCCTCGGTTGCCCATGGAGACTGCCCGGTCTGTCACGAGGGATTGTAAGGCCTGGTGTACGATATGGTCTCCGAAACGTTCCAGGGCCTCGCGCGCGTCTGCTGGTCGATATGTCTCCTCGGGAGTCACGACGTTGGCCCGCACCCATGTCTTGGCGACGTCGAGACGTGACAGCTCGAACCGTCGTGGTGGAGTCTGGGGTTTGTTGGACAAGGGCGCTGCAAACGGGACACTGGCAAATAGGTTGCGCTTGCGGCTCACGGTTATCGACTGGGTGCTCTGGTAGAGGTCGTCCAGCGAGACTAGGGGTTCCTCGCGGAGCTCGAAGACGCTGTCGAACTGCTCTCGCGTCGCAGGCAGGTCTGGAAGCTTTTCGGATTTGGGCACATCCAGCTGTGTAGTGGCCCAATCGATCACTCCTTCCCAGTCGTAGCCTTCCAGGTTGTCGTAGTCGATAGGCGGAACTTGGTCATTGGCGTAAGCGTCGATGAAGCTCTCCTGGAAATCGCTCTGCATCTTCGTGATCTGCAGCCGGTACTTGCTCAGGATGGCCCGGGCCCTTTCAATGATTATGGCTGGGTCCTGGTCGGGAAAGCAGTAAGATACAAGGGGCCAATCAACCAGCCGGGCATCAGTGCCACCTGCTAGACTGCGTACCGCCACAATGGCAACCATGATACGTCGAACCAGGGTGTGCGGCATTTGCGCCACAGTCCGGGTCCGGCGGATAGGCTGCTGACGTGGATTGGGCTGCGAAGCTGGAGACCTGCTGTCGCCCGCGAGGCTCTCGTTGAGTTTGGCAAGACGGCGGTGCTTTGGCTCCACAGCAGCCTCGGATCGTCGTCGCCGTTGTCCAGCAGTTTGAGCCTCCAGGCGCGCTTTCTGCCGCGTCGTCATGGGAGCCCGCGGGATAGCCACTCGGCCTGTCCTCTCGTCGACATCGAAACGGATGTTCCCCTCGATGCCAGGGGTCTCCATGTCCTGGACTGTCTGGTTGATATACAACAGGTCATCCGTCTTCCGACGAAGCAGGTCTTCGTTGCCCAGTTCCCACTTGAGAATAACATCATTGTCACGGAAGAATTTGCGCGATCGCGGGTCGGAGGTGCCCGAGTAGTCCATTGTTCGCCTCCGCGTTTGACTGAACAGATCATCGAGAGAGTGCGGCAACTCGGGTGCGGATTGAAGAACCCTCTTCTTCGCGGCCGCCTTCGCGCGTTCCTTAGCAGCCTGCAGGGCCGGAATGCCAGCTTCCGTCGCGAAGGTTCCCGTTGTCGGGAGGAAGGTCGACTTGGTATTCATCAGCATCGTGTAGGGTGCGATGGAGGACCAGAGTCGCCTCATTTTGCGGATAGATGCCAGCCCGGCCTCTGTCCGCCGTCTTTGACTGTGCCTATGCTCACGGCCTGGTCGCGAGATCGAGGTCAAGCCACGCGAGCCCTTCTGTGCCGGGCGACGACGGATCGTCATGAGTCGGACAATATCCGATCGGTCCATGTCTCCAAATTCACCTCCCATGCTCAGCCGCTGCAGCAGCTCACCCCGCAAGGTGTTCTTTCGTCGCTTCTCCATCGCCAGCACTGCCGCTGGTTTCTGATGCAGTTGGACTGTCAGGTCATCTTTAACCGGCAGCTGGGACACCTGCTTCATCTCCCTACGTGAGCCGCCCCGGTGATGGCTGCTCTTAGTGATCTCCCCATCAATTTCAACATTGGGTGGGAAGTAGTATCGATCTGCAGCCAGCATTTTCTTCTGCATGTCCTCGATCAGAGGATCATTAGGCTGCAGGTCAACCTTGCACACGATGTTCTTAGTCACCATGATGCCCTTACTGTCCCTACCACTGAAGGTCAACTGGCGAAGCCTCCCAGAATCAATCATGGTTTTCACGACCGTTTTGATGGTGCGCAGATCCGGTGTTTCTTTGTATCTCGTCTTCTGCCATGCTGTCACGAACGGGTACCAAAGTTCCGTGCCCATAGGATAAGCACCCCCGCCCTTCTCCAGGATCTCCATGACAATTGACCTGCGCAGGACCGCAACCGAGCCGCCCTTTTCTGTCCAAACCTTGCGTCGCCTTCCCTTTGGATCTTCGGGTGTTTCTTGAGCGGTTTCGGCTTTCGTCTCAGGCGCAGGCTCAGAGGCAGCCGGTTGATCCTCGGCCAGACTGGGGTTCTGGGCCATAGTATCTTCCACGGCAACATCGGAAGCATTGACTGCGGGTGGTGCGTCGGGAAGCTCGTCTGTCTTTGTCGCAACAGGCTCATCGGAAGGCTCTGGTACGTCCGGTGGAACAGGCTGCACTGCGCCGGCAACCGCTTCGGTGAAAGTTGGACCAGGTGATGTGCCCCGTCCACTTAAGGCTCGTTGGGAACGGGTTCGTTTGGACGGTGTCTCGATACTGGGTCCTGGACTGAGTGGGGTCGGTTGAGTGCTGACCTGTGGTGAAGCGTGAGTCGATGGGCGGTCTGTTTGGGTGACGCTTTGATTTTGGAGTTCTGGCGATACAGCTCTTTTACGCTTTGGTCGCTTCGAAGGCGAGACCTGAATGGTTTCGGGCTCAATTTCTCCTGGTCCTTCAGCCGTAGAGGCGGCCAACAGGGCTTCATCGGGTGAATTGATGTGGCGTCGCTTTGAAGCTCTCCCAGAACGGGGCCCAGGCTCTGTATCCGAGCCAAGATGCCGTGCGCTCCTCTTGGGTGCTATAACAGAATGCTCCAGTGAGACAGCGGAGACAGCGGAGACAGCGGAGACAGCGGAAGGCGTGACAATGTCTTCAACAGCTACCGGGGTGAGGAAAGACTGTGCGGCGCGCGGTAGAGGGGTTCTTCTCGACAGAATAGTCAGGTCTTCATCCGCATCAGGTGCATCCTCCTGGAACCAAGGAAGAGATGCCAGCTTCGGCGACCTGAACACTGCAATCCGGCTAATGCGTGGACGGCCCTGTCTTTTGCCCGCCGGCCGCCGCCGCCCACGGGGGGTAACTAACACGCCTGGGCCGGAGCGCTCTAGAAGCAACGCGCTATACTCCGTCCAGGTTTCATCCAGCCCAAGAGCCTCGAGCCTCTCTTTCTCGGTCATCCCCTTGAATGCCTCACTATTCGCGCGTATCTTCCTCGGGCGCCCCTTCGGTCTGACCTCTGACCCGCCGTCCATTTCGATATCCGAGCCATCCCGGCGTTCTAGCTTCACCCTGACTGGCGTCGCCTGGGGGCGCGCGGAACTGTCGCCAGAGCCGCGGATGCGATGGTGAATCGTGTAGGTGCCATTCTCTTGTCGCACCGCCACAGCGTCGCTGCTTGAGTAGATATAACTTGGCGGCTTGACCACCGATATGCACTCCAGAAGAGTGGCGTTTCCGCGGTTCAGGACTTCTTTCGCAGGCGACGTAAGGGGAAGCCCGTATTCGTCCAGTTCCGGGGTGGCATCAACCGGCGGGATCTGGAGATTGTTCGACTTGGGACCCCTCGGGGCGAACTCGACCGCCTCCCACATGGCTTCGCCGGCGTCGACCAGGTTCTTGAAGTTCGTTGCCGTATAATGGACGTAGTGCGTGATGGTGCGCTGAAGGGCCGTGTCTCTGACAATGGCCAGATGGCGGAGGTGGAGAGGCTGGGACAGTTGCCAGCATTCTACAAGCCGGCTCACCGCGTTTTCCAACGGTCGTCTGAAGTAGCCGCCAAAACAGGCCCGGATGATCCCCTACGCGTCCCCGTCAACCCAGGTCTAATATGCTCGCACGTATCACTCTGCAAAGCGTTAACTCACCTGGTTTGTGATGCCATTGACCCCGGCCTGACTGACGGTCTCGAAGATCATGTTGTGGATGTTCTTGTCGGGGCTCCAGCAAGGGAGGGTTCGGCCACCGCCAGCCACCGCCTCGCGCTGGACCAGGCCGACCGCATCGCCGTCCGACCCATCGCGCTGCAGCTCCAGCTCCTCGTCCGCGTCGACGTTGTCCTCCTGCTCCAGATTGGACAGGATGCCGCGGCTGAATTCATTAAACAGGTCGAAGTCTTTGTCGGTGGGGTCCCGCAGGAGCATCACGCAGGGGTGGAATTTCTTCAAGGTATCCGCATACTGCGACAATGCTCGCACCCGCTGGAGCACCCCGATGCGCTCGAACTTCCGCAGCGCCCGGGACAGGATCCTCCATCGCCACGGATCGGCGAATCCCAGCTTCTCCTTCAGGTCATTGCGGGAGATGATTTGGTACTCGCGGAGAATGCTAAACAGAGAATCGTTGAATGCCCTGAAATCGATCATCCGCTCATGGTCCGTGGTCGATTCGGTACCCTGGCCAGCCTGGGTGTCTTTGCGGGCTTGCTCCGGGGTCAGGAACTTCCTGAGTGTGCACAGACTGGTGCGCGCCGACTTGACTTGGATCGCACGTTTCTCGATGTAGCCCTTTTTATGCAGCAGGTCCGTCCGCTTCGGGACGGAGCGTTTGTCCTGGCCACTAGCCTTGACCAGCTCGGTCTGGACAATGCCACTGTGCTTTCGCGACGCGATGATGGACAGCAGGGCAAATTCGGTCGGCAAGACCTTGGTTTCGTCGGGCTCATGGCCGGTGACCGCGAGCCAGGTTCGCTCTTTGGACACAAAGACGCGGGTGGAGTCCGGGGCATCTGGACCCGGGGAGTCCGTCTCGTCGGGGTGACGGACTGGAGGCCGCTCGGCATCCCGCAGACTCAAGTGATTGCCCTCGCGGTCTTTCCCGACAGAGACCTCGGGGTTTTTCATCAGCCATGCCCAGACCTTTTCCTGAAAGCGCCGGTCGACGGCGTGGGTGCGGGCGGATGCATCTTGGGCGGCCTTGGCATAGAAGGTGTCGATGAAGGTGAGGATGTCAGTGGGCGCAGCACCTGTTGAGCGTTAGTCAATTACCGTGGAACCCAACGGTCGACCAGGTGGACCATGTGGGAAAGGCAAGGCAAAGAGAGCGAGAGAGCGTGTGTGTGTGTGTGTGCATTGAGTTCATGCAGGTGTAGATGGCAGGTGAGCCACCAATGGGAGGTGAGACAGGATGCAGGGGTTTGGGGGGGCAGACGCAGAGGAATGGAGACGCTGGACGGAGAAAAAAAAAACCAGAGACTGACTGACCCTGATCGCCGCAGAGGGCAATCTCTGCGAGGAGAAAATCAATCAGATCCCGTAAGCTAGGGGCCATCTTCAGCCCATGTCGGCGCAGAACCGGGCCTGCGAAAATTCGTCCACGAGGGATCAGCCGTGATGCATTGCCTGGACAACGGAGAAGATGCAGATGGAGAAATGAAAATGGACGGGGGTGGGGAGTTGCAGAGGCCGAGACGCGATTCGAACCGGTGCCGCGGAGGAAAACGAGGTGAGGCCGAGATGACGGAGTGAGGCAAGTGGGGGTGGCGGGCGTAGGTCACGTGGGGGTCACCTGCAATAAAGGCCTCGGGCATACACGCTAGTCCCATTCCGGGGGTGGCCCGCCGGGAAGCGTTCCTCCATGTTGTGAGGGAGCGGTGTACCATATTGGTCGGGATGCACCCGTATCAGTTCAATTGGACGGGCCACAGGTGACGTAGAGCCAGCTCCACGCATGGTTATAAACCAGGACTGACAAGGATAATGCTGAACCATCTTCTCTTCATATACTCTACCTTGATCACCGTCATCACCACCAAAATGAACCCCCCTACCCATCCGGTGGCCGACTGGCTCCAAGAGAAGGCCCGTGGCTGGCTTCGCGCCCCCCCCGTCAACAAGATCGACACCCACCATCACATGGTACCACCGATCTATAGCAAAGGTGCGTGTTGATCCAACTGCTGGAGACAATTTTCCCAATCTGATCATCTCCGTCTAGCCGTGGAAAGTGCTGGAGGTATAATATCCCCTTGCCTATCCAACCCCGCAAAGTGCTCTGCCAAACCTGACGCCGAACAGGCGATCCAAGTGGCTGGCCCACCCCGAGTTGGAGTGAACTGGGCTCCAAGCTCGTGATGGAACGCCTCGGAATCCAGGTGTCCATTCTCTCCGTTACGGCCCCGGGTCCGTGTATCCTGAAAGGGGCTGAGGCGGCAACGCTGGCGCACCAACTGAACCAGTACGCCGCCGACCTCCGCGACAGGGAGCCCCAGAGGTTCGGCTTCTTTGCCTCTCTCCCAGATCTGCTGGACACCGAGGCCGCGCTGGCGGAGATCGCATACGCCATGGAGGAGCTGCACGCGGATGGCGTCACCCTCTTCACCCGGTATGGCGAGGGCAACACCTACCTGGGCCATCCGTCTCTCGAGCCCATCTGGGCGGACTTGAACCGTCGCAAAGCGGTCGTCTTCGTCCACCCCACCCATCCGGTCGATACCAATCCGGTGAGCTCGAAGATGCCGCAGCCGATGATTGACTATCCGCACGAGACCACCCGCACCGCCATGGACATGATCCTGGCCGGCACCCGCCACAAATACCCAGACTGCAAGGTGATTCTATCGCATGCCGGCGGAGCCCTCCCGTACTTGATCAGCCGGGTCGCAATCCCGCTCAAGAAGGCGCCCGATCTCGCCTCATCGTATGTCATGGGCACAACCGGGGATAAGGCCATGGAAGCCTTTCGCAGCTTCTACTATGATTTGGCGTTGTCCTCTTCCCCGCAGGTGCTGGATTTGGTGCTGAAGATGGTCCCTCACGACCACATATTGTTTGGAGTACGTTCATCCCCCATTCCCCCTTTATCCAGGAGGGGCAGCGGCTGATTGTGATAGAGCGACTTCCCTTACGCCCCACCTACGGCATACCCGGCGTTCTTGGAGGAGCTGGAGTCATACGAAATGGACGAGGAGCTACGGAACAAGATCAACTACGGGAACGCTTTGAAGCTCATTCCTCGGCTTTCCCAGCAGACCCGCCTATAGATGCCCCTGTGGTTAAAAGGGTTGCCTATCGCATGATTCTATCGTTGTACATTATACCCACAAGATACTTGAAGATGGTCTGGTTCATCCCAATTCAAACAATCCCTTGTATTGCATGATAGAAACCGGTGTATTCTTTTTGGCACAGTCCAAGTAAAGCTGCATCGTTTGGATGTTTCCCCTCTGATTTTTGTGCAATAGCCCATATTCGCAGTTAAGTTATTATTTTTTAATACTATTATTATAACTATACTATATCCTAAGATTAATAGCTTTAACTTATTTATATATATAAATAATTCTCCTAGCCCAGGATTCCGATCGACCGTGGACAGGCCAGGAACTCGGCCCCGGGCTGTCATGATCGTGGATGCACAGACAGTTGCCGAACCCTCTCCTGGCTTCCGGATCGAGGACTTCCTCCCCGCCCCCCACCCCCCCGCGCCATCTTGCCGATCACCTTCTCGAGTCGGTGTTTCTGGGAGCGCGTGTATTGTCTGTAACTATCCGTTCTTCCACCGACCCAGCTTCCAGGATGCGTACGACAACCTCTGGCTTTCGCGCGATCAGCCCGGGAACAAGCTCAGCGAGCTGAACATCGGACTCGGTAATCAGACTAACTCCAGCTCCCATTCTGCGGTGTTTGCTTGTGCGCTGAACATTATCTTCGCCATATGTTCTTTCTTCGGTCCAAGCACTTCATCGGATTGGACTTTAGGACCGTCGGGGTCGTCCAGACGCTTTTGATCGTCGCATTGTACCTACAGAGCACCCCGTACCCGGATCGATGCTGAAACTCGATGGGCATCGCCTGTCGGCTAGCACAGGGACTTGGGCTGCATGAGGCCCAACTGTATAGGTCCAAGGACCCGTTGGAACAGGAGACCCAGCGGCGGACGTGGCATGGATGTGTGATTATGGATATGTCAGTATCGATTGGCGTACATGTTCGATTGTGTTGACTGATGTCTGGTAGGATTGTGAGCATGACCCATGGCCGGCCTAGCATGACCTCCCACCTGGCTAGCATACCGCTACTAGGGGAGTCGACCTCCACTGGCAGCCCGTCGTTGCTGGCATTCTACAAGTCGAGGATCTTCTTATAGCAAATCCTCGACAGTATCCTATCCGATGTCTACAAGGCATGGCGCGGGCGATCCACTCAAACCGCCCCGACTTCGACCACTGTGAGCCACAGCCGACTGGATGTCATCATGGGGCTGGAGCAGAGGCTTTTCGAATACGAGTCGGGGATCCTGGCGTTCCTCAGCTGGAGCCACCCCGACACCCCGATTACCGATCCCTGGCGCACTGGCGTCTTCGGGCGTCAGCGCAATGTTCTTCATGCGAGGTACCAAAAGATCCCACACTGACAATCCTAGGTATCTCTACCTCCACCTTCTGCTCTACCGGCCGATATTCACCCAGCTTTTCTCGGACGGTCTGCACGCACGGAACCCGACAAATCCGACCGAACGCCATTCCAACGCCCTTCCACACAGCTCACTCTACTTCTCCATGCTGTCGAAATGCGCCGCGGCATGTGTACGCGCCGCCATCGATCTCGTGTCTCTTGTATACGATACGTACCAATCATCTACCACGGACGCATGGTGGTACAACGGATTCTGTACGTCGAACTTGTACTACTGGCATCCACGACAACCAAGGCTAACAATGTCCAGACACGTCAACGGCCGGGATGGTGCTCATCATGTCGTACACGTGCCACCCCATCTTCGCGGAACTCGACCGGGCGGCGATCGACCAGACATGGGCCAAATGCGAGCAGACCCTGCAACACATGAGCCCGTTCAGTGTCTCTGCGCGGAACACGCTCCGGTTCCTCCAGACGGCGCACAGTCGGGTCCGTTCCAGCGTGTCGGCGCCGGGACCCGACCGCGGACATGTAGATTATTCTCACGCCAAACGTAGCGAGCTTCCCAGCGAGGCGGTGCTCTCCCCGCAGCAGCCAACAATCCCTTGTTTCTGGGACGGTTCCGTCGGTGCGAACCTGACCTCGGACGACGTGGGTTTCTTGGGCCCGTTGGACTTTGATGATCTCCCGCTCTGGGTTCCGGGGGGGTAGACGTCTACAGCAGAATTGGCTTCATTATTGTCGTATGGTTGTACTTTCTCAGGTGGCAGTGCTGGCCCTTTCCACAGTTTCTGGTGTTTCAGATACCCCCCCATCATTGTCAGTAGTCAGCCTGGCCATGATGAGGTCTGATATCAAGATGAGGGAATGGTCTCGAACAAGTCCAAGGGGTTTATCCACCCAATAGCGATTCAAGGGGCCGAAAAAATGATGTGCAGGGACAGATGCCAGCCTCGAGGGAGAAACAAACGAGACTGCCGGAAAGGATCGACGGCTAGAGTGGAAGACTGAAGAAATGAAGAAAACGACCGGATCGGGCAGTGCTGACATGACATCACCGGTGGCCGGTTACGTCAGGCATCATCGCCGCGCCGACAGAACAAAAGATGGCAAAAAACAGGTGACGACGGCGCTCGCACCCCTGCCGTTGCTTCCGGCGGCTTATCTCTCATCTTCATCTTCATCTCTTCCCTTCCCTTCCACTTTTGCTTCCTTTTACCCCAATCCTTACTCCCTCCCCCCCCCCCCCCCGGAACCTCGTCCCTCCCGCCATGTGTGATCGCGCCCTCCCCCAATCAATCTAGAGTCTAGACCCGACAATCGCGGACCGTGTGACTGCCAGCTCATTTCCCCGTCGCTTATTCTCCCACCACCCCCGATGGACGAAGAGGCCAGGGCCGTCGCTGCGACCGAGCCTCCACCGCTTCCCTACTCGTTGCGCACGCGAAAGAAGTCTATCGCCTTCTTCTGGACCATATTTGTCATTGACACCCTGGGACAGCCGTTGATCCTGTACTGGACCCTGTGGTATCTGACCGATCTCTCGCACAACCTGGGTAGGTACCGGTTGCCATACGCCTCCAGTTCTCGCTTCAATTTTGCTGACGGTCGTGCCTGTAGTCTTCAGTATCGTGACCGCGTGTCTGGGAGGAATTTCCGTGTTCGAATATTTCTACCGACTCTACAACCTGTTCCGGAAGGATTCGCGCGCCCGGCCGTTGAATGCGAGGAAATCATGGGTACGCTGCCTCCGATCATCCAAGCGTCGGGAATATCGGATGCTGATAGGTGTAGCTGGACTTCTTCCATATCAACTTCACAATCGTTTGGTTAATTCTGGCGATTGAATTGATTGTGTAAGTGGTGCGAACGTCGAGGCTAGGATCGGGCTAACAGTGCTGCAGAGGAACTGTACCTGCCGAACCATACGGTATGACTTGCTCAATTGCCTCAGTTGTACTACTATTATGGCTAACTCTATAACAGTGCGTCTCGTCGCCATGGTCCTCCCGACAGTGATGTTCTACTTCGGCAGCGTGTTCCTGACCCTCGACATCCTGCGTGCGTGCGGTTACAAAGCCCCCTTCCGGATATCATCAACCCCCAAGGGCTCGACGATGCCCACGGCCCTATACGTTCTGATCGAAGATGTGGTGGCAGTCGATGGAGGTGGAGGTCAAATATACCGATATGCGCTCCGCACGCGGTACCTTTCCAGCCCGTTCTTCCGACGGATGCTGTTCCAGATGAACTGCTTCTGGGCCGGAGGGTCCATCCTCGTGGCGGCCGCCATTACCGCCATTGTCTTCACCGTCTCGGAGCCAGTTGCGTTCACGGTAAGTCACACCCAGTCGGATCTGACATGGCCATCTACTAAGATGTATAGCTGGGATGGACATTACCATTTGCATGGGCCGGACTCTGGACCATCATCACGATACCATGGGTCCAAAGCGACCTGCGTCGCGAAAAGGAAGCCTGGCAGGATAACAGAGGCCAAGGCGGCATTCCATACACCGACGACGTCAATGCGCCCAGTGCCCGAACCCGACTCGAGGCCTTCGAAGACCACCTACCGAGCTTTATCCCGTGGTTCCGAGAAAAGCAAGCCCCGCCGTCCGAGCCGTCGAACTAGGCTTCGCCTCGGTCACCAACAAAAGCATATAATAACAAACAGAGCCACGGCTCCCATTAGACGGATGCATCTGTCGGCCTCTGACCCTTCCACGTGGCGATGAAAACACTGGGATTTACCTACTTTAATGACGGAATGTTACGGCCGGCGCCGATTGTACCATACAGATACCCACCCACCTACCTACACCTCCCTTCTATTCATCTATCTATCACTTCTTTGCATCTACCAATCTGCGGACGTGGATTCTATCTTCTGTTCTGGGATGGCGCGCTACGATGTCACCCTTCTGTCGATATTGATATTGATATTGATCTTGTCTAGTGATTAGGTGGTGTCGGTGTCATTCAGAACATAGATAATACATACATACATACATACTCCGAGTTGATTAGAACTAGATTATGTGTCTTGAATTGAAGACTTGTATTGATGTTTGTCAATCAACACCGATCATCTGCGTTAGGTGAGGTTTGCGCGCACTCCCAAAGTTGTAGAGGTAGCATCCATGTGACGGCAGCCTACTGGCCACACAGGGAGGCGTTGTACGCGGCTCTAAAACTCCGAGTTTGTGGAAAGGGCTCTGGGCACAAGACTCAGCGGCGCTGGCTAACCGGCTCGGCCAGTCAAGGCATCGCCAGTCAGTCAAATTGGACTGAACCGCCACCGACTAAGATCCAAGTATGATGTCAAAGCCGGAGCATCTCGCGCGGATCACAATCCGACCAGCCCTCGCCCTCGCATTTCATCCCTCAGGATTAGCACCACCCAACTTTTCAAAGCCAAACCGATTTGAAATCGACCATGATCAAAGACCCAACGATCCTCAACCCACGGGCCTCAGGGCATAAAACCTTACGGGAAGCAACTTGAACTCCTTCGGAAAGCCCAACTGCAACTCGGACGCCACAACCCTTAACCCGGCCTCAGCGAACAGCTTCCGAAACTTGCCATCCGTGCGCGTGACACTACTATCCTCTTCGTCGAACATATCCTCACCGGCCGGATCGGTCGACTGATTCTCCTTGACCACCAAGACGCCCCCCGCCGTCAAGGCGTCCCTACAGCGCACAAAGTACGCCTCCAGCTGCACATCCGTCAAGTGGCCGACGCAGAACTGCGTCCAGATCAGATCGTATTTCTTCCGGGGATACCAATCTTCCAGCCCCACGGTGTAGATATCCCCGATCACACCGGACGCCTCCCCATCGGAGCTGGGTCGGTTCAGATGCGACGCGCGAATGACATGCGTGAATTTCTCGACCGGTTCGATCGCGTCGACGGTCGTGCAGACCTGGCTGAGGAGACCTTCGGTGACACGCCCGACGCCGGCGCCGCAGTCTGCGCCCAGGGGCAGCTTGCCGGTGGTGGGGCAGTTGGGGATCAGCCGCCGGACTTTGGTCAGGAAGGTCTTGGAGCCGCGCAGGTCGATCCGTGTGTACCAGGGGTAGTTGCCTAGCATGCCGAGCATGGTGTTGGCGTTGGCGGCCACGCTGTTCCAGTATCGGAGGGAGTCGGCATGGTTGATTTGGGAGTCGGGGGGGCGGAGGGTGTGGGTGGTGGAGAGGTGGTGGGCATGGCGGGTGGTGATGCAGGGGAAGATGTGCGTGAGTACGTAGTAGATGGGAGGAGGGGATGCAGGATGCAGGATCTTGAGAGATGGTACGGAGTACTGACGGGGAGGTATTGGATTCTGCCGGGGTTGCGGCGCCGCTCTAGACACCGCCCTTATTTTTTATCCAGCGCTAGCGTATTATTACGAAACGCGTCATTATGATACACTCTTGATACTACTAGTATTAAAGTGAGGATTCCTAGTTGTAGGGGATTCCTGATGCTTCGCCTGCATAAGAATAATAAATAATAGGCATAATATCTCTAAAGATTATATAATTGTTAGGGATGATACTATCCGCGGGATATGCATACTTACAAGGTAACAAGGGTGAAGCCCACCTCCCTCCCGGGTGTACTTGAGTATATATATGGGATTCTAGGGGTCCGCAGGTAACTGCGGGTAATGTTAACTACTTTAGCCTTTTGTCTCAGTGACAACAACTCCCCTAGGTTGGTGTCTTACATATATATTTTCTTAATTAAATTATTAAATCTATTTACTATTAAGATTAATCTAGCAAATTATACTTGGGAGGTCGCAGTCAGTCGGGGAAAATGCGGGCGATCCATCCCGCTTACCTAATCTTTGCAGAACTACGCCCATCCATTCCCATTTCTCTCGCTCTTCCTCAAACATCCCCATCCCAGTCCCGTATACCGTCCGGATATCATGGACGACTCCCCCGGCGAGGAACACCTCGCCTTCATGCGATGGGCCGAGTCGGCCGGGATCAAGATCAAGGGCGTCACGCCAGCGCGATTCCCCGGCCGACGACTCGGGATGAAAGCCACGCGAACAATAAGAGTGAGTGAGTGAGTGAGTGAGTGAGTTTGGGATTCCACGGTTCAGCCCAACCATCCAAATCCAACCCAGACATAGTTCAAGACAAGACAAGGCATGCTAATCTACCTGCAGGAAAACGAGACCATGCTCTCCATCCCCGTCTCCCTAATGTTGACCATCGACTCCATCCCGGAGTCCTTCACCGCGCGGTTCCACCCCGCCACCTCCATCCACGGCATCATGGCCGCGTTTCTAACGCACGGGGACCCAGCCCTTCTGCAAGCCCTGGATCCCTGGCGGCGTGTCTGGCCGACTTACCAGGAATTCGAGGACTGCATGCCGGTCCTCTGGCCGGAGCATCTCCGGGTATCGAATTCCAGCTACGAAACCACCTCCACCACCCCAGCGGAGAAAGGTGATCAAAAGAACGAGAATAGTAAAACCCTCCTCCCCCCCTCCATCTCCGGCCTCTGGAACACCCTCCCCAGGGAATCCGCCGGAGCAGACTACGACACGCGGTACCAGAATCTGCTCTCGAAGCAAGAGAAACGGCTGAAAGATGCGTGGGGGCACGTCCGCGCGGCGTTCCCGGAGACGCGGTGGGAGGCGTTCGCGTATTATTGGTTTATCATCAACTCGCGGAGTTTCTATTATGTTTCGCCTGGCAAGGAGGAGCCGGAGGATTGGAATGATGCGATTGGTATGGTGCCATTTGCGGATTATTTTAATCATGTGGATGATGCGGTATGTACTGTCTGCCTTTGGGTTGAGGGTGAGTGTGATTATGTGGATGATTGATGATGATCATGATGATTTAGGCTTGTGAGGTCGAGTTCGACGGTAAGAAATACACCTTCAAGGCCACAAGACGATATGGTATGGTATACCTCCTCCCCTTCTCCCTTCTTCCTGGAAAGTCACATTGGGTAGGTAAAGGGTGAATGCTAATATCGCCCAGAAAAAGGAGAGGAAATCTTCATGAGCTACGGCGCTCACTCTAATGATTTTCTTTTCGTCGAATGTATGCACCTCCCCCCCAACTCCCCCAGCCGACTTAACCTATTCAACCCATAAAATCACAACCACCCTAACAAAATATCACAGACGGCTTCACCCTCCCCACCAACCCCTCCGACAGTATCTACCTCGACGACATAATCTTTGCCTCGCTCTCCACCGCCCAGAAAAAAGAACTCGCGGCGCAGGAGATATTTGGGTACGTCCACCCTCATCCTCACCCTTCTCATCCATCCATCCATCCATCCATCCATCCATCCACCTCTCCTCCCCACCCCTCCTCCCCCAACAAACCCCATAATAACAGCAACGCAAGCAACTACGAAATCACCCACACAAGCACCACAAACCCGACGCTCTTCGCCGCCGCACTAACCTACATGCCTGTGCGGAGCTGGCGGAGCTACGTCTCCGGACGGTCCTCGCGGGGAGTCGACTCCCAGAAATCCGCCTCAGTAATCAAGGCGTGGGTGGGGAAGTATCTAGCTGAATGTGTGGAGTCGATCGAGGTGATTAAGGGGTTGTTAGGGGAGGGGGGGGAGGAGTTGGGTTCTGAGAGGGGGGTAGACGGGTGGAAAGAAGCAGGAGCAGGAGCAGGAGCAGAAGCAGAGGGAGAGGTGGTGGTGGGGTCGAAGGGGTGGGAGAGGGCCAAGTTGCGGATGTTGTTGGAGAGGTGGGGGCAGCTTAGGGGGTTGTGTGAGGGTGTTCTTGGGAGGGTTCATCATTATGAGAGATCATGATGGATGTCTATATTCAAAGATTATTGGTTTTGTTTATATAGAGATTGGGTATAGTTTAGACCCCTGCTGTCTGCTTGGTCAAGTAAAGAGTCATCTAGAATCTACCCATACATCCATACATCGTACAACACAACACTCGACAAACACCACTAGTTTTTAAAACAAGAATAGATAAATTGCACCGTCTATCTCTATACCCATAACTATACCTACAACACAAACAAGCACCAGGCCGAGCAGAGCACGAACCCGAGTAACAGCAACAGCAGCAGTAACAGCAACAATATGTCCAAAGCGTGACGCATCCCAATGACATTTCGCTTGCCTCTACCAACACCCCACACCATCCATCCCCAGTATACAGTATCAGTATCAGTATCAGTATCAGTATCAGTACACAAGCTAGCGTCGACTCAACATGCAGATAACAATAACCGGCAGATAGCCGACAACCAGGACACCTCAAGGACCAGGGATTAAATCAGGGCAGGGTCAGGGCCAGTGAAGAAAGCAAAATTAGCAGTATGATTTTCCACAGGAAAAAAAGGTCATGGGGGAATCAATATTAACAAGAAGGGTAAATATAGAAAAAGAGGAAGGACGACACTACCCCCAGGGAATGAGAACCTGGAAGCATGATCGGCACTGGCGAATGGAGGGAGACAGAAACCAAAAGTCGACACCTATATACAACCGACCCACTGCATCGGGGGTATCACGGCAAAATGCAAGGTCAAGGTCAGGAATGTCCAAAAGTGTAAGAGAAATGAGGACGGGTTGGGTTGGGTTGGGTTGGGTAGTATAGGATGAGCCGCGACAGTTGCAGCTGATTAGGATTATTTCCTCGAAGGCATGAGTTTACGCCCGAAATTTCGGATCGATGTCTTGGGGCCCGCACTGTTCACAGTCAGTCAGTCAGTCAGTCAGTCTACAGGGATGGATGACAAGAGAGAAAACGTACGTATCTTCCGGTCCGTCCCAGATCCTGGTCGACGACCGAGGCATGGCGTTTCCGGAGGTCATGGGCCGGGCAGGCGGATTGACGATCCTGCGAGATTGCTAGAGCCACTCAGTTAGCTTTCGTCCCTGCACTTCATATTATCTAGTCAGACATACCTCCCAACGAGCATCGACGTCGACCTCGCTCGCAGAGCGAGAGTCCGGCAGCACACCGCCGGGCTCATGCACACTGAGCATACTGGACCCAAGAGAGTTGGACCGCGCCAGGGGCGACGTCCCGGATTTGCCGGATCGCTGCGACTCCGAATATTCGCTGTTGGAGTCCACGCTAGCCATACTCTGGGCGTTGTCCGACTTATCAACTGCACTGTCCGAGTTGTGCAGAACCTGGGAGGAGCTGGCCAGCTCGCGGTACCGCTTCAGCTGCTGCTTGGACGGCCGGTGGTGCGAGAACTTATTCCCAAGAATGGCCGGCGCATGCGAGATGAGGGCCTTGATGACATCCTTCTTGAGTCGCAAAGCCAAGTCCAGGTTCGACCAGGTCTTATTCCGGTATTCCAGCACGGGTAATCTGAACACGAAGTCGTGGAGGTCCTCCAGGTTGTGGTCACCCTTGCCCTTGTAGCTCAGACAGAGCACAACATCGTGCACCTTGACATGGGCGAGTGTCATGTAGTTCGACGCACGAGACATCATCTGGGTCAAATCGTCCGGTGTGTCTTTTTTGCCGTTCCGCGGTGTTCGTCCAAGAACAAATTTCTTGGCCTTCTCTTTGTCTTCAGCATTGGAGGACGCGCCCGACGCAGGGACCATCGATTTGTCCGTCGCTTGTCTAGACAGTATCCGCAGACTGTCGACTGACCGCTTCTTCGCTAGCCCGCCACTCGTTGAAGGCCTGCTGTGGTCCTTGTCCCGGTGAATCGGTGTCATCGCGAGACCCTTGAGATGGCGGTGGCTCGATTTGGGTCTGGCCTCCTCGGACAGCGTAAGCGTCGGTTGCAATCTGAGCTCAATTGCGCCAGGTCCCTTCAGCTGCAAGTCATCCGACGAAAGGTCGCCCTGGTCCTGGCTGGGGGCGGACACCGGACGTTCTTCCTCAGAGTCGGACTCGTCGTCAAGCGCCTTCATGTTCTTGATCATGGATGGCGAAAACCCGCCGTTCTCAAACGCCGTAGATCCGACCTTGGGGAACATGTACTCGAACACCTTCTGACCAAGCTCCCGCTCCAGCTGAACCTTAAGTGGGAAGAGGGAGACCTCGAAATCATCCAGAACGGGAATACCAGCAACAGCCTCCAGCATGTGCCATTTAACCTTGATCATGTAATCATCAGGACCGTTGAGGTTCCGGGCCTGGTCAAGGTAAGGCACAATGATTTGAGGATAGATGGCATCTGGAAGGAGGTTCAAGCCATACAACCGTTCGACCGCAACCAAGTTGTGGTTCGAGCCGTCGCTGTTGTCCGTGCGGTCATACTCAGCATTCCGGAGCTGGAACTCAACCAGAGGCTCCGTTTGATCCTTCATGAGATGCCATACAACCTCGCTTGCAGAAATGTTCCAGCGGAGAACCCCGTGCGCCTTTGACATGGTCGGATCGATCTTGCTCTGCGAGGACGTGATTGCCTTCATCAAGAAGAACAACTCATCCTCACATTGTGTGAGATCCTTCTCAAGTACCATTCGATCTTCCCAGCCCTGTTTATCCAGATACTTCGCATGAATCTGGAAATGCTCCTTAATCTCCTCCAGTTGCCGGATGCGAGCCTGGAGCTTGAACACCATCTCCGGTGCGCCTCTCAGATCACTGAAGTCGGAAGTAAGCATGATCCTCTCAAGGCGTTCATTGCGAACCTTCTCAAGTGGCTCGTTGTAGAGGAGAAGGTCGAGAACAATGATATACATGGAGTAGTATTCAGCGGAGTCGCAAATAGCACGGAAGTGGGGAAAGTCGACGCTGATGTGGTCCATCCTGGGCTCAAGGTCTTCCGGACTGAACTGTTGGCCTGGCTGCCCCTTCCCAACCTGCTCGTTGTATTTCAGGCGGAGATTGTTATACTTGTCGTACCGCAAGCTAGCCGACGTCTTCTGGATAATTCTTGAAAAGCCAAATGGATTCAGTTCGAAGTCGAACATGGCTTCGAGCGTCAACCAAGGCGGCCATGCCGACCCCGGTGAGTTGCCATATTTGTTGCCAGCATAAAACTGCAAATGATTCAAGAGATTCTTTTGCGTCGCCACGAAGAACTGGGCACCATCCATACAAAGATTGAAGCGACGCTGCACCAAGCCACTGACGTCGTCGGACACGCGTTCCTTGTCCATGATGGACACAACTTGCAGTTGCATCCCCTTGGCAGCGACGAGTAGCACGGACTTTTGATTCTTCTCGCTCTGCAGTTGGATCTGCGGGGCAATAAGACGCAGGTGGTAGCTGTTTTGCGGTGTGAACTCAGGAGCGATATTTTCGCTAGCTCCATCGGACTTGGAGGTACTTTGTCTCCGTTGGTCAGGATGCTCCTGCTCTTCCGCATTGACGTAGCGCTTGGCATCGCTCAGCAACTGCTCGATGCGATCCTCGATGCTGTCATCGTCTTCACTGTCCACCAAGCCTCCTGCATCTGAAGGTCGTCTCGAGGCAGTCTGGAAGAGCTTCGAATGCTTCTGCTTGGTCCTGTTCTGTTCATCGACTATATCAAGAATGAACTTGACAGCTCGTCGAGACATGTAGTACACGAATCCACGCCGCTGGCTCACTTGATGGATATAGCGTAGGATGATGTTCCTCAACGAGTTGTTCCACTTCAGTTGGATATTGTGGATGATAAACCGGTTGTTGAAGTCACTTGCCAAATCATCGTCAGGGGATGAGTACAGCCCATCCATATCGGCAGCGTCCTTGCCATCATTGGTCGAATCAGAATCGGTTCCCAGGCGAGAAGTGCTATCGTTCGCAAATGCTTCGGGATTCCTCTCCGTCGGGATCTTGTCCTCCCGCGCGAGCTGCTTCTCAATACGTTGCAGCCCAGCGTTGAGGAAAGCACGTCTACGCATGAGCGTTTCCGCCTGTCTCAGATAATCCTTATGCTGCACCTTGAGCTCAGGATCATTCGTAATATCCTTTGCCATGCGGAGCTCCTGTTCGCCAATGGTACGATTGCAATCGCGGGACTGCGCCTCAACAGCAACAAGGCGATCTCGGATCAGCTCCATCTGCACCCGGCGAGGTTCATTATTCTCAGACATAACACATTCGTGGGTCGGCTCGTCACCAAAAGTGCTATAACCCGTTTCGTCTGGAGGTGTGTGACCATGGTCCGTCTGGCGGAAGTACGTAAAGCGCGGCGTAAACGCCAAAGGCAAGAGCTGGGTTCGGGGGTTGGACTCTTGAGGCAGTATCCAATCCAACTCCACAAAGTCATCCATGTCGATCCAATCAAGATTTTGGTCGGGAATTGTAAACCGAGAAAGATCAACAGAAGCCACGGGTTGTTGAAAGGACGATATGATGTCGTCTTTGTTGTTCTCGATATCATCGAAATTCGTCCCTTCAATGCTGGCCGAGACGGCTCTGAAATCCGCAGACTGCAAATCGACTTCCGCCTGGTTGATGCGCATGGCGCTTGCTTGGGTCTGCTTTAGGCGGCCCTTGGCCTGCGTTTTGACTTGTTCTCGCCTCTGATGAACATCAAATTTTAGACTGTCTAAACGGACCTTCAGGCCTGTCGCTGTCACAACATCTTCAGCATAATCTTCGCGATCCTTATGCTTGTAGATGTGAGCCACGAAGAGAGGGGCAAAGAGCAACTGATACTTGACGGTTGCCAGGTGACGGTTGAACTTTTTGCTCGTCTTGGTGATACCAGGCCACAACGGGCCCTGCCGGACGGGAAGCGACATGACTCCAGAGAACAGGGACCACCAGTTGAAAAAGTGTGTGAAGAAACGAGGGGTCAGATGAACAGTATTGTAGCTCGCAGACGGCTGCACAGAGTCAATAGACCAATTCCTGCTTTCAGGAGCAACAACTGAAATTGAAAGATGGATGTGGTTACTCCGGAACCCGCGGTAAGCATCATAATCCTGTTCCCAATTAGTCGCGACTCTTTTTCAACTCTTTCTCCATGTACAAGGATAAAACTTACCTCTCGCTGTGCAGGATCGACATGAACAGGATTCTGCAGGACAACCTCGTAATGAGGTCTAAACTCGAACGACCGTTGGGTATCGTCCACGTTGCGCTCAAACACCAAACCGGCGGCCCATTTCACATCGCCAGAGAGTTTCATGACGACCTTCTTGAATTGGGCGGCATTCTTTTGTTCACTGGAAATCGAACTGCTTTCCACATCCTGGGCGGTCGCTTCGGCCATATACCGAGCTTCATTGCTGTAATCAGGAATCGCCAGGACATACTCCCCACTGGTAACACTCAGCAATTCCTTGGGATCATCACCAGTGTGAATTTCCAATTTGACATCCTTGCGCCAGCACATGACGAATCCGCTTCCAAACCCAGTCACCACATATGGGTCGCGCGAACCTTTCATACGGAAATGAACATCTCCATCCTCTTTCCATAAGACTCTCATCCGAGAGTGGAAACTCAATCTGATCTTGTCCCAGAACCCCACTCTGTCTGACGGGTCAATTTCTGCCTTGGTGAACCCTTCAATGATCTTCATCATATCCTGAATGACAGGCTGGTAAGACATGCCCCAGGAAATGCTCGTTGGGAGACTCGTATTGATCTCAATGGTAGGATCCGAGTAGGTTTTCACAGGGGAGACGGATCTCCAGACTTCTATCGCAAAGGGAGGGCTCGTGGTCCCGTCTGACAGCTGCGTCGAGGGAACCAATTCGAGTTTAACTTGCCTGGCTGACTTATAGTCGCGGTACTCTTCGGCAATCACAAAATTGGTCCGGAGAGACCAACTTGGCAGTCTTGGAGACTGTCCGGGACGCAAAGCCGGAATATGCAGCAAGTCCAGGGGATAGTCTCTCAGGTTCACGCGTGCCTCTCCCATATCCAGCTGGATACTCATGGGAACAAGCAGCGCATACTGCATATCCATCGGCATCCCTTTCCCGATATTGTGGAGGAACTTTGGATACTCTTCGATAGGGAAGAACGGTTTGTCAATAACCAGGTTGATGTCACTGATCAAGGCTGCCAACAGAGCGGGTCTGTTGGGAATGGAGAGCACGGTCTCCGATTCTTGCACATCTTCGGGAGGCTCATCAGCGCCACAAAAGAGGTTCCGCACCTCCTTGATAGAGCTGCCCTGGAACCGTAGAGCGGAGTCAATCTTCTCTTTCCAGGACCGAGAGTTGTGTTCCTGAAGCCGATTCCAAGCATTCTCCGCTGAGATCTTGGACTCGGACGACAAGCAAGCAGCGCCCTCGGTATCGTAACGGAACTTCTTCCCCCGTTCCCGCTTGTCATCGTGCAGACTCCTCCGCGGTTTCGCATCGGCACTTTTGCTTCTCCTTCTCTCCTCGCCACTAACACGCTCGCTGCGAAGGGTTCGGTGACTGGATTTAGCCCGAATTCTCGACGAAGCGCGACGCTGATCAGTATCTTTAATTTTCTGCAGCTTCAGTTCGAACGCCTCTTCCCGAGCCAAGCGCTGACGCTGCTCTAGAAGACCAGTTCTATAGATACAACCCAGCTTCCACTCAAACGCATCATCTTCCAACTCGAACAACAAGGCTTTGCTACGCAGCGAAATCCTCGGCACCTTCTTCGGTTCTTCTGGGTCTCTGGCCGACGAGAACTCAGAGGTATGGCTTTGGAATCGCTCGTGAAGCTGCTTGAGCGCCTTCGAGCTGTTGATGAAGTTATCAAAAATACGATGCATGACCATATGGTGCGGTACTCCGATTCGGATGAAGTCCGCCCACACGTCTACCGACTTTTGCTCGACAAAGCTGGTGCCTTGTTTGAGCTTCATCTTGCGCTGGTCGACTCGGACATTGTTCATGCTGATGATTCTAGCCCAAACGCCCTTGAGCTTGGGGGCTTCTGCGTGTAACCGGATCAACTGAGCCTTCATGAATGGAACTGAGAGGCGATGAGAGCCAGCCGTCAACCCGTAGATCTGGATCAGCATCGGGGGGTCAGCGGGTAGGAAGGTCTTGATCTGTACGACCGTCGCCCGAACATCAACTGTCACCAGCTCACTCCTTGCCGAAGTCCGTGGGGACGGTGGGAACGCAAATTCCTTTGCGATCGGAGACATTGGCTCTTCGGAGGGTGGTGGTGGCTTTGGCATGAACGCTTCTTTAACCACAGACATAGCAACTCCGAGACAGTAGTATCGATAGAGGGAATAGTGTAGGTAGATGCCCTTGAATACGGAGTTGATGTTGAATATCGGCCCAAGACGGTCACTCATTGTGCTTAGAGCAACCTCAAATCGGGGCAGTGAGAAGAAGGGTTCTGTCTCCAGATAGTCTTCGGATTCAATGACAAAGGCCTCAAAGCCACGAACGTGAAGCGCCAGACGCCTCCCATCTGAAGCACCGACTTGCTTTTGTCGCGGAGGAGTCGACGTAGGGGGGAATCGGAAGGACGACTCATCTCCAATGAAAGAATGACTAGGAGTACGCCTTCTGGCGAAACTGACAGTCGTCGGTTCGGACTTTTGAGCTTTGTACTCTGCGGTCCACGATTGAAGCTGGAGCGAGACACCACGCGATACTTCCGACACGCTAGTGTCGACACCAGCAATTTCTAAGCTGAGACCATTGGCCTCGAACTGGAATCGAAGGAGCCAAGCCGGAATGCGCCTCAACAGGCTAGGCTTTCGCTCCTCAAACGACATGGACGCCTTCCTCTTATGTCGAGTCTGAGCCTGAAACTGCTCAATGACCTGTTGAATGCCGCGATTTACGTCGTCGTTGACCATGTGTGCCGAGCAAGAATTCAGGGATCCCGACGCGATTACGCGTACCTCTGGGGATGCACTCAATAGCACCTTGAATTCCAAGCTCTCCGTTGTCAAGAGATTATGTTTGACCCCCGTCGGGGTCTGGTAGTATAGCTTGTGTGAGGCCACCCGGTAAATGGATGAAAGTGAGTAGTGTGCCCCGCCTTCTGACGAGTGGGAAGATTCGATGTCAAGCGATATAGCGGATATAGAGGAAATGAGGAGATTATAGTCATCGTCGGGAGTGTCGGAGGGATCGGAGATGGGGAGAACAAATCGTACCACGGGTTCATGGACGGAGACCTTGATGCTGGCTTTGGGAAGCAACCGGGAGATCAATCGCTGATTATCTGCCTTCTTGCCCCGTGAAGGCGCCTTCTTCGCCTGAGTCAACCCCAGCAGGCGAGATACCTGCTTCGGCTCCAGATCCAGTGAAGGCGACGTCACCACCAGATTGGCAAACAGAATGTTCGTATTCCGCTCCTCGGGGTTGTAATCATCGAATGAGCTGATGGTCTTTGAGGGTAGTGTGGTTTTTATTGTTGTGGTGGCCATCGGGATGTAGAGGATGTTATCCGTCTCACCCGCACCATCATCCAGACTGACCGACACGGAGATAGCTGCAAGGAGAGCTTGGTGGGCGACATCGTTGCGCTGGAAATACATGCGATGGGCGGGGCTCTTCTGGTCCATCCGATGAAGGTCGACGCCGAGCTCATGCGATACCACATTCAGGCACACGGGATTCTGCTTGGGCGAAGAAGGCTGGAAAGTCCGAGACAGCCTGAAAAAGCTGAGAGCCACCTGTATACCCTGGATTCCACGCAGCAGCGATCCGGCGAATTCCTTCGAGTCGGCAACAGCCTGCACAATCTTGTCGTCTCGGCTCCCGGGTTGGTCCAGCTCCTCCACAAAGTCCGCAAAGGAGACTTCATCGTCTGTCTCGGTGCTCACGGGCTCAGCGACGGACTTGCGAGACTTCTGGACACGCTGCATGAACGTCACCACGTCGTCGTAAGGGATATGCATGCGCCCGATCTTGAGCGCAATTGACGCATCCCGGAGGCCGTCGAGGTCCTTGTGAAGGAGGCCGTGTATAATCACCCGAACGTTGTCCAGCACTTCGGTCGGCTCCCCTCCATCCACCCCGAGCAGCACATTCTGTACATTCATCACCCACTCCGCCGGGCGTTGTTCTCCGGAGTCATAGTTCTTGCGCCGGAAGAACAGCTTCCCTCGATCGACCATCTTGCGCCGCGTGTCGACTCCCAAAGACAAAGATCCGACCTGGACCTGGCCAGCATCGACCAGGTTGACGGTCGTGTTGACGGCGACGACATCCACCAGCTTCAACCAATGTATTTTCCGATGCAGCTGCTTGACCTGTTCCTTCATGCGGGTGAGGGTCGTCCATGTCTTGCTCCGCTTCGGTTTCGAGGGGCACTCTTGTCCGTCCTCCGACTTGACCAATTCCTCTTCCTCCGGCGAGCGAGTGTGCGGTTCCGACGCCCCCGGTTTCTTTGTATTTTTCCGCCCCTTTCCCAGCGCGGTGGGATCCAGCGTGACCTTGAGGTCGGTCAAGCGAAGGCTGAGCCATGTCGGTTGCGCAAACGACGGGGGGTGTAAGGACAGGCCGAGGCCACGGAGTTCGATCTGGATGCCGTCTCGGGGCACGTATGCAATGCGGCGGAGGGAGAAATACCCGATTCGCTGGATAGAAATTCCGGTCGCGATGCGGACGATGGCGAAGATGAGGAAGGAGGAGAGGTACAGGAGGAGGAATCCCACGAGGACGGTGGTCGGGCTGAAGAGCGCCATCGTAAATCGCGATCAGCAGCAGGACTGATCCGTTGCACAGGAAGGGCAACCGTCAGACAAGAAACCATGGAGATGGAGAGGGGGTCAACGTCGGCGAATCCCTGGAGGAAGTAGTAAGATGAGCAGTCTCCAGCGAGAAGGAAAGTGATGGTGTGGGTGTATGTGTCTAGTGTCTGTCCCGACTCGGCCCAGCGATCCCTCCTGAGAAGAGGGGGGGGGGTTCTCCTTCTGCGGAGCCGGGGCAAAAGAACAGGTCTCCGTTAATACGAGAGCTGCAGAGGGGCCGGGCCAGCGAAGCGATGGAGCGGGAGTCGCCGTACGTCAGGCATGCTCGATTTCGTGGGGGAGGGGGAGAGGGGGGAAAGGGAGAGGGAGAGGGAGGTCGAGGTCATGAAGGGACAGCCAGAGCTGGAAGCTGGATGGGATGGGATGGGATAGAATGTAGACGAAGTGGGCGATCGGATGGGCGAACCATACATGGAACACCAATCAAGCGGACCAGCTGTCAGCGGCGGAAAGAACTGGCCGGAAGGGGAAGGCAAGCGGAGCCTTGGGCGACTGGCTTGCTGGCCGGACCGCCCGGCTGGCTCGGCATTGCTGCTGCTGCTGTTTGCTGCTGTTTGCTGCTGCTTAACATTAACCAGGGAAAAATAAAAGTGGGTTCGTCTGCAGGTGTGTAACCGTCCGCAGGAGAACACAGTATGTATCTAGATAGATGGTACATACCATCTACTACTACTACTACTACTACTAAATAATAGAGTCAGTATACCGTAAAGTTACATACTGTCTGCTGAACAGGCCATTTGGCCTGTTCCATCGTTACAACGCAACATTCTCGAATGTTTCTAGTTCGAACCTACTAGTGGCCAGTGACTAACTGAAAAAAAAAATAAAATAAAATAAAAATAAAAATAAAGGAAGAACGAAATAATCCGCCTCCAGCGAAACTTTCCCAACAATCCGTCTCCGCCAATCAGCGGGCGCCATGCAGCGTGGTCGGATGGCGGAGCCCTTCTGGACGCAACCAGTGTCGCATGCGATGCTTTGTTTTCTTGTCCCTGTCTACAGAGTATAAAGGAGGAATGGATACACGCACAATGGCAATATGATACATATGATACATATGATACATGGGGGAAATGATAAGTATATGTTGTGTTCTGATGGCTTCTGAAACACCCCCCATGCGGGCGCAAGTCGGAGTGATTTCCCTACTACTTAGTACTGTCGGAGGACGCTCTTGTCGGAGGTTGAGGTGCAAGCCAGTGCACCAATGGGTGGGTTGGATGCCGCTATACCTCCGCTAGGATGGATGGATGGATGGATTGATCGATGGATGGCTGATCTACGCCCACCCAGCGCAACGAGTCGCATCCTCCCTGGGAGACGGATCGGACATGTAAATCCGACCATTCGGGGTGATGGATCTCTCCTTCCCCGTGCTGTGTCCAGCCAACGCGCTCATTTGGCACCATTGGCATCGGGCTGAGGAAGCTCCGGCGCCAGGAGGGGATCTCTCGACTTCGACAACCTAAGCTCATCGATCTTGTCGTCAATGAGGGCGATTTCGGCCTCGATGCTGAGCAGTTTCTCATTCAACATGCCCTTGTACTCGTCGTCGGAGAGCGACTTGAGCGGAATCCATTTGGACTCGGCCATGCGCTGCAGAAGTGGCTTGGAGGGGGCGGTCGCGCGCTCCAATTGCCATGCGTCGATCGCATTGTACGAGCGTTGCCCGACAAAGCCTAGTAGCGAGAAAATCACTACCCCTGGGATGAGCCGGCCGCCTAGAATAGTGCCGAGCGTCAGCGACCCCCCCGACCAGACAGACCATCACATCACCACTGTCGCGTCTCTCGAATAGGAAACTGGAGGGCCATATCAAACTCACCCATCATTCGCGTCACTGTCCCTCCAGCTACGCCGCCCGACAGCGCGCTAACATAAGAGCGTTGCTGGGGAGTGGCCTTGTCTTCATAGTGGAGCGACAGGAGGTTGCTTCGCAGCCCTGCAGCACATTTTTTTGAGCATTGCGGACCGATTCTGAAAGAACCCGTAGTTGGATGGATGACTTACACCAGAAGCTGGTTCCACATACAGACCAGTGGATTCCAGAGGCGATCGAGTGAATCACCGGGTTCGGAGACCGGATCACGCCTGAAATGCCTCCATAGATGAGGCCCGCAGAGCCTACGATGGCAAGTGAGCAGGACTTTCTTGATTCATAATTCATGAATTCATCCAGGAGTATGGTCTCCTTCGAGTTGGGAGCCCTGGCCTGGCCGAGCATTCACGGGATGGGACTGGCACTTACCACTCAGCGCTCCCACTTTCAGACTGGAGAGCAGGAGATTGGGCTGCGGAAAGACCGACTTATCCTGTCCGCTCATCTTTGCAGCTGCGACACTGCAATCCGGCACTCGCGGGCAGATACATTCGGTGGCCGATGGCTGCAATCCGCCTGCTACAGCATCGAAAACCGCGCCTCGCACGTGATCCCGCATAATTAATGCTTATCTAATCCGGTTTATCCAGTGCATAGATTTGTGTATGCATCCCGACCGAATCTTAGTTTTGAAACAACTCAACCTTCCAATTTCCAAAAATAGTAATATTTACAAAAAAGACTTCGCGCTATATACATTATACACAATCAACCCCCACCGGTCCCCCCATCCACTCTCAAAACCTATGAATCTGCCCCTTCTTGAACCCCAACCTCTCCAAGACACCACCACCACCACCAGGCGAACAGTTCGACCCAACCAACGAATCCTCCATCGCAGGCGGACCACAGACAAAAACCTTGACGTTCTCCGATCTCTCGCCCCTAAACGCACTCCTCAAAAGCTCCTCATCCACATACCCCTTCCGATACTCCCCTCCTTCCCGCGTCGGCCGACTAACCGTATAAAGATACTTGAAGCGATCCGGAAACTGCTTCGCAAAGGCATCCAGCTCGTCCTTCAACAGCAGATCCTCCTCGGAGTTAACCCCAAATACCAGGGATATCTTTGTCGTATCTTGCGGGTTTTTTAAGATGCCCCGGATGAGCTGGTAAATGGGGGTGATTCCCGCGCCGCCGGCTAGCAGGTAGACGTGGGGATACTCGTTTGTCTTCCATTGATAGCCTTTCAGGGACGTCGCGAATTTGAGGGTGTCGCCTGGTTGTAGGGAGTGGAGGTAGCCGCTGGCTTTGCCGGAGGGGTATTTTTTCACCATTAACTCGACGTGCCCGGGTTCGTCTGCATTGGTTCTTAGTAGATGTTCTCGTAGTTACTCGCTTGCGTCACGGCTTTGGACACATAGCTAGAGCATCTCGACAGTACCGACTTACCCAAGTCACTAATCGGGGTATACGGTCGAACGGTAGGAAGCCATTGGCCCTCGGGATGGGTAATTGCCAACAGCGCAGCTATGGGATATCAGCACGCAATCCCAGTCAATACTAGCACCCCTCCAGAGACACCTACAGGTCAAAGGCAACCCGCTTCGCGCAGACGGATCAGGAAACTCGAAGACCAATCTCTTCGTATTATGATCAACAGCCTTGACGCTCTGTAAGCGCAGGGTGGTGAACCCGAATCCAGAAAACGCCGTCGTAGGCTCGCTCGATTCCCCGAATACCGTAGAGAATTGCTTCGCGGTGTAGATCCCTAGGCCTGCAAAGCCCGCCACGCCAGCGACTTTGATGGCTCTAGACACTGTGCACTGGATAAATGTCATCTTGTGATGTGGGATTCGTCGGTTCGAGGTTCAGGTGGGTATAAGTATAGAGAGTTGCGAGCGCCAGTATAGCGATGCTGAGCTCCCAACATCGCTACGCGCCCTGCCCTGGGGGGTGATGGGCTTTAATATTCAAAGACAGTGGACCCAAAGAGAACATCTCGCCCCCAATGAAGTGTCATACGACGAAGAGGCTGCTGGATGGATCGTTAGCCTCGAACTTCGGGGGGTTGCAGACTGCGACAACTACATCGACGACCGTTCCAAAGACCGAGCAGCGGTGTCTGTCCCAGTCTCCGAAACCCGACAAAACCCGAGGCTGTGGATGATGTCAGCAAGGGGTGGGTGCCTGGGTGCCTGAGTGCGTGGGTGACTGGCGGGTCGGTGCCTCGCTCTCCGCTAAGCGGGTCCCGCAGGGAATTCAAGGAACAGTGGTGGCCAGGAATCTTTAATGAGATGAGTGATCATTCTTGTAGGTTTTTAGGGACTAATCTCATGGATAGGAAATCAATACTAGAGAGACCTTCTTATTATTATTGCTAAGGTACTAGTACTTTACCCCATTGTGGGTGCATTTCACAACTTCATATACAACTATATATATCCTCAACCATGGGGTGGATGTATCATGATAGTAGTATACTTTCACTCAGGAACACAGTGGATACTACACATCGAAATCAAACTTAGTTATCAGGCACCAAAACAATTTATTCCTACAAAGACTATATGCATCTTTAGTGAAATCCGTTGTATTTCCCAGGTAAGTGTGAACTGCAACTGGACATCACCCCACTCATAAAGTCTACGCAGGACTTCAAAGGTCGTGAGTGAAAAGGGTACGGAGTATATGATCCGGTAAGACGGAGCAGCCCATCCATCAAGATAACTGATTCCTCGACTGCCTACCTGAGAGGATGATATTCTGCTAGAAGATACGCCGTATGAGATGTAGTCATTGGCGGCATTGGCCCTCAGCCCCCGCAGATCCTGACTCCCCGCAGCGGGACGCAGGGAGAGTTTGCTGGTGTGGGGAGCGGAATTTATCCAGGGCACAGTTGGGACTAGTATTGTTAGATAGGTCTTATGGATGGAGATGGAATAGACTGGAACTTCGACGTTGAGAAAGGTGAAAGATTCGGGTGATCGTTGATACGCACAAACAACACAAGCATTACGAGGACAGTATCCACGAGGATACCGCTTACAGGAAGAGCCATCAAATCAAGGCCTCAAGATCCCAGGGACCGTGACTACGAGGACGTCGCTTACGCATCGTGCCTTGCATGCCCTGCCACTGATCCGCATCACACCAGGACGTGCATCCGCGACGCACTTACCCGACGCAAAGAACATGGAGCCTAATGGGCTGTAGGGCAGTCATCCAGGGGATCGAATAGCGCCAGCCGTCCACGTGCAGCTCGGGAAAGCCACGGTATGTTTCCAGACGCACTCCGCCTCCGTGTCAATAGGCTGATCGGTTGTTACCGCCGTGTCGCGTCCTTTCATATCGCCAGCTATTGTGCTTGTCATCGTGATGTCCTCAGCCCTGAATCGGAAGGTTATTTCCAAGCACATGGCGACTTCGCTGACAATCACCACGCCCGTATCATGCAGATTGTGTTTTGCGATCGCATATTGCTGTAAATCGAATAGATAGACCCGTAAGATCCCACTTTTGAGGTGTAGGGGACGCCCAGGCGAAAGTACCCATGACCATCAGGAAATATCCAATCTTCTGGACCCCCAGAGCATTGTATTCAACCCCGATCGAAAGGCCTTCTTGGTATGGAGGACGTGGGAGGTGGTTCTGGGGATTTTGCAGTAGCGAGGAGCGACTGAGAAAATCATGCAGAAGCGCAGGGTCTCGACAAGGTTGGATATCCACTTGACCAGCCAGGCAGGCAACCTTTCGAGTTGATTGTTGCTGTTGGCAGGATCCCATCCACGGGTTGAGTGATGAGCGCGGAAGCGTGTCTGCGGGAAGGAGGCGCGTTTCAGGGTAGGGTTCTTGGGTTCTTCACATGTTGGCGGTTCGAGGGATCTATTCTCATCAGCTGCGACAATGCGTGGACCCAAGACAATACCTCGGGGGTGTTGCTGTGATGAGACTGGGGAGTTGGGGGGGGGGAGAGTGGAAGGGTCTGGATTGTTTGCTGGAGGAAGTAGCATGTGGTGGTGGACGGGCTTCGCGTGACCAGCCGGGTCCGGACCAACGGGTGGGAGGGAGTGCTCGCCAAGTCCGAGGGGGAGAATAATCAAGAATAATCATCCACCGAAGGGATAAGTAAGATACTGAGTGATGGTGAGTAAAGTAGTGATCAGTCCTTGTAGTGTGTGAGTATTGTGTAGTTAGTAAGAGGTGGTAGCAGTAGCAGTAGTGGTAGCAGTAGTGGTAGCAGTAGTGGGAGTGGGAGTGGGAGTGGTGGCTGGCAGTGGAAAAAAGCCCTCGGGTTGGGTCGCGGCGGGCGAGCCAAAGCCGCACCAACACTTTTTGGAGGCTGACTTTTCTAGCGTCATCACTAAAAATTATCCTCACGGATTAACTTACTTTCCCCCTCGCCCTTCACTGCGGAGCTCTCCTGCATCCCACACCCCCCCCCCCAATCCCCCATCCCTCAACGCCCTCTGGACGTCATCTACCTGGATCTTATCCCTCTCCAGTCCGGTTCCCCTTCCCCAGATTTTTAAAGTGATCCTGTATTCTGAGACGCGCATAGGAACTCCCCTCGGCGCGTTCCCCCATCGTGAACCAACCGCAATCATGGGTGCGTCCACAACCCCTCCTCTGCCTGCGCACTGTCCTAACCACCCCCATTCCCCCCTCGTGAACCGCCTCCCAGTACTGATGACTTCCTTCGCTCCGCAGCGCCCGCAAAGCAGAAAGCCCAGAAGATGTCCCTCGGGAACTTCTTGGCTGACGAGAGTGCGTTCCCGTCGACCCCCTCCTCGTCGCGGGGATGGCTGCTAATCAGGACAAACAGACTTCGGCTCCTGGGCTGATGAGATGGAGGACATGCCTATGCCTGGTAAGTGATCCCCCCCACCCCTCCCGGAGAATTCATTGTGGCCGCTGGGTTAACGCAACTCTAGCCGGTAGGTGATTCCCGGTACCTGCCCACCACCGCATGAGATAAACTAACCGTGCGCCAGCCCCCTCTCAGATGAGCTTTGGAGGCGAGCGCCGCTCCGCTGCTCCCTCTTCTGGCTTCGGCGGTGGTAGCAGCTACGGTACGGACCCCACCCCCTCCCCGATGTGTAGTAGATGCTAGATGGATGCACTAGAATATATGTGTATGATGCTAACGGGACAAAAGAGCGTGGTGGCTACGCCGTGAGAGAACCTCTGCCTCTTCCCACCGAGCCCCCCTACACTGCCCACGTTGGCAACCTGTCCTTCGAGGCGACCGACGCCGATATCTCCGAACTCTTTGTCGACTGCAGCGTGACCAACGTCCGGGTTGTGGAGGACAAGTTGACCAAGGCCCCCAAGGGTTTCGGATACGTGGAATTCGAGACGGTCGATGGCCTGAAGAAGGCGCTTGATCTCTCTGGCGCGACCCTTCAGGGAAGATCCATCCGCGTCAGCATCGCCGAACCCCGTAGGTGTCTTCGCCCTGGTATGATGGACATGGCTCACTAACGCTCCCTACAGCCAAGGAACGTGATGTCAAGGAATTTGACTGGACCCGCCGTGGCCCCCTCCCGGATGCTCCTCAGCGCCGCGTTCCCGACCGCTCCTCTTTCGGACGCAACCTCGACAACATGTCCGATGCCGGCAGCGAGCGTGGCGGTAGCCGTCGCAACTTCGAGAGCGATGGAAAGTTCCGTGATTTCGGCAACTGGGAACGCAAGGGTCCTCTGTCCCCGCCCCCCGCCCCCGTGAGAGAAGGTGGTCGCCCCCGCAGCAACGAAGCGCCTGGTTTCCGACGCAGCTCGCCCGGCTGGGGTGAGGGACAGGGACGTGAGGGACGCGAGGGACGCGATGGACGCTCCCAGGACGGCTCCCGCCCCCCCCGCCGCGAATTCCAAGAACGTGCCCCCACCGCCGCCGAGCTTGACAACGCCTGGAGATCGAAGATGCGTCCCGACCAGGCTCCCAAGGAGCCCAGCAACCCTACGTCGCCCACCGCCGCCGCTGCCGCTCCCGCCACCCGTCCCCGGTTGAACCTGCAAAAGCGCACCGTCGCCGAGGGCGTTGCTAGCCCGACCGGCGCTGGCGAGTCCAAGGCCAGCATCTTCGGTGGTGCCAAGCCCATTGATACTGCCGCTCGTGAGAAGGAAGTTGAGGAACGCCGTCAGATTGCGATTCGCGAGAAGAAGGAGGCGGATGAGAAGGCTCGTGCCGAGAAGGCCGAGAAGGCCGAGAAGCAGCGCACCAAGGACCAGGCCAAGACCGAGAAGTCCGCCACGCCGGCGGATGCCAACGGCAAGGACACCCCCGAAACCGCTCAGGGCGCCAAGAACTTCGAGATCCTCCGGCGGGCCGACGAGGACGAGAGCGCTGCTGCTGGCGAGGAGAAGACGGAGGAGGCTCCTGCCGCTGCGAAGGCCGAGGCCCCCGCCGAGGCTGCGCCCAGCAAGGCCAACGGCAACTGGCGGAGCGCGCCCAGCGAGGCTGCCCCGGCCGGCGGCGACGACGAGGGCTGGAGCACGGTGAGCTCGAAACCGCGCAACAGCCGCCGTGGCGGCCGCTCGTTCGCATAGATTCATCGATACCCCAAAGCTAGTCATCGCTAGACCGATCCGTCGCGCCATCTCGCGAGGGTTGTACGCTCGTGGCATGGCCGGGGGCATTTTGGTTAGGGCGATGTCCGCTTGTTTTGATGCCTCCATCGTTGTTACGTCTTTCCCTTTCTCCTCCTTTCTACCCTTGTGGGTTTCCTCGTGCCCCCTCCCCCCCCCTTCCGTCGCTCTGTCTAGATCTACGATTCAGGTCTAGTGCCTTGTTTTACCCGTCGAGCATGTCGAAAAGTTTCTCTTTTCCGATTTCCTTGTGTCCTTCACGTTTCCCCCCAAGCTAGTTATTCCCATGTATGTGGACGAAGTGTTATACAGCAATGACGATTACGGCTGATGAGACGGAAGAAGAGTACACGTTTTTCTTTCCCTGCTGGTTCCCTTCCAGATCGGCCCTGGCCCCCCCCCCTCCCGGTTGCTGTCCGACCCGACCCCCTCTCATAATCTGTGTGGCTTCTGGATCTGGGGATGGCGTGTGGAGTCTGCCTGTCTTGTTCTTCGTTGTTTGCCCATCTAACGGCGCCATGTCCTTCTAGTTGACGAGACAGCCATACGAATAGGATTACGATTCAACTGCATGTTTTGTGCTCATTTCTGTGGGGGGGATATGCTCCACTTTTTTCAAAACGCTTCTAATACTTGTATTTCTGATGTGTTCTCCCTCCGTGATCCCGCGGGGTGTAATTTGCAGGCGATGAGACGATGGCTCCGCCCTAATCGAACGAATCGTTCATGCACTCTCAGCCAGGCGTCGCCAGCTGTAGCACGAGGCGCCCTGCCCTTCCAATGGAGCCCAGGCCGGGGCTGCAGATGGCAGTAAGCAGGCGCGAAAATACGAAAGACCGCCGGGGATTGATTGCCTGAAGGGGGAGTGATAGCCCGGCCGCATTGTCTCCCGTTCCCCACAGCCGATCAGCCGCCGTCAGCTCAGCTCAGCCCACCTTCCTTTTCCTATACACGAGTAGGCAGCTAGATAGATAATTAGTGAGTTAGCTACGACTCGGTAGCTTTAGTTATCTTTCTTGCTATTACTCACCTTCCCCCCCGGTATCTCGCTATCGCTTAGCTCTATCGTCCCGACTTCCGAGCGCGACATGGGTGTCCTGACTATCCCATCCCATCTCATCCCATCCTATCTATCGCCTCGGCCGTCGGGGTCCCTGCCCTGCCCTGCCCTGCCCTGCCCTGCCCTGCTCTTCCCCTCCTCCTCCCCCTCCCACCCACATAGAACCCCTTTCTTAAATACAAACTTTGGCCCGTTCCCCCAGCATCTTTACTCTCTTTTCACTTGTTAATCCCTCGATCCCGTCACAGACCACCCGACCAGGTCAAGGTCAAGGTCACTCACTCACTCACTCACTCACCATGTCCTCCGAATCCCTCCCATCCGCCGGTCCCGCGCCCTGGAAGCTGGTCTTCCGGTCCTCCAAAGCCTTTGTGATCTCCGTGGTGGCCATTGCGGTGTTTACGGTACGTGCACCCTCTTCCGTCCTTCCTTTCTTTGCTGCTGATGCTAACTGGTGCGTGCGCGAAGGATGTGTTTATCTATGGCATGGTGCGGCCCGTCCCTTGAATAATCATCCAATCCCTCCTTCCTTTCCATCCCTATCTATCTACCCCGTCTGCATGATCGGCGTGAACCAACCAACCCCTGGCGGTCTAGATCGTGCCTATCCTTCCTATAGTCCTCAAGTCCCGGATAATTGTTCCTGATGATGAGCGTATGTGATCTTTTGACCACACCGTTCACAAGGAGATACTAACCACAACCACCCTGCATACAGTACAACAATGGATGTCCATCATGCTCGCCGCGTTCGCGGGTGCACTGTTCTTCGGATCCCGTGAGTCACTCATTCACACTGTCCATGTCCACAGCAAGAACGCGGCACTAACCGACATGTTACAGCAATCTTCGGATACTTCGCAGACAAGAGTACATCGCGCCAGCTACCATTCCTGGTGGGACTGCTCGCGCTGGCTGGGACAACAATCGTGTTCTGGTTCGCGGAGACGGTGTCGGCGCTGGTGATCGCGCGCACCCTGCAGGGCCTGTCTGCGGCGGTGGTCTGGACGGTGGGTCTGGCGTTGGTGGTGGACACGGTGGGCAAGGAGCAGGTCGGGGCGGCGATGGGGTATGTGTCCATGGCGTTGACCGTCGGGACGGTGTTTGGGCCGTTTATCGGGGGGATTATGTGAGTGATGCCATGCCTTGTGGAGGAGAGCAAGTGGGTGGGTGGGTGGTTGCTAATGGGACTGGGGATTGGGGTTAGGCTGTCGCGCGTGTCGTATCACTCGGTGTTTGTTCTTGCGATTGGGTTGATTGTGCTGGACATCAGTCTTCGGCTGGTGATGATCGAGCGGAAGACGGCGGCCCAGTGGATCGAGGAACCAGCCCACGCGACGGATGGGGAGACGCAAGGGCTGTTGAGTGGCAGTGGGACTGGGTATCAGGCTATCGCGGGCCAGGATGGCATGGCTGAGACTGTCGGGGCAGATGAGGCCGGTGGCGAAGCCCTGTCGAGTGGGAAGAAGACATCCGTGCCCGGCATCGTTCGCCTGATATGCTCTGGTCGGCTGCTGGTCGTGCTCATCGCGACGGTGGCCGATGCCATTATGTATTCCGCTTTTGACACGGTACGTCCAGCCCCTAGGTACCTACCACCATCCGTGGGATAATACTGACACCCAGCCCAGGTCCTTCCGCTGTACGTGATGAAGACCTTCGACTGGGGCCCGCTCGAGATCGGCCTGTGTTTCCTACCCCTATTCGCGCCCTCGTTCCTCTCTCCGTGGGTTGGTACGTATAACTTCAAAACATTCCATTCCATTCCGACAGCCACCATCCAACCAACCAACCTCGCTAACCCCACCCCGTCAATCACAGGCGACGCCGTAGACCGCTGGGGCGCGCGACGGGTCGCCTTCCTCGGCTTCCTGATCGACTTCCCCACGCTGCTGCTCTTCCGGTTCGTGTCGGACAACACGACGCAGGACCAGGTGCTGCTGTACGGCTTCCTGTTCTGCGCGGGCGTGGCGTCGACCCTGCAGCTGGTGTCGCTGATGGTCGAGGTCAGCAACGTGACGGAGCAGTACGAGCGCGAGTTCCCCGGCATCTTCGGCCGGCAGGGCGGCACCGCGCAGGCCTACGGGCTGTTCAACGTCGCCTGGTCTGGGGGCCAGGTGCTGGGGCCGCTGCTGGCTGGGTTATTGGTCGAACGGGCTGGATGGACGACCATGGTTACCACGCTGGGGGTGATGAGTGGGTGTATTGCTGTAATGGTGGCTGTGTCGGATCAGAGGAAGGGGAAGGGGAAGAAGTAGTTTGAAAAGTTGATGTTGACTGTTCTGTTGACTGTTACATGTTGATATGTTACGAATGATGATGACGAGTATGTGGATGTGGATGTGGATGTGGATGTGGATGCCGAAAAGCAAGCCAGGTAGGTAGTTACTAGGTAGTTAGGTAGGGGAGAGGAGAGGAGGGAAAAAGCGGGATTGCAATTACTCTTCGGGATGGACGCCTGTATGTCAGGATAAGTAGTATGTATGTACCTATGGTTGGCGGTAGTCTGCAAGGGAGGAGAGGAAGCGAGGAAGCGAGGCATGCTGCAATACATCTTCTCATTGTTATTTTATTAACAATAATATCATTAATATTAATAATATTAAGTGCAGAGTATAAATAAATATATATCTGTACGTAGAGAAGGAAATAATAGGATTATCACCACTGCATGCTGCATGCATGGTACTTTGTGCCACGCAGGGTTGACGGGTGGTGGTCAGCAAGGGATGGAGGGAGGACGGGATTGCTGGATCGAAGCTGGGTTGTTTAGGGTTTATGGGGAGTGAAGACAGGTGTTACCCGGACGATATGCACCTGATGCAGTCTGTCCGACGTGTTCGGAAGTGTATATAGACTGGAAATCGACGGGTATAGGTATCTATCTGGTGTAAGTGTGTAATCCCTGCTGAAGAGACATAGTTACTAGGTATTTAGACTAATAGCGACTAGCCAGCGGGTCTCAACGGTCCCGGTCCACACGTGTCGGGGTCGGGATGGTGTCTGTCTGATTGATCTGCTCTGACCGGACCTGGTGGATTCCCAGAGGATAGATATTATTATGACTTAGCTATGATAGTTATACGGAGTAGAGGAGTAGAGGAGTAGATGATAAAGACTCAAGACTCAGTTGCAGCAGTCTGATACATGTAAGTAGTATCGGTGTAGTATAAATGGAAGTGTAACGGTAACGGGGACTCCCCCACCGCTTCCCGCCGCAGGGACGGCTGCGTACCGTACCGTAATCCACCCCCAAATCTCCTGCTCTGCTTACTCTCTCTCTCTGAATGTTCTTCTCTTTCCTCTCCTCTTCTCTCTCTCTCTCTCTCTCTCTCTCTCTCTCTCTCCCTCTCTCTGTCTGTCTTCCCAGACATGAACCAAGAATCAATCTCATGATCGCTCTTTGCCGTCTCCTGATTTACTTACCCTCCTCACCCGTGGTTCTGCGACACCTCCGCCCGCCCTTCATTTCCCGCAACCCAGTTTCACCTTGACCTGCCCTCCGCATTGTTGACGTTGCCCTGATCCCCCTCCCTCTTTATCCCCTCCATCCTTATACCCTCATGCGCCGCGAACCATGTCGACCACCACCACCACCACCGCTGCTCTAACATCCACCACCTTGATCGGCACCCTCCCCACCATGGCCAGCGCCAGCCCTGCCCCTCTGGTCTCCGGCAAGAGCTGCCCGACCTGCGGCCAGGACGAATATCTGGCGTCTGCCGACCGCGTCAAAGACCTGCAAGGCCAGGTGGACTTGTTGAACGCTCAGGCTACACAAACGGGTAAGCCCGACTCCCAAGCGCCGCGGTGTGACCGGCCGTCTTGGCTCCCACCAACAACCACACCATCAGCAGTAAACAACAAGACTAACATATCATGTCTCTCTACGCAGCGGAGAAACTAGCCGCCTACGAGACCGAACTCCGACACCTGCGCGCGCAATCCGTGCGAACCGGCTCCTCATCCACATCTGTCTCCTCGACCTCGACTGCCCCTCCGACCGATCCGCCTCGCCCGTCCAGCTTCAGACCCAGACATCCCCGAAATCGCAACCGGGGCGCCTCTCCACCCTCACCTCGCTCCTCCCGTCCCGGCGACCCAGCGCGACCTCCGTCCCCGCCGTCGTCTCCCCGCCGCCGCAGCCGCCGCAGCCCCCGCAGACCAGCCACGAGGAAGCAGTCGAGCTGCAGAATGCGTTGACGCGGGAACAGGACCTGCGCAAGGCCGCGGAGAGCCAGTTGTCGCAGGCGAGCACGGAGTTGGAGGAATTGACCGCGCAGCTGTTCAGCCAGGCGAACGAGATGGTCGCGCAGGAGCGCAAGGCGCGGGCGAGGCTGGAGGAGCGGGTCGCCGTGCTGGAGCGGAGGGATGTCGAGAAGCGCTCGAGGCTGGATCGGTTGGAGAAGGCCATGGAGAGGGTGGAGCGCATTCGCGCGATGGTTGGGTAGGTTGTTTTGTTCGCATCCAGTACAGGAAGTCCGGACAGCACGCACGCACAGTACAGGACGCATGTTTGATTTGGTTCGGTTTATACCCATACCCTGGTGTTCGGCGAATGATTTCATTGGCATGAGAGATGATGGCCCATTTGCTCATGAGGGATGACTAGCAACTCGCATTATCACGGCGTTATGTTCTGCGGTATATACATTTGACACGCGATGGATTTGTTTGCTTGTTGGCTTTATTGTTAGCGATGATCTATCAGCCAGATCATAACCCACCAATGCAGTGCAAATAATGCAATCAATCAATCAATCAACCAACCAACCAACCAACCCTGGATATGTATCCACTCCACCCCGCCACTCCAATCGGGGCTAGTCAGGATAATAATGGATCCACTCGTCCCGAGGCGAGTGCGAGTGCGGGTGACATCGTGATTGCGATCTCTCTCATCTTAGACACCTATCTATCTCGCCTCAAGTCTCAATTCATTCGTCAGTATATACATATAGCCAGCCATGTCCATCGGCATCGCAATCATCGGCAGCGGTACTCCAGCCCAGCCCCAATCCCACCCACCACATAAGCAAGCCCTAGAATCAGAATCAAAACCATCCAACTACTAACCACCCATCTTCCAAACCAGGAATCTTCGCGCGCGAAGAACACCTGGTACTCCTCCCCTCCCAACAGCCAAATCCAACCAAACCATATCGAATCGAATCAAATCAGGTTACTAATAACCCATCCAAACCTACCCACCAACCAGCCCATCCTGCTCTCCCAACCCAACCCCAACCCCACCACCGAATCCACCCAGGAGAATGCTTCAGAAAGAGAAGGAGAAGGAGGGAAGCAGGGAAAAACCCACCCCTTCATCCTCAAAGCCCTGTACTCGCGCACGCTGCACTCCGCACAGAGCCTTCTGGCCTCCGTTCCAGCCGCGGATCCAGACACTACGAAACGGATCGAGGAGATAGATGTATACGCCGATGATGCGGGGGTGGGGAGAAAGTATGAGGATTTATGTGCCAGGGAGGATGTGAGGGCTTTTGTTGTCGCGTGAGTTTTTTTTTCATTTCGTCTTTCTTTCTTTCTTTCTTTCTTTTTTTTTCTTTTCTATCGATTTATGCATTTATCCATCTACCGTCTCTGTTCCAGTCACCAGCTCAGCTCAGTTACTTACCTTCCATACCCACTCATCCATCTGTCTGTCTGTCTGTCTGTCTGTCTGTCTATCCAAACCAAACCAAACCATTACTCCCCCCTTTTCCAAAAACCCTGCCTATAACCATACAACCAACCAACCAACTAACAAAAAAATAAATAAAAATAAAAAAAGCCTCCCCATCCCCATCCAACCACCCTACATCCTCCAGGCCCTACGCGCCGGAAAACACGTCCTCAGCGAGAAGCCCATCGCGGGCGACCTGGCGACGGCTCAGGAGATGGTGCGGGTGTATAAGGAGGAGATTCTCCCTCGGGGCAGAGATGGACAGGCGATTGAATGTGCCGCTAATGGGCAGAGGGAGGTTGCTAATGGTGAGACCACTAATGGAAATACTAATCAGGATGAGGACAAGAAGGAGCGAAAAGAGAAGAATAAGAAGGAGAAGAAGAACAAGAAGAACAAGGTGACACCGCTCTGGGGCGTCGCGGAGAACTACCGCTTCCTACCAAAATACCTGCTCGTGGCCGAGGAGGTCCGGAAACTCGGACCGGTTAAGGGATTGAGGGTTTGCGTGAGGAGTTTGGTGGGGGTGGGGTCGAAGTATCATCGTATGTTCTATTTTATTTTTTTTTTCTTTCTTTCTTTTTTTTTTTTTTTTTTGGCTTTCTCTGGGGCTGGCTGGCTGGCTGGCTGGCTGGCTTAAGTGGTATAATAGTATAGTATATGGGGGCAGGTGGAGAGTTAGGGTTGTATCTGGAGAAGACCAACTAACAAACCCACTCAGAAACCCCCTGGCGCCGCCACCCCAGCCACGAAGGCGGCTTCGTGCTCGACGGCGGGGTGCACATCATCGCGGCGCTGCGTCTCATCCTCGGCCCCGAGAACCCCCTGACCACCGTCTCCGCCATGTCCAGCCTGCACCAACCGCACCTCCACCCCGTCGACACGGTGGACGCCCTCGTGCGGACGAGATCCGGCGCCGTGGGGTGTATTTCCCTCTCGTATGGCGCTGCGCCAGGGACGAATGGGACGGTGTTTGAGTTTGTGTGTGAGGGCGGGGTGGTGCGGATGGATGGCGATGTGGTGAGGGTGAATGGGGGGAGGGGGTCGAGGTGCCGTTTACGGGGAGGGGGTGGATGGGGAGTTGGCGGGGTTTGGGGAGGGAATACTGAGGGGGGATGGAGAGGAGGAGGAGGAGGAGCTGGATGGCAGGTTGAGGGTGGAGGAGGCGTTGGCGGATTTGGAGGTCATGGTGGGGATGTTTGCGAGTGAGAGGGAGAAGGGGGTGGTGGGGTTGGGGTTGCAGGTGGTTTAGATTAGGGTGTACTATACTGCAAGTAGAGTTGGAATATTGGTTGGGATAGATTCGAGTGTTCATGCTCGTTTGTTTTGGTGAGATACATTATCACTATGCTGGATCTGGACAGAGGCTGCTTTTCTCGAAGTGGTGGCGATGCGGATATCAAGTGTCGTTAGTATCAGTAGATGTAAAATGAGACATTGATGAAGTAGATACCACAGATACCACAAGGCCCGGGAGGATCAACTACTATCAAGCAAAAGCTTCACGACCGCATCATGGCGATTCCTTACCGCAACCGACAACGCTGTCTGGCCATCGCCATCCCGAACATCCCTCTCAACATCCCTCAGCAACAACGGCTTCACAACCTCCTCATGCCCATTCTCAGCCCCCCCAAGAAAGCGGCGTTCGACCATCCCCATCCCGACAGTCAGGATCAAGTCCTCTCCGCATCAAAAACTCCACCACGCCTTCATGCCCCCCCTTCGCGGCCCAGGATAACGGCGACTGTCCCGTGGAATCGTGGACATTGCATGGAACCCCCTTCGTCAAAATGAGTTTAAGCGTACTCTCCAACCCAAAGTACGCGGCTAGGTGAACGCCCGTCACCTGTATTGGGCCCTGATGGCTCCACCCATCAAACTGCCATGAAGGTGCCGTGAGAGCCTGCGCGGAGGCAGAGACTTTTTCTTGATCCCGCAAAAAGGCCCGGATCCATTTCTGCTCAACGGGTTGGATGCGGACATGGTAGCCCCATTGTCGAGAGGCATAGACGTAAAGCGGATACTCACGCAAACGATGTTCAAAGTCCCCATCCGTCGAACACGGTCCCGTTCGAAACACCTCGTAGGACAGATACGTAAGACACGTTCGCGCGATCTTATAGTGTGCCCGCGGAAACCACTTCGTCTGGGTGCGCTCGAGATACTCCTGTGCGGAATAATGAATCAAGCGGATCGCGGTATGGCTTTCTCTGTCCAGTGTCACCAGGCCAAAGCAGAAAGAGCCCATATCGTGGATATCGGGGATTTTTTCCGTGTCTAGTGCAGGCTGGCCCATCTCCACTGCTAGAGCGTGTTGGAGCTCGACCGTCGTCAGTGGTCTCCGGGCGCAGGTGAGCCAAGCGAGGACATGGTGTGCGATCCTTTTCTCGCATGCGGGCTTTTTGTCGATTTGCTGCATGAGACCCTCGTATGCGATGTCATAGGCGTCAGGCCCTGTGGGTAAACACGGTAATGTCTTCCTGATAGCTCGGGGTGTCCAGGAGGCGACCACTAGGCTGAAATGGAGAGAGGCGAGGAGGAATCTGTTTGTCGAGGTGAGTAATGAGTATTGCCGACGGATTCGAAGATGGAGGGAGTAAGTTTTTTACCTTCCACAAGCCGATTGGGTGATCGCCTCGATAATCTCTTCCCGTAGTTCGGGATCGCGCGATATATAGGCTGGGAATTGACAAAAGCGACTGTTGATATACGCCCGCACGTCCTCGGCGGTAGCAGAAATCTCTTGCTGCAAGCAGTCGTGAAGTGCTGATTGAATGTCCAGGTTGTGTCGCGAGGTGGCGAAAAGACTGACGTTGTGTTTTGTTTGTAGCTGGAACAGCTCAGGTAGCAGTCTTTTCAATGATCCGTCGGAGATTTCATCAAGGGCATCGACCAGGATGAAAACCCGGGAAAAGCGGCCGGCGAGGGAATGTAAGATCGTGCAAAGCTCGTCGAGAGTTGGTCGCGTATCGCTTTGTCGGTGACGTGCGTAGAGAGATTCGATTGTCTCGGGGATGACTGCGATTCTTTCGACCAGCTGCTTGATCAGACTGGAAAGCACATCTTCCGCTTCTTGCTCGTACTGGCGTCGAAGGTTGCCGTAAATGTAAGCGATTCCCACGTTACGGTCATCGTGGAATGTCTTCTCCAGATGATCGATGACGAAAGATGTAAGTACTGTTTTCCCGGATCCAGAGACACCGGTGCACAGCAGCTTCTGCCTGTCATTTCCCATCCACTGCCGAAAGGTTGTTGAATTGAGTAACCATTCCCCTGTCCCTTCATGTCGATGGGAGAAAAAGTCACTCTGTTGTGGTTGATAACTGATCGGAGCCAGCCAGTCAACAATCTCTTGTGCTTTCCCTTCAAAGACCGTATGGGATTCGACGACCTTTTCTTCGACGAAATTGACATGGCTATTTCCATCAGCACCGTCTTCGCGAGATCGCAAAAGCGTACCTACCTTTCCAGACTGTCGGCAAATCGACCAAAAACATCAACCTTCCCACGGATACTCTGTTCAATCTCATCGAGATCGGCTGGATTCCACTTGATCCTCTTCCACGCTCGCCGACGCTCTCCATCTGCGTCCCTATTGCGACAATCCAGTTCCTGGTACCGGTCGAGTTTGACCTGCAGCTCTTTCACGACCTTACGGAGATCATCGGACAATTCATCCAGATGTCGCTGCTGCTCCTCGTCGAGGGCCGCCTCGAGGTACGTGTCCTCGATGTCACGGAGCACATTGGACAGGGACTTGGAACTATGGCTGGTTAGACTGGTAGACTGGAGTTGAAGGTATAGTACGCACGCATCGGAGATGGATTTGAATTGCGGGGGTGCGCTCACGAATCGTTGTCTTAGTCTGTGGACGAGTTTTACTGTTTTGAGAAAATCTCCTGCGCGTTCAAAGCTCAGCATGTTGGGTTGGGGGTGCACCCTGGGGTGAGGTGGATAGCGTTGTATGGGGAATGGATGCAGATGGTAAGTATATAGTAGTTCGGGAGGGGAGGGTTTGCCATGATGGCGAGAGTTGGGGTTTAAGTGGATGAGTATTTAAGTTGATCGAGGGAAACTAGTTTGCTTAATTAATTAACCAATTTGAGAGGTCGATTACGATGCATGATCATGGGGAGAGGAAGCAGGCTGCAACAAGGTAGAGTAGTTATAAGTAGGTCGATGTCTGCCTGGATGCCTGTTGCTGCTGCGGAGTAAGCCCCAGGCCGCACTAGTCCCGTTCGGGCAAGGCGGTCCCGGAGATGCTGAATCTTAGTCATGCGAGGGCTTGCCGGGCGAGCCCTAACGCACCCAGAGCGGCTAGGGTCGCTAAGCGAGGCACTAGCCCGACCTCTCGGGCGGCCAAACCTGAGCGCGAATTTTCGAGACGATTTCGACCCGTACGACAACTCCCAGCGCCAGCCCGCGAGACGACGACAAGGTATGTGATACTGCTGCGTGCTGCCTCTCTCTGTTGCATGCTAATCCCGTCCAGATGGTCCTCGCAAAGAAGCACGTCCCCATCGTCAAGAAGCGTATGTCATTTCCTCTCCTGTTGTCCTGCCCAGTCCAGTCCAGTCCAGTCCTCCAGTCCGCCCTGTCCAGCCAGCCAGCCAGTCAGTCAGTCAGTCGATCCGTCGGTTTCAGTCCAGCAATGAACAAGAGCAAGAAGCCATGCAAAGTGTGAGCGTATACGAGTCGGAAGCAGAGTTTTATTTTATCCTTACCGGTCGAAGCGAGTGAATCATCGGAGACGAGCAACACGAGCGACACGCAGAAAAAATGTGAAGAAAAAGAATAAAAATGAGACGACAGTCGAGACGGATTTTCCACAGATTGCAACAAGTGCAACGAATGAGTTTTTCTTCATGCTGGACCACATCGATCGATCGATCAAGCTGAGCCTGGATGGACTGACTGGCTGAACTGGACTGCTGCCAGACAAGACAGACAGAAGCACACGCACACGCACACAAGCATAAGCACAGCGACTAACATTCCCCAGGCACCAAGAAGTTCTGGCGCCACCAGTCAGACCGCTTCAAGTGCGTGCCGGAGTCATGGCGCAAGCCCAAGGGTATCGACAACCGCGTCCGTAGACGCTTCAAGGGCAACATCCCCATGCCCTCGGTACGTGCGATTGGATCCGCGCTCCGACTACACACCGCTAATAATCTCGGTAGATCGGCTATGGTTCCAACAAGAAGACCAAGCACATGATGCCCTCCGGCCACAAGGCCTTCCTTGTCCACAACCCCAAGGACGTTGAGCTCCTTCTCATGCACAACCGCACCTACGCTGCTGAGTATGTTCCATCCCAACCATCCCAACCATCACCCACCCATCGAATCCCCAATTAATCATAATAATCAACAGGATCGCCGCCGCCGTCTCCTCCCGCAAGCGCGTCGACATCATCGCCAAGGCCAAGGCCCTCGGCGTCAAGGTCACCAACCCCAAGGGCCGTGTCACCACCGAGGCTTAAATGGATATGGAATGAATGTAAAGAAACCACAAATTTCATTTTCTATTTAAAAAACTCAAAAAACTCTTCCACAACCAAAACCTCGAAAAAACCAAAGTACCTCTACCTCTCTTATACCCTGAAGACCAAGAACCCGGGATCAAAATGAAAATTTAGGGATAATGATAACTTCCTTATTTTTTTCTTTCTTGCCTTCCTTCCTTGCTTTGCGTTTATCTGAGGGGGAGGGGGTTGTGTGTGAGCGCGCGCGGGGGGGATTATCTTGCGGAGTCTTTGATTGATTGATTGATTGATTGAATGGATCGTATCTCTTTGTGGGGCTTGACGAAGTATGTGCTGGGCTGTGTCGTGTGATGTCACTCACGGTGTGATGTCGGCGATTGCGGTCCGGGCTGGTGCTGCCAGTCTGGGAATAAAATTCAATTCTAGGAGTCGATCTCGTCCCCTTGGTTTGTTGTAGATGGATGGATTATCGTATACGTATACCCTGGTTCTGGAGTGGTCTTGCTGTTGGTTGTCGACGTACTTGATTTAATCTGGATCTACCTGTCCGTTCTCGAGTTACATCATACGAGAACTACTAGTTAGTAGTTGGTGCGTTTCGCTTTAAAATGGACTCGAACAAACAACTCATGTCTATGGTATAAAGCAACATCTATATATCTAACTATGGCATGTCTTGAGGTCATCATCAACTTCATCACGTCTACTCCGACCAGCACGGCAACTAAACACCCTCCACCGCTGCCGCAGCCTCAGCATCCGCCTTCCTGCCGGACGAGATATCAACTAGTCCGACGCCCTGCACCAGGGCCGGGATATTCTGCTCCTCGCCATCCTCCAGGTCCGGCACGGTGCCATAGCCAATGATATTCTCCTCGGCCTCCGGCACGGGCACCCAATCGGGCATCTCGCGCGGCCCGTCAATGCCCCTGGGCGGGATGGCCCAGGTGGGCATCTGACTGCGGTACTTCCAGCCATCCTCCTTGTCGGAATACGCGGCGGCGTGGAGGAAGATGCCCAGGTCCTCGGGGCGGGGGTCGGTGTAGAGTTCGGTGTCGCAGACGTCGCATCTCTCGCCGGACAGCATCTCGCCCTTGCGCTTGTGGTACCGGTCCACGGCGGCTTCGTGCTCGCGCGACATGATCTGCTCCACGACGGAGTTGTCCGTGCCGGGCGGCACCAGCGGCGCCGCGGTGAGGTGCGTCCGGTAGCTGATGGTGTCGGGGACTTCGGTCTTCCCTATATTCGACAACCGGTCGATGAGCTCCTTGTCGCGCTCCTCACTGGTGTCGTTCTTGCCGAGTTCCGGCCCGAAGACGTTCCGGTTGGAGTAGATGGGGTCGTTGGAGATCGGATGGCCGAGGAACTGCAGATGCACGCGGATTTGATGCGTGCGGCCGGTCAAGGGCAGACAGTGGATGATGCTGTATCCCTCGTCCTCGTTGGAGTAGATCGGGGGTGGGGTCGCGACGCGGTCGCCCTCAGGGACGTCGGTCTGGGTCTCGGGCTCGGGCGAGTGCGGAGGGACGTACGCGAGCCTGCGGAACTTCGTCTTGGCCTCTTTGCCGGTGGCGCGGACGCGGTTCAGGCCGACCTTGGGACTGACGGACATGATGGGCTGGTCGCAGACGATGACACCGTCGGGGAACCGGCCCTTGACGCGCGCGACGTACTCTTTCTGGAGGGTGCGGGCCTTGAGCTTCTCGCACATCATCTCGGCGGCCTTGGGGTGTTTGCCCAGGAACATGACGCCGGAGGTCAGACGGTCCAGCCGGTTGCAAGGCCGCGGGACCCATTCCTGGCCGCGCTTCGAGCGCATGATCTCCAGCACCGAGTTGTAGTAGTATCGGCCGGCGGAGTGGACGGGCACGCCGGCGGGCTTGTCGATCACGATCAGGTCGTCGTCTTCGTGGATGATCCCGATATCCTTTCCGGTGACGGGGGGTTCGTGGCGATGCAGCGTGTGCGAGATGATCTCCCCGTTCTTCACGATGGTGTTGGGGCTGCCGGGTTTGCCATTGACGGTGATGTGGCCGCTGGCGAGGGCGTTTCGCTGTGGATGGCCGAACTGCGTTAGCGATTATGCTTGATGGCGTGGTACTTGAGGTGAGGGATGGAAAGAAGAGGGGGGAAGGGGAGGGGATTGCGCACGTAGTATTCAGCCGGGCGATCGCGAAACTCGGACAGGAAGATGTCGACCAGCTCTCGACCGCGCCAACGCTCCTTGCAATAGGTGTTGTAGGTGAAGTGGTAGGGCTTGACGCGGCGCAAGCCTCCCTCGAAGTAGTACGGGGCCGGCCACGGATTGCACGGGGTGACGGCGACTTTGGGGGGTTCGGGCATCGGGGGGTCTGGTGGCGGGACTTGCAGGGTGGTGTCGACGGGGGTGAGAGCCATGCTGGGCGAGAGGATGCGACCGCGTCGCAGCAGGTACGCAGTGATGCGAGGTGAGGGAGCCAGTGGGTAGTGGGTAGTTGGGGGGGGGAGTGGAAAGAGAAGAGGGAGAAGAGAGAGAAGAGGGAGAAGAGGGAGAAGAGAGAGAAGAGAGAGAAGAGGGTTCGTGGCGGCGAACGAGAAAATTTGGTGTTGCGGGGAAGGCGACGGAGGAAGGGGCTGATCTCCGGAGTTCAACGATAGTGAGTAGTACTTAAGTAGTCCTTCTGCTCCTCCCTCTCTCCCTCTCTTCTACATCTCCCCCAGGAATATACCACTGCTTATCAAGTCAATCCACAAAATTCTTTTTGGGTTCATGAGATCGATGGTTTCCTTCTTCCAATGCCCGAAGAGCTAGCCATGGAACGCACTCGCCAGAAATATTTTGGGGGTCTTTGAGATGTCTGTTCATGAGATCGGTAAACTCCTTCTTCCGATGCTCGAAAAGCTATCGAATTAAGACGGATTGTTTGAATAGCTGGTGAATTTATCAAAAGAAAATAGTACGTGATGACCTTCTAGCCAGGTAAGTCCCTATTTCCATCGATAGAAGCAGCTCGACTCTATGGCAACAACGAAAAATCATGATCATGCTTCCCCCTCAAATAATCATACCCCCTCCTCCACCCACTCCACCCACGGCACCAAGCGCCCCCAATCCACCAACCTCTTTACATCTCTCGGCAACACAGCGTGCTGGGTTGAGTCCGTTCGTGATGATGCAGACGCCATCTTGGTGCAGGGCTTCGAGGGCGGCTTGGAGGTGGTGCGAGGTGAGGGGTTTGGTGGAGAGTTCCTCATCGGAGAGGGTGAGTTGCACCAGCTGCGCGGTTGTCATGGTGCATGGGAGGAAGGGGGAGTGGGTGTTAGTGAGAGAATGACTTATGGAGGTCAAGGACGGGTCATTCCAAGAGGGGTTGTGCTATATATGATGGGGATGCAGATGGATGATCAGCAGTCAGGGCCAACTGCCACCTTTCCCCTGTTGGGAAGGGCCGCTCTGCTTGCAACAGACCCGATTAATTGATACCGAGACGATCGCCCGTCCCTCTCCTGGACCTTCCTTGTCTCCAACAACAGAGATAACTCGGCATGGGAAATTCTGTTCTGCTTGCGTCGTTGTCTGCTGCAATCTTGATCCTCCAGTACCATCGAGGATGTCTATCATCACACTGAGATACAGGAATCAAATGCACACAGGAGCGGCCTATAAAGTAGAGCTCGTGTTCGCGTAGCTTGGCTAGCACCGCATGCATGGTCCAGGTACTGGATGTCCTACATCTGGATCTAGACTGGGTAATACAGAAAGAAGGTCGTGAATGAGATACCCTTACTCACTTCTTTTTACCAGTAACAAAAGTCGAGAGAAAGATAAATTGGATATGATTGGATCTGATCAGATAGAGAGAGGGTTTATTTATAACATCTCTCACAAAATTCAAAAATCAAAAATCGAGTCAAGTCCTATATAGTAAGTAGCCTAGCTGCCCGCTATCCATCATGCCAGGTACGCCTCCAGTGAGTGACGGACAGACAGTATGGATGGAGGACGGACGGACGTAGCCAAAACAAAACAAGCCCTCAAAAACACTTCTTTCTTCCCTCCCCTCTCTGTCTCTTCATAAAAGAGAGGGAGTAAGAAAAAAAGAAGAGTCAAGGCCCGAGCCGCGGATCGAACGCGGGACCTCTCGCAGATATGCTTGGGTTGTAACCCTAAGCGAGAATCATACCACTAGACCACCCGGGCTTGATTGATGTTCTTGACTAAGTTTTACGCTTATTCAAGAAATGATATATATACAGCAGAATACACCCGCATTTCTACACACATTGCTACCACACCCCATTACCGCTTCAGTGTTGCTACATCAGATATTGCCACACCCCGATATTAGATGAGCAAGAGACAGTGGCATTACTAATTACCCCCAGTTATTGCATTACACATCACCATCTAACCAGCACCGAGCGCTTTACCGGTCTATATCCCGAGTCTGAGGCCAAGACAATCAAGTGATACAAGACTGCTACATCGTATCGCGATGAGGTTGCGATGATGGGGTGGCTTGACAAGCCCTCCATCCACGGTTGATGGACAAAGAACCCCGGCTCTAGACCGCATATCGAGATGCCAAGCACATCAAGCGCTGAATAATTCCCTGGAAAGTGTCAGAATGGAGGAGCGAGCTTGATGATTATTAATTCCGATCCGATGGAGCAGAGCTTCCTGACGAGGATAAATATCTTGGGTGTCTGGTGGCCCCCCCCGAACATCTATCAAAGTCCAAATCCATAATCCAGTCCCCCGACCAGTGCCATCCGATGGACATCCTCCGTACCAGCACCGCTGGAAAACTGCTGCGATGGATCACCCGAGACAAGGTCCTGCTCTACCCTGAGGAGCGTCCGGGGTTCCAATGCCCGCGATGCTATGCTGACACCGCGGCGCCCACGAGACTGTTCACCCACGAGGCCGACGGCGAGCAGGGCTCGAAGCCCGAATCCGGGGTGGATGAACACGGTTCGCCCGCAGCAGACGATGCATCGTCGTCCGAAACGGCCGACCAAGAAGAAACAAGCCCGTCCGACTTAAGCCGGGTGCCCTCGATGGTGGACGTGGAAAAGGTGCGCACCCAAACGGAGCTGGCGCGTCTATACACCGTCGCCACGCAGACCGAAGCCCTACAAGCCGCCCCGAGCAAGCCCATCGCGCCTACAAAAACCGCGGACGGAACAATCCTCGTCGACTGGTACACGACCCACGACCCGGACAACCCGCAGAACTGGTCGTCGGGCAGGAAACTCTTCGTGGTGTTCCAGATCTACTTCTACACCCTGGCCGTCTACATGGGCTCGTCGATCTACACCCCCGGCACCCCCCAGATCCAGGCCCGCTTCGGCGTGTCCCCCACCGCTGCATCCCTCGGCCTAGCCCTATATGTCCTGGGCTACGGCGTCGGCCCTTTGCTTTTCTCCCCGCTGAGCGAGATCCCCAGCGTCGGACGCAACCCGCCGTATGTCCTCACCTTCGCCATCTTCATCCTATTCACTATCGGCGCAGCCACCGTCAACACCTTCGGCGGCCTGCTCGTCCTGCGCTTCCTGCAGGGCTTCTTCGGCAGCCCCTGCCTGGCCACCGGTGGCGCCAGCATCGGCGACGTATACAGCCTACTGAAGCTCCCATATGGCCTGACCACCTGGGCAGCATTCGCCACCCTCGGCCCGGCCCTGGGACCCGTCATCTCGGGCTTCAGCGTCCCCGTCCAAGGCTGGCGCTGGTCAATGTGGGAGACCGCGTGGATGTCGGCCCCGATCCTGGTGATCATGTTCCTCTTCCTCCCCGAGACCTTCCCCGACGCGATCCTGCTCCAACGCGCGCGCCGTCTCCGACATCTCACCAGCAACCCGAAACTGATGTCCCAATCCGAGATCAACCAGAAACAACTCACCGTGACCGCCGTCGCCATGGAAGCCCTATACCGACCGTTCCAGATCGTCGTCCTCGACCCGGCCATCCTCTTCGCAAACGTCTACACCAGCCTGATCTACGGGATCTACTACTCCTTCTTCGAGGTCTTCCCGATCGTCTACATCGACATGTACCACTTCAACCTGGGCCAGATGGGGCTCGTCTTCCTCAGCATCGCGGTGGCCCTCGCCCTCGCCGTCCCAGGCTACTTCATCTACCTGTATACGGTCTTCGAGCCCGAGATCCGTCTCCGCGGTCTCGGCACCCCCGAACGACGGCTCATCCCGGCCCTGTTCGCGTCGTTTCTCCCGCCCATCGGCCTCTTCCTGTTCGGCTGGACCTCCCGTCCGGCCGTGTACTGGATCGTCTCGGTGGTTGGGATTCTCATCTACACGATCGGTATTTTCATGGTCATCCAGTGCATATTCATCTACATCCCCATGACGTATCCGCAGTACGCGGCGAGTCTGTTCGCCAGTAATGATTTCATGCGCAGTGCGTTGGCGTGTGGGGCGGTGTTATTTGCGCGGCCGTTGTATGTCAACCTGGGGGTCGGGGCGGGGGTCAGTTTGTTGGCGGGCTTGACGGTCGGTTGTATCGGGGGGATGTTTGCCTTGTATTATTTTGGGGCTGCGTTGAGGGCGAGGAGTCGGTTTACGGCCAAGTAAATGGGATGTCGGAGTTCTGGGGAAGGTGGGGAGGATTTCTTGTTTTCTTAGGGCTATATAGATGGTATATGGACACAGTGGTGAGGGGAAAATCTTGTTAAGAACCATAGTATGAGTGTTTGAGGCTGGGTAGTTTTCTAGGAATGGGGAAAGTTTGATGAGTACTAGTATTCTTGATAGATATCGATTATACTACCGTAGGTTCCCTGCGATATGACCAAGGCCTGATGCATGGCTGTATATAAATAGTGCTGATCAGACGGAGTTAATTGAACTAAGCCGAGCTGTAAGCCCGAAAAGGGAGACCGATGGTAACTCCGAAGGAGGCCAGCCAACTATTGTATAGGTATATATTCTGATCCCAACCCTTCCATCTCAAGTTTAAACACCCTCCTCCCTTCAGGCCCATCAACTTTCATATAAACTTGTCATCATGTCAAAAATCATCCTCATCACTGGCTCCAACACGGGCATCGGCCTAGAGGTTGTCAAGGCTCTCGCGGGCGCCAGCAAGCCCTACACCATTCTCATGGGCGGACGGAGCCCTCAAAAGGTGCAAAACGCAATTTCTACCGTTCAGACGAAACTCCCTTCCACTGCCAGCACGTTTGTTCCCATAACGGTGGACATCGAATCCGACAAGTCAATCGAGCAGGCGTTTGCCGAGGTTCAGTCCAAGTACGGCAAAGTAGACGTGCTCATCAACAATGCCGGTATATACATATACACATACACCCTCCTCCGCTACCTACCTAAGTATCTCCTCGTGTATCCACTGACTTCTCCAGGCGCCCAGTTCGACCAAGAACACGCCACAAGCACCCTCAGCACCCGCGAAATTTGGAACAAGACCTGGAACGTCAACACGACCGGCACACACATCCTCACCTCGACCTTCGCTCCCCTTCTCCTCCAGAGCATCGATCCCCGTCTGCTCTTCCTCACCTCCGGCACATCCACTCTCGCCGGCACGGAAAACACCGCCATCCCCGTCAACAAGGTGCCACCGAAGGGCTGGCCCAAGACGGGCTTCAACGTGCCTGCCTACCGCAGCTCCAAAACTGGGCTCAACATGGTCATGCGCGAGTGGCATCGCTGGCTGAAGGAGGACGGCGTCAAGGTGTTTGCCCTCTCGCCGGGGTATCTGGCTACCGGGCTGGGCGGGGATCCCGAGGTGTCCAGGACATTTGGGGCGCAGGATCCGGCGGTTGCGGGGCCGTTTGTGAGGAGTGTGGTGGAAGGGGAGAGGGATGGGGATGTGGGGCTGGTGCTTACTAGGGAGGGGGTCCAGGCTTGGTAGATTCACTTGGATAGATGACTTGCGAGGACTGGGTTGTAGTCCAGTGTATAGAGAGTTACTTGTATACTATACTTGTTACAGCAACGATAGATACCTTATATACTAAAGTTATGAGTGTAGAATGGCTGGATATATACTTGACCATCTACTTGAATGAGACCAAGAATAATCAGATTATATAACTATTGATCTGATGTTTGGTTTATCTCTCTTATATATGGCTTCGTTCTCAGTATTTTTTAGCTAAAAAAATATTATTAGATAAAATTCTTCTGAACGCTATAATCTATATTGAGGACTGGTTTCTGGAGAACTGCTAACTGAGCTGACATAGTCTGTGAGCTATTCCTATTAACACATGTTAGCTCAGCATGCAGAGAGTTCAAGAAAATTGTGATATTAAACTAGTCACAAGCCAAGGCGTAAACTTATATCTCTGATCCCCATTTCTCCATCCAAGTATTATGCGTATCCAGAACGCCGTTAAACTCCCAGACAAAGACAGGCCTGGCGGCGAGCTTTCCTCTCAGCTAGGAGTTGGTCGTCCATACTGGTCTCTCACTCGTGGTGTCAGGGAAATAATGGAGCTTGTAAGGGATGGAGAGAAGAGGCCGGCCCCTTGAAAGATGCGGAAGAAGTAAAAAGAGGGAGGCCATACAGCCACACCCGCCTGGCTACAGCCACACCGCGCTCGCGACTGCCACACTATTTTGGAGCCACCGCCTACTGATTTAGAGGATCAAGGTTACATGACTTTAATTTTACGGTATTATACTACTAAGATCAATAGGCGTATAGCAAATTGGTTTGGCAGTAGCGAGCATGGCGTGGCTGTAGCCAGGTGGGTGTGGCTGTATGGCCTCCCTAAAAAGATGAGGTGTGTTTTGATCACGCGGTATGGAGGGGACTTGTGCCACGAGGCAGGGGCCAGGCTGTGGGGTTGCATCTGATTGCTCTGGGTGGTGGTTGTTTATTCTCAGTGCGGGTGAGATGAGTCAATCGAAGTATCTAACTAGATACTTGAACTCCATGCCGGCGGGGTCATCCCTCTCTTCTTTCGGTTAGGGCGAGCGAGCTTGTCTTTCGGGCCGAGGCGGCGTGCGATGCACCCGTCAGATCCTTTGGAAGATGGATTTTGGGAACGATGAAACTGAAAGAAGCTATCGAGGTGTGGAGGCGCCGAGGTCAGCAAGGTCAGTGTCGTAACCTGGGTTTCGGCGAACGTTGCGACGGGCAGAATTATTGTCTACGTGGACGATTCACAGGCTTCAGGGCCTTTCGATTGATTTCTCAAAAAGCCGCGGAGATGCGTGATCGAGATTAATGTGATAGTTCCTATAGAGTGGGCCCTGGCTGATAGCGCTAACCTTTGTATTCCTTTTACGAAATTTTAATTCTATCCCCATTGCCACCCTGTAGCTCTCAGGGAGTAAAACTGATTTATAAGCGACCTCTTGTTTTTAGCATTGCCTCGTTTAAAGCATTCAAAAAATAGCTTTTTCGGGGTTTCTTGTAGTAAATGACTTAGATGCTGGATACTGGGTTGTTGCTTAGATTTTTATACTCTTTTAACAGTTACCTATATAGAAAAAGTAAATATTTTAAGACCAATGAAAGGGCTTCAATACAAGTATAATCTAAAGGATTACACAGGATATAGACTAAACATGATATATTTCACTATATACGTATTTTATCTATCACAAACTAGCTAATCAGGCTATCCAATTCCCTGTGAGCAACCCTGGATATCAGGGATAAAAGTAAAACCCGCGGTCTGAATTAGTTCATATTTGCTTAGAAATCAGTTTCACTGTAGTTACTTCTAAGAGGACCTCCCTCGTAGGCCCCGCCAGAATTTCAATTCCAATCCCAATCTCATTTCCCATCGGGCAGTGTTGTCGTCTTTGCTTTGCCAGAAAGGTATTTAGGGATTATGGCTGCAGCGGTGTCTTCCACTGAAGAAAAGACAGCTACTAACATCATCGGTGCAAACCTGCCTGATGATGAGTTCCAGACGTCCCTCTGCGGGCATGGCCTTTAGTTAAACGAGAGCGGATTCATTCGATGGGAAAACGATAATCCCAAACATCCACGGAACTGGTCAGGCAAAGCAAAGGCGTACAACACGGTCATTATCCTCCTACTTGAGTTTCTTACCAGTGCTGTCGGTACGGCAGGCACCGCCGCAGCCCAGGAAATGCAGGATGACTTCGATGTTGATCTAGCCCTATCTATCTTTTGTCTCACCTCAACCTACCTGATCGGCCAAGGGATCGGGGGTGTGTTTTTCCCTCCGTATTCCGAGATCTTTGGCCGCAAGACACTCTATATTGTATCGACATTTGTCTACTGTGTCTTCTCGATCATCACGGCTAGCGTCCACGCCCTCCCAGCCATCATCATAGCTCGCTTTCTGTCTGGATTGGCGTCCGCTGTGCCCACGATTGTGGTGGCTGGCAGCATCGAAGATCTTTTCAACACGAGAGCTCGTGTGTGGATGATCTTTGTCTGGGCAGTGATTGGAAATGCTGCTGTCTGTGCTGGCCCCATCTACAGCGCCTACGTCACCCAATCCGTAGGATGGTCAGTCAAATGGCTCTTCCCTTCCCCCAGGCTATGTGTCCTCTTGTTGACAATTCCTCAGGCGCTGGGTGTTCTACATCGTCGCCATCTGTCTGGGATCCCTGTTGGGATTCTGTTTCACGCTCCGGGAGACTCGTCCCAGCTTGCTACTCGAGCGGGAAGTGGATGTGTTGCGCAAGAACCAGCCCACCAGGGAGTTCAAGATACTCAACCCGGACATGGCGCCGGACTTCCACACCCTGATCGTAGTGACTCTCCTGCGACCCCTGCGCCTACTCTTCACCGAGCCTATCATCATGGCTGTGGCTTTCATGGGTTCGATCACCTGCGCCCTATTCTACCTCCAGGCGGAGTCAATTCCACTCGTGTTCGAAGCCTACGGCTGGTCAACCGCCACGGCCTCCCTGGGCTTCGTGCCTGTTTTACTCGGTTGTCTCTTTAGCTCCCTCACCCGATTCTATGACCACCACCACCTGGAGAAGATCACCAAGGCCGGAACGGCCGTGGAACCAGAAGACAAACTGAGAGGGTTCGCGCTTGCCGCACCCTTTCTTGCCGGTGGTAAGTCAAGTTCACATCCCCCCTCCACCTCACCTCTAACCCGCACTTGTAAATAAGCGAAATCCTCAACATGTACTGACTATAAAATAAAAGGACTTTGGCTGTTCGCCTGGACTACCCCCCCGCTCACCAGCGTACACTGGATGGTGCCTATGGTCGCCCAGTTCTTCGTCGGCTTCGCGCTGAACGAAAACGTCTACACCCTGACCGGATACCTAGCGGACAGCTACACCATCTATGCGGCGTCGGGCTTTGCGGGCCTGATTCTGGCGCGAGCATCGACATGTGCTATCATCGTACCCTTCACGCGCGCCATGTACGTCAATCTGGGCTACAATGTGGCGACGTCGATCCTTGCTGCGATCGCCACCCTGTTCTGTGCGGCCCCGGTGGTGTTTATTCGGTATGGGAAGCAGATCCGTGAGGCGAGCGTGTTTGCGCAGTTAAGCTTGACAACATACCGGGAGAATAAGGTTGAGGATGATATGGATAGTGTTTGATTATTCCTGCGTCCGGCAACGATGTCCTCTACCTATGGCGTCGCGGGCGAGACCCCGAACCCGGTAGACAGGCAGATGGATGGATGGATGATGGATACATAGACAGATAGATTAAAAGTAGACCAATCTGATCCAATGCACCAAGATTAAACCATCACGGCCTACCTCATTGCTCTCGGAACGTACATAGATGAAATTCTCCAACTCCCAAACCAAAACCTGATTCTCTCTTGACAATAGAAAATGGGAGCCACTACAGTCACACCCGCCAGGCTCCTGCCACACCGATCATGCTCCTGACACATCTTCTGCCTTCCTGACTAAGATTAGCCTACTAGTAGTAAAACAAGGGCGCCGCTCCGGCGACCCCCCTGCCTTAAAGGGCTTTAGTGTGAGCGGTAGACTGACTGTAATAAGTATAGCGCGCATAACGTTATAATAAGAAATTAGTGATTATATATTATACTGATTATACCTGAGGCTGGTTTCTTACTAGTAACTGCCCTCCGTAGCCCTGAATAACCTACATCTGTTCTTTATATATTAATACGCGCAGGCAGGTTAAATTACTACGCGTAGACCGGCAGGCAGGCAGGCAGATAGGCAGACAGGTAGGTAGGTCAAATTAACTGCGCGCAGGAAGGTTAACTACACATAGGTAGGTAGACAGGCAGGCAGCTAGAATGGTTTAATTATATAATATATTACTTAGTAACCATGATTCTTTGGTATCTGATTGCGTTGTTTAAAAGGCAGTAAGCGAAAAGGTATGGCAGGAATCTAGCCAGCATGGCAGGAGCCTGGCCGGTGTGGGTTGTAGCAGCTCCCATTACATATCCCTGGAATTGTGTCGTTATATGTCTGCTCCTAGTACTTCGAACATGGGATAAATCGCCCGACTGGCATTTTCCAGTGGAGCAGGCAATCGGTACAAGGCAGAGCAACATCCTGCAAGTCAGATGATAGTTCATGACCCCGTACGTAAGGCGATGTAGTTAAACCGCATGGCCGTGGACCCACCCAACGCCACCTCTTGGTTCGCGAAGGCAAGCTGCATCGCCGAACGGAGAGATGTCAAGTCATGGGATCGAGGGCTTGCTATTCCCTGGCGGATCCAGACCCTGGATGCTCCACTGCCAAGAAAGTATACAATTAGGCCCTACGCCAAATATGACTGCTTCGGAGGCCAGAACGGTTCCTTGCCTTAATTGTCATTTGAGGATGCGTAAAGTCGGACGTCTGTCAATGTGCAGCCAAACGTATGTACCGGCGTGGTATTTCTGGGTTGGTTCTTGGGTATCGGGGAAGAGGCATGGTGTGGGGGGAAAACCCCCCCGAATGAAGCAAGTGCACATGCCCAGATCATGCCGGGGTTCGATAGACTAGATAGACAGCCGGAGGTCTCCGCTCGGACTCCGGTTGACCCCGGTACCCCGGTCATGTTGGTCAGTATGGTGTCTTTGAGGCGGTGAAGTATTCTCAACACTGGTTCACTAATCCAATTTGCGCAGAAGCCAATCACGCGTATCTCCTGAGTACTCCTATCAAGTGGAGCAAGGGCTTGGCATAATAACAGAACAAGATTTAGTTCTTTAATCCCTGATTAATCTGGATCAGTCTATATATAATCTTATATATAACTTTATATATATTTAATTATTATCTAATTCTATATCTATATAGCTTAACTGTCTGTATAGTAATATTATAGAATTAGATCTTTATTATATTATTATTCTAGATCTAATAATTATAAGTCTGATTAGTTACTCTATTAGAGTGGCTTAACCTGACTGTTATATCTTAATCTTAATCTGGCCATAATCTGGCAGTTAGATTAAGATATAAAAAATTTTTAACTATATAATTAAGATTAGATTAAGATATAATTATTATTATAATTATTTATATTTATTAATTAGAAAAATTAGATATAATAAATAGATTAATAACTATAGATTAATTTATAATATATATATTTTTTTTATATAGATAATATATAAAGTATAATATATATTTAATTATAGTATAGATATAATAATATTTTTTAAATATAATTTATTATTTAATCTGCTTAATTAATTATCTTAAAAAATATATTATATTCTGAAAAAGACTTTTATAAAATTTAATATAAAAAAAATAAAAAAAATATAAAATATTTATTTTTTATATTATTTAGAATAATAATTATAATAATATAAAAATTATAAAGATTAAATCTTTATCTTTATCTAAATATATATAATAATTAAAGACTTAGATAAGACTAGTTTTTTTAATTCTAATAATAATTTATTTTTTAGATTATCTTTAAGATTATCTATATTTTTATTCTTCTTAATATAAAAAATAATAATTATCTTATTCTTCTTTTACTTCTTAGATATAAAAATAATTAAATCTAAATTAAGATTATTAAATATATTCTAATATTTTTTATTTATAATAAAATAATTAATATATATTTAAAGTATAACTGCTTTAATTATATTAAAATTAAAATAGCTTTAATAATAATAATAAATATCTTAAGAATTATTAAAAAAATATTTAATATTAATATTATTAATTATAATTAAGAGAAAATCTCTAGCTATTTAATAAAAAATAGAAAACTGATTATAATAAAACTTTTAGTAAATAAAAATATTAATATATTTTATAATATCTAAAATTATATTAATTTAATTAAAGATATCTTAAGAAACTATATATCTTTAATATCTAGATATATTTTAAATTTTTTATATATCTTAATAAAAGCTGAATATAGAATAATCTTCTAATTCTTTATAATATATATAATCTTAAGATTTAAAAAAGAAAAAAAAATCTGACTTAAGAAGCTTATCTTAGTTTAGATATTATTATAATTTATAAAAATCCGAGAAATAAAAAAAAAAGACTTGATAATATTTTTTAAAAATAAATTAAATAATTATAATTAATTTATAATTCTGAAGCTGTTCTATAAATAATAAATATAAAAAAATAAAAATAAAAAATTCTATAAAAATAATTTATTTTATTTTAAAATATAACTTTATATAAATATAATTTATTATATTTTAATATATAGCTAAGATATCTATTATATTTTATTTATTTTAATAAATTTAATAATCAGAAATTTATATCTAAAATCTAAAATTATAAAATAGTTTTTTTTTTTTAAATAAAGCTGCTTAAGATATAATAAACTAGAATAAAAAATAAATATTTATAAAAAAAATTTATAAAAGATTTTTGTAAAATTTTTTATAAGAATTATAGTATTATAATATAGATCTAGTATATTTTATTTATTTATTTTATCTATTTAATTTATTTAATTTATTTAATTTATTTAATTTATTTAATTTATTTAATTTATTTAATTTATTTAATTTATTTAATTTATTTAATTTATTTAATCTATTTAATCTGCTTTATTCTAATAATCTAATTATTTATAATCTTTTTAACTATTTATTAATTTTTAATTCTGTTAATAGCTTTTTAAGCTATATCTTATTTATAAATCTAAGAATAGTCTGATTTAAAAAAATAATAAAATAAAAATAATATATTTATTTTTAGTATTTTAATTAATAATTAATATATAATTTTTCTAGTATTTTATAATATAATTAAAATATATAGCTAAAATAGAGTAATAATTATATATTTTTATATATATTTTTTATTATAAAAATAATAATTTTCTAAAAAGCTGAATTTTATTAATATAACTAGAATTTTCTTATTATTTTTAATAAATAATAATAAAAAAATACTAATTTCTTTTTTAATTATATTTTTTTAATTTAAAAAGCTTTTTTTTATATATTTTTAGACAATAATAAAAATAGGCAGATTAATAATTATTGTCAACAATATGGGCAGACTCGCCAGTTCACTGCCTAAGGCTTATTAGTTTGCGGTCTTAGACCAGTTAGCTGTCTTAGATTATTAATTAGCAGACTGATAATTTTAAATTCTATTTATTCTATAACAGAGTAAAAAATCTTATTTTTATTAATTATTCTAGTCTTTATTTAATTATTAATTTTATTATTCTTGACTCTGTTTTATTTATATAATTTTTATATAATTTTTATATAATTTTATATATTTTTATATACTTTTGATAGTTAATTAATTATAAATATAAATAAAAAGATTTCTTAGTTTTTAATTAATTTTTTAATAAGTTTTAATTAAGTTAAATCAGCTTTTAGTCTCTTTCTAATTTTTAATTCTTTTTATTACTTTTTTTATTTTTTTCTTATCTTTTTTTTATTTTTATTTTATTTTTATCTTATTTTTATATTTAATTTATATAAAAAAATAAGAGTTTAGTAAAGTCTTTCTAAGAGATTAAAAAAAAATTCTTATTTAATTATCTAATCTTTAATTTTTTTTATTTTTTATTTTTTTTATTTTTTTTTTACTTTTATCTTATTTTTGTATTTAATTTATATAAGAAAATAAAAATTTAATAAAGTCTTTTTAAGAAAAATTTTTATTTTTTAAAAAAAGTTCTTAATTATAAGCCTAATTATATTTTTATATTAATTTTTTATTAATATCTCTAAGATTTTTTATATTTTTTTTATTTCTCTTATTTTTATTTTATCTCTGACTTAAAATTTGTATAAGAAATTATAAAATTTTTAAATAAAAAATAAGATCTATCTAAATTTTTAAATTCTTTTAATTATTTCTTTATTATATCTTAAAATCAGTAATTTAAAAAAGTTTTTATTATTCTTAATAATTAATCTAATTAATTTCTTTAAATTAATTAAATTTAATTATTTATTATTAATAAGAATATCTAGAAATATATAAATCTAGATTTATCTAAGAAATCTAACTATTTTATTAAGTCAGTTACTATATTTATTTTAGATTTTAATTATTATATTACTTTAATAATAAATCTCAGTAAATCAGATTATCTTTTATATTAAAAAATTATAAATTAATTTAATTATTAATTTAAAAAATAGAAA